AGAAATATCACTCCTACGTGTATCCTTTATATAATAAGAAAAATAAATCATTAATATTATATACAGTTTACAAGTGTGTGTGTGTGTGTTACATGTACATGTATATGAGTACATGTATATTAAATTAACAGTATAAGTAATTCAAATATTGCTGTACAGTAATTATTATTATACTCACTGATATTAAGGAATGTTGTATGATCACTGAGTGATTTCAACTTCCCTTCTCCTCCAAACTCTATTATCCAAGTATTGGTTGTATCTTCATTCCAAACTGATAGAGACTGATACTTTCTATTTTTGACTGATTCAGGAACACCAACCTAATAATAATAATAATAATAATAATAATAATAATAATAATAATAATGCTCGCCCCTTCAATGTTTACATTCACCCTAGTAATAATAATAATTGGGCAAAGCCCACTAAGATGAGTAGAGTTTGTTTGTATGTCTGTACACGTACGTATTCCGTATCTCCTCTATATATCCGCACATGCCTTGCAGTGCAAAAGATTCTAAATTTCAATACCTTAAGCCTACTATTATTTGTGTCTACTAATTTTAGCAAAATCAGCAAAAGTCATGTTTAGCGTTACTAATTTTAGTGTTTTTAACCAAATTAACTATAAATAATAACCATTATAATGAATAATAATTATTTTGGCGTCTATTTAATTTAGCGATTTAAAGCTCTCGCTAATATAGTAAACGCTAAAAATAGTAGGCTTAAGGTATTTCATTTGAAAGTGGGAGTGGCCGAATGAAAATAAAATGGCGATCACCACACAGGAATCAGAAGTCAAGATTTTCCTCATGATTTTCCTACTTCCTAGCAACAAGATAAGGCAAAAAAACCGTCCAAAGACTTCTCCAACTGCTTGAAAAGGTTACAGGTGCAATTAAGTAACTATGAAACTCCTTTTTGTTGAGATAACTGTGAAAGTCAAACAAATGTCACCTTTGTCACTGACTGCACTAAACTGGCCAGCCTTTTTATATCTTATAGCTATTTTAAAGTCAGTGTAGCAAGGCTTAAAGTAAAAAACAAGTCAGGAGTTTTCTAGCAGCAACATAAGTTTGAGATTCTGCTTTTTTCAGCTAATAATCTATGAGGCTGAGCCCTTGAATGTTCTACATTGTTTCTAGTAATAATAATAATGATAATGATGTAGTACATGTATGTATGTGACTATGAGTACATGTTATATGACATATACACATGTATAATGTAAGTATGTACATATTATCATAATGTGTTCTACCTCCTTCCAATTAGTTTTGTTAATATCAAATGTCTCACATTGTCTGCCACCAATAGTCAATAGTTTTAGTCCTGAAGGACTATTCAGTAATACACTACGACGAGGAGGCAAAAACATAGAATAAGTACCACCTTTTTTACTACCATTAGATATCGTTGCACAAACCTAAATGAACAATGAGACTATTAATTAATAATTTTACTAATAAATATTGTACCTATTAATTAATTAATTAATTATGATAATTATTATACATACCACTGATCCTTTAGTAAAGGTAAGACGATAAACAGAATTATTTGATATATCATTATCATCATTTTGAAGTAAAATAGCACTGGTATCATCTACTGACATCAAATTAAAGTATTCAATTCCAGTAATAACATCTCCAGTAACTTCAGGTGAGATCCACTGACCTACAGTAATTAATTAATTAAATCAATTAATTAAAACTATTAATTTACTTGTAGCAATTCTAAAATAATGAATATTAATAGGTTCTGATTCAATTATTACAAGGTAATCTTCTCCCTCAATCTTTACAGCAATCATACCACAATCATCCTTCTTCTTAGGACCATCCTCAGGATTAGTAGGTACAACTTTCCTCCATTTGAGAGTATCAACATTTAAACTGTACAGAACATTATCATCATAGCGACGATGACTACAAAGTCCTCCATAATAGAATATCTCATTCCCAATAGCAACAGCTGCATAGTTAATGCTACCCAGTGGAGGATCACCAGTGGTAGGTTTCTGCTCCCACCTACCAGTCAGAAGGTGAAGTACCTCCACAAATGATGAATCTCTTTTCTCCATCTCAATATTGTGTTCTTTAGGATGGTCATCTCTCCTCCCACCCCACATATAAAGACAGTCTCCTACTATTACTGTAGAATGACCACTTCTCTCAGCAGGTTCATAGTCTATATAATAGCACAAACTATCAGTCAAACAATATTTATCATAAATTATAACTTATTAACCTTTCACAGTGGGGCTGGGGACTGCTTTTGCTGGTTTCAGGGCTGCCATTTTGTTTGGGAGAGGAAAAATAGTACCACGCCCACTGAGCCCCATCCAACAAAAGCAATAAAATTTGCTTCTATAATTAATTTTAGCTATAAAAATAATAATAATCAGGAAAGTATTAATTAAAATAATTACTTAAGCTTTATTAATTGCAAATAATTGTGTGTCCTCGTGTTCCATTTCTGACGACTCATTACCGGAATCAGTCCCGAGTCTAACCACTTTATGTAGTCCAACAGACTCCGCCCCCTTCTCCATCCCATTGTCATCAACAGGAACTTGAATGAATCCTTTACAGCGACACTTCCTCTTGTAGGCAGATACTCCCATCGCTATGACAACCATTACTATGACAACAGCTAGTATAACAGCAACGACTGTAGCTATGATTGAAGCAATAAGATGTCTGCTTGATCCATAGGGTAGAGTATTTTCCCAGGTGCCACAGTTAGTGGCGTGTGGTATGTATGTACACGTGTTCCTTTTGGTGGACGATGGGGAGGGTGAGCTCGTTAAGTGAGTAGGCGTATCCTTTAGACTGGGCGTGGCTTGAATTGATGACATTTGAGATGATGTTAATGTTTCTGAGGACGAAATCAACTCAAAATAATAGGAACTGCTGGTCTGAGTGGGTGTGGCTTCCAACGATGACAACGTGAAATTAATAACAGTTGCTGGACTATTACTAAATACAGTCACTTCTTTAGTGACTGGTACATATCCATCTGCTGTCACTGTTAACTTATAATTTCCTGGAACTAGTAATCTCCAGTAATCTCCATCACAGGCGGTCGTTATATTATGATCCCGCCCACTCACTGCTATACTAGCATTAGCTATTGGGTTACAGTCGGTATCAGTCACGAAACCCTTCACCCCTACATGGACCTGTTTCATAAAGGACAACATTGCGCTTTTATTATCATCCCAAATACCAGAGAGAGCCGACGCATAAGGATACTTATAACAACCTTGCTCTATCGTTATCTCAAAACAATTTGAAGTCACGTAATTATAATCTTGCATCCCTCCTTTAACACTGTACCAGGCTGCCCCATTAGTAATACCATCAGTAAAACCATAATTATCTCCAGGGCAGGGCTCGCCTAGATACATGGTTGAATGAGCTTTTGAATAAGCTAGACTAATCTGTCTGAAGATATCATTATCAGGCGAGGGAGTGCTGACAGAGGAACCACTCCTACTGTTGTCATAAGGATAGTTAGCAACCAGGGCACCATTGTGGAAATTAGCCGAGAGAACAAACGGGTACTCCTCCAACCAGCGCATGATGGCCTTCGTCTCTGAGGTACGGTCGATTTGATTGTCATGGAAACGATCAGGGAAATTCCGATTGATGTCGACCCCATTCGCATTATAACGACCTTTAACACCACTGTAGGTACCTTCACGAGCCTTAGAGTACCCATCAGGATTAAGAGTGGGTAGGATATGAATACGAGTCTCATTAATAAGACTTGTAATTTCATCGTCAAGCCCGTAATTATTTAACAGATACTGGATTAGGTAGAGGAGGGTTTCTCGGCCTGTTACTTCATTCCCATGCATGTTCCCAATGTATTTGAACTCAGGCTCTCCTGGTTCGTGAACCCCGGGATTATCTGTTATTTCTAGGACGTAGAGAGCTACTCCTTTCTCGCTGTATCCAATGTTATAGAGGCGAGTGAGGGAGGGGTACGAGCTGTGCGCGTCTTTAAGGAACTGTTCTAGCTCATCGTTATCATGATGTTCAAATGATATTGAGAGACTGGATCTGACTGGAGTAGGAGCTACTGGAGAGAGAGAGGACAAGAGGAGAAGGAGAGAGAGAAAGAGAGAGCCAGTCATTGCTGTGGAAGACAAAAGAGATCTTCTCTTCGATGATGTTTTCATTTTTTGGGTAATTACTTAGCAGCTAGCCCCACCCAAAGCAAACCACGCCTAAGCCTATAACAATGCAAACCACACCTACTAATCAATAGTCTTAGCCACACCCACTTCACGTTTATGATATTAGCGGATGAAGTTCTTCTTTGGAAAGTTAGAGAGAGAATTTGCTAGTTCCTGAAGACATCAAGAGGCAGGGAGACACTGAGAGAGAAGGAAAGAAGGAGAAGTGAGTTAATAAGGTCTTCTGTAACTTGTACTGTAACAATACCTCGAATAATATATACTGCTTCAAGTTTATTGTTGTTGTTGTTGTTGTTATTATTAGTAGTAGATTTATTATTATTATTATTATTATACCTTTACAGTACTAACTGTACAGTCCATTAACTAATACTTAAGTAAATCTACATGCATATCTAGTTTCATGCACATGTACATGTATTTTTAATAATCAATTCTCATTCTACAGTACCTACCTCTTACCTCTAATATGTTTTGTCTTTGGTTTTAATGAAGTCAATTATGACCATTAATGTTCCTTTCTGTTACCAGAGCAACAGTACCTCTCCTCATGGATACTTTTAAAAGACGAGGGAACAATTACATTGTTTCATGTGAGACTTTACTCCAGACGTGTAAACATGAGGTGAGGGGCAATAATTAGAATAAGGTTTCTGCAAGTATATTCATTAGTATACTGTATAAAAGGGACTGTTTTGTAATGAAAGTTTGTGTATTATAAATCTCTTAGTAAATTCACATATTCATCATTATACTTATACAGATGTATGTACGTGTACTTGTAAAAACTTTAAATTGTAATTGTTTTTTTATTTGGTGCAAAAACAACAAGAAAATGTACTACAATTGAATTATTCGCTTTATTACATAGAAATATAATTTTATAATCTTTTTAGTCAGCGTTATTAGCACTGCAGCCATATTGCTTCCCTGTTATCTTAACCTGTATTTACTACACCACCTCCACCTTGTAGCTTATATTTGCACACACTGACCTTCATCGGTCACTCTGTCTTTACTATTCATGAACTGAGAGATAAGAGAGTGAGAGAGAAACCTTTGAAAGAGGGAGAGAAAGAGGAGGTAGGGAGAAGAGCTAGGAGAGGAGAAAGGGAGAGAGAGAGGGGGAGGGAGAGAGAGAGGGAGAGGGGGAGGGAGAGAGAGAGAGGGGGGGAGAGGGAGAAAGGAAGAGAGATATCAGAGGAAACAGAAACCTTTGGGGGGACCAGTGTTAGGCAAGGTACAAATATACACAGAAATATTCGACTGTTTATTTTAACTTTGGCTGGTTCATATAACATCCTCCAATTGAAACCATACACATCACTCACTCACACACACACACACTCACTCACTGTCATGTTTAGTATATTTACATATCCACTTACTGTACTTACTAATTGTTACCTGAACTACATGTAAGGCATCTAAGACTACATAATGGTAAATAATAATAAACACAATGTCATGTGACTATTCTTCAATAGGCTAAGAAGCTCCTGGAGACTACAGCTGCTAGTAAGAAGATCCATTGGTCCCATCCCAACTTCATTAGCTTTTGCTGTAAGTTAAGCAACTGCCATTGTTAGATCTAGAGATAAAGTTTGGGAGACTTGAACTGGGAGAATTTTTAGGAGAAGACCAAATATGGTCGACCAAAAGTCTCCTAAACTCCCTCTAGATCCAACAGTGTCAATAATAATTAGTATCAGTACTGTTTTATCTCCCCTCCCCCCTCAGTGTCTGTTGATGATGTGCTCAGTTTTGGTGTTCGAAGACGTTATGTCACTTCTTCTCGTCAGCCTCTCACAACTTCTGGGCGTGTCCTTCAAGAGCTGAGTAAAGTGTTTCCAGTTGCTAGAAGCATTTATCAAATGTGCTACCTACCAAACACCGGGAAGAGGTTAGAATAAGAGATTTGATTTTATTATTATTATAAATAACACCTTTAATTTCTTGTTATTATTTGTTTAATATTATTATTGTTTTTTATTGTTTTAGGGTTAAGCCTGAGTATGCTGGTATCCATGGTGACCTCTCCTCAGAGAGGAGGATCCTGTGGATAAGAGTCTCGCTAGTTGAAAGGACAATGAAGGCTATCATTGACCAGCTTCTTAAGAGCCCAGAGTAATCCATCATATGATTAACATGTATTGTACAGCTGGTAACTTTGGAGGGTAAATTTTGGCAAATTGTTGCATTTTAATTTAATGGGGCCCTGCAAATGACTATCAAAACACTAAATTCATCAAAACTTCCTCCATTCCAGCTACCAGCTGCATGGTACATTGATTTTAATGTCCTTTTCCATTTATTGTCATTATAAGCTGTTCCCCTTCATCCATCAATAGACTGTACTACAGTAAGAAGTCAGTCATGGTACATTCCGTCTATTCTGAGCTATTTGCTTTCCTAATGGGTAAGATATTTCTGTATTACATGTACATGTATCTATCTATCTATTCATTCATTGTGCGTACGTGCTACAGTGACAGTGTGTCTATTTAATTCAGTTTATTTTATTTAAATATGATTATTTTCTTTGATTGTCTTGCTTGCTGTGGTATTTTATGATTTTTTCGACTCTTTAAGAATTTGTAAACAGAATCACATAAGAACATGTATATGCATCAGAAAAATTTATAAAAGTGGAGAATTTTCTACTTTTCATTTTTGGTGAAAGTTGGCCCGAGACCATGTACTATAGTACAGGGACTTTGGCCCGATTTTGGAGCAACTTTAAAAATTCATAAAAAATCTAATTTTGATTGGAATGAGCTCAAACTTTCTACGCAACATAAGAACATGTATATGTATCAGAAAATGTAATAAAAATGGAGAATTCTCTACTTTCCATTTTTGGCAAAATTTGGCCCAAGACCATGTACTATAGTACAGGGACTTTTGTCTGATTTTGGAGCAACTTAAAAAATTCATAAAATCTAATTATACGTGATGTATGAATGTAAAGATGTTCATTTGTATATTTTAGAGGGACCATGTTCTCTTTCGTTTTCTAAAATGAAGTCCATTGATTCTTCAATACTCAACCCCGGACCCACCGAACTGGTATCACGCCATAGCAGGTAATGCCCACACAATTAATTAATTAATTAATTATTAATTATTATTGTTAGAGTGTTTTCATCCGGGGTTGGTGAAGGAGAAGGCGTGGCAGTGGGTTGGGCTGATAATTCTGGTGATTCCTCCGAAATGTGGGAACACGTCCAGTCCCTGTATCAAAGCTCTTTCAACTCGTGTATCTACGGGAAGAACAACATACTGATGTATCCAGTAAGAATGATACACTTGATAATCCTCATATACCACTACTGGTATGTTCTCCATTAGCCTGGTATCAACGTACCACTGCAAGGGTATCTCACACTGGCTGAAGTTGGAGACACTTTTTATATAAAGTGGCTGCCAAATACACTCATTAATGGATCTGGGTGAGTATATTAATTATCATCATTTTAATTGTATGGCGTGTTCATTCTTTCTTGTTTAGTATAAAATGGAGTCACGTGCTGTCAGTAAATGTTACGCAGGATATTGCTCACATTCATTGTCACCACAAGAAGGTGGAGCAGGGGGTGGAGCAAGGGGCGGGGTCTGAGGATGACCAGCAGCAGGTCTTGTATTCAGAGCTGATTATGATTGGGTATAACGGAATAGCGTATCCATCACTGATGTTCCCACAGGTAAAACCGGTTATTATAACCTGTTTTTATTATCGAGTTTTGATCCTAGTCCTCGTCAATGTTGAGGTTTTTAGAATCACTAGAAAACGCTCTTCATCCTAGGGGCTGTCTGGAACCACCCCTCTGGTTTCTACGGCAACAGCACCAGAGGAACAGACCAAACTCTTTATCGTCAACCATAAAGTAAAAATTAAATATTTTTTATTTATTTATTATTTATTTATTTATTTTTTTGTAGGAAGATTGCTGTATATGGTTCTACTGAAGATCCTCTTGAAGCCACACCCACTGATTGGGAGTTGCCGCCAGTTTGGAGTCAAGTGTTTCGAGTTAGAGTAGCAAAACCACACCCACCACAGCAACTGGAGTGGACAGAAAATGGTATTAAATATATTTTATAATTATGTATATTTTAATTTTAACCTTTTCTCTCCGTTAGAAGTTGAAATGACGTCAGTTCCTCTTTCCCCTTCTCCTGTATCCCCCCAGACCACGGCCAGTACTGGGAGTACCTCCCCTCTACTAATGGAAGATCCTTTCTCTTGGAATGATACTAAACCACACCCACTTAAGAAGAGTAACTCGAGGAGGTAATTGAATTGTTTGACCACACCCACTTATTTAATTTGTAGATATTTAATGGAAAAGTTTCAATCAAAAGTGTCGAGTCAGCTATTGGCAAGATACTTCTACAGCTGTAAGATTAATTAATTGATTGATTATTAATTAATTATATTTTATTACAGGGTTGTCTTATTGTCGTCACATATCTCGTGTTAAGAAATCCTTATCACACTTACTCTTACCCTCCCCCTCTCTCCCTCTCTCTCCCTCTTCCCCTCTCTCCCCCGCCTCTCCTCTTGAGATACACCTGGAGCTAGAGCCACAGAAACTGGACAAGAGCTTGTGGGAAGAGTTTCTATCAAATCGAACTGTAAGCAAATGTTTTAAAGAGAAATGTTATTACTTTATTATTATTATTATTTTTTAAAGTCTGATATGTGGAATAAAATACAAAAAGCAATTTACAACGGAGGAGTGGACCACCCTTTAAGAAAAGAAGTAAGTATAATAATAATAATTTTTTGCTATTATTATTATTATTTTATATTTTTTAGGTGTGGCCATATTTATTAGGCGTGCATTCTCCACTGGGCGACCAATCAGATCAAAGCCACACCTCTTACGCCAACATCCTCACCAAATGGAAGCGACTAGAAGAACAACATTACATTAACAATGACCCAACCTCAACCAGCCTCAATATAAGACGAGGGTACACTCCCACTAGCACTATAACTACACCCACTAGTATCAAAACCACACCCACTCATATTGAGGCCACACCCAGAGCCACGCCTCCTAAAATCCCTGATATGATTATACTAGAAGAGGAGGAGGATTATTCACATAATGAAGACGTGGTATCTTCTTCAGAAGAGGAGGAGGGGGAGGAGCTTGATTCCGGCTGTGATGATTTGATTGATGATATTCCAAGAACCAGTGGCAGCAGTGATGGAGGGGAGAGGAGGCCACGCCTACTTGAATCACATGAACGAGATCAGTCAGAGGAGATCATGGATCTGAGATCAGAGGGGGAGGAGCTTAGTAAGAGGGAGGGTGACTTCATCAATGAGTTATTTAAAATTGATAAGGACGTACCAAGATGTGATAGGGACTATTCGTAAGTATATACACATTTTTGCTAAATTTAAATTGTGTTTTGTTCTATTTTTAGATTTTTCCGCATTCCACAGAACTTGACGAAATTAAGAAACATAATAACAAGGTATTAATGCATGTACATGTACATATCCATATGTATGTATATTATTATTATTAATAGTTATATATGGGAGAATATGTCTAATGGTTATTCTCAAGGGATGTGTGATCTATTAGCTCCACTGCTGGTGATACTGGAAGATGGTAAGAGATATATTTGTAAAATTGTACATGAATTTGGATCTCTCATTTCTCTCTCTCTCTCTCTCCATTTTAGAGGAGATTACCTTCCATTGCTATTGTTCCCTGATGGAGAGGATGGAGTCATGCTTCCCTCCCAAGCCAGGGGTGACTCAACGGATGAGCAACTTACAGTCGTTATTACAAGTGGGTGGAGCTCATGAATAATTAATTAGTTAGTTAATTAATTAGGTACTTGAAAGTGATTTTTACGACTATTTAAATGAGATGCCAATGGGCGACGCCTTGTTTTATACTTACAGATGGTTTTTAGTCAATTTTAAAAGAGGTAATAATAATAATAATAATATTAATAATTTAATTTCATTAATTTTTAGAATTCACTTATAATGATATATTTTTATTGTGGGAGACGTCTTGGGTTGCCAGGCAACTGACGACTGATAATTTTGAGGAGTTCATTGCCCTCGGACTCCTTCAAGAATTCAAGTAAGCCAACAGATCATGTGATAGTCATGTGACTTATTCTAATTGAAGAGCACCTATAATGGACGCCCAACTTGATCCAAGCGAAATACTCAATTTGTTCACAGGTAACGACCAGTCGTGTGATAGTCACATGATGTTGTTATTATTATTATTTTGTTAGATTTGGCTGACAGTAAAAATTTAAATGCGAGGAAGATAATCTCAACGGCTAAACACACCATCGAAACACTACAGAATGCATTATAATACATCATATCATATCATGTGTGTATCATTAACAGTGTCATATCAAGTCAGTTCATTCATTTTATTTCATCATTAATTCATCAATTCATTTTGTTTATTATTATCATTATCATTATTATTATTTGATATAAATGTTAAGAATGGTTCTGTGTCCCAGTATATACATACATACATATATAAATCACAAAACCATATTTTAAATCACACACAGTTACAAATTGATAATTATAAAGATTGATTTATGAATAATATAATTAATAAATTGGGTGTGGTCTAATCGTCATTAGTATATCCCAGTCTCCGAAGCATTGGGCAGCTGCTCCATATTTTATCTTTTACTTTTTTCGGAAGTTTCCTCTTCCACTTTATAGCAGTATCACTCTTAATCGGGTTTCTAACCTGCTTGGTAGACGGCTCTAACCTACCACAGAAAAGAACAATCATATAAATAATAATACTCAAAATAATAACGGCATACTTGGATAGCTTGACCTCTTTATTAATGAGCTGTGAATGCCGCAGTACATTATCGTGCCACTCAATCCCAAGGAACTTGAGTAGGTTGTTGATTTCGTTTCTCGGTTCCGAGACCAGTTTCTCAAAATACACAACATGACAGACATTAGGCCCAACGTATTTACAATTCTCCCACATTCTTTCTAACACTCTATTCCAGAAGGCAGCAGCTGCAAGATAACTCTTATTATCAACACCGCTTATTGTGAGGTTACGACTAACTATTGAATAAGCAACAGCTCTTCCGTCTCTCACAACCAGGACAAACTTTGCCCGAGGGAACATGAGATGAAGGTCTTTTGTGTGGGCGAGCGATAGAGGGTCTTTATTGCAAAGGTTCTTAGCCGGAGGGCCATGATACTCTATCACGTTTGAAATAAAGTTTCGTACTATCAAGTTAATGACAGTGTTGTTTAAGCCTGCTTCGTCCAAGCGCTTATGCTCTCTCTTCCCCTTCCTCCACCTTTCCTTCATTTGTAATATACGAGGGACTAGTCTGGTCTCTTCGCCACAGCGTATGTCAGGATGAGCGTCCAATATGACCCGCATCAAAGTAGTACCAGAACTTGGCACTCCTCCAATGAAGATATAGGGCCTCTCTGAAGGATCTGGCGGACAGGAACTAGTTGGGGCGCTTGGAGTATCACTTTTGTAATGGTAAACTGTTACAATGAAGAGGAGGAATGCGTTTAAGAGGACAGAAACGAATAAAATAGACCTGGCCGACTTGGAGGCCATCTTGCGATGCAGCCACACCTCCAAGTGTAATTATTGTAGGCGTGGTTTATCTGCAGACTATAAAAAGGTGCGGCTGCTTTAGCTGCCATACTTTACAACTTTGACAAGATGAAGATGATGTTCTCTGCTCTTGTAGTTATTTGCTCTCTATTCCTTGGAATACAGTCTCTTCCGGTCAACAGGACAGCTGCTGGTACCTATGGGGTGGATGTCTCCTCTTTAATTTCAGAAAGCACTTTCTCCTGCTTGAAAAGCAATGGCTTTGAATTTGCTATAATCCGCGCATACAGAAGCACCTGTAAGATTAATTTATTGAGATTTTTGAAGATTATGTGTAATTTTATTGCTCCAGGTTCGTCAGATCCAAATGCACCTGCTACAATAAGGAATGCCCGAGCAGGTGGCATTAAGTACGTTGATGTCTACATGTTCCCTTCACCAAGATGCAGCAAATCAGCAGCTGAACAGGTTGAGGAGATGGGTAAGGAGAGAGAGAGAGGGGGGAGATGTTCAGTATATCACATGATTCTATTGTTATGGTAAAGTATCAATACTGACAGTTTATTTTGTTCATAATAGTCAATTCACTTGCTGAATCAAACTATGGACAAATATGGCTGGACATAGAAGTAATATTAATTATATTAATGATATGCTTTTACCTGTACATATATTAGGGCAGTCAATATTGGCTTGGCAGTGAGTCTGCTAACAGACAATTTTTTGACGAATTACTGTCAGCTGCAAAAGTAAAAATATCAAAAATAGTAAAATGATAATTAAAATAATGCAGAAATATAAAAAAGTTGGAGTTTATGCCAGCCAATACCAGTGGAGCAGCATCATGGGCTCCTATACAGGAGGATCAAGTCAACCATTATGGTATAATTATAATAATAATGCACTGTACTAATGTACAGGGTAATATAATAGGTACGCTCATTATGATGATAATCCTTCTTTTTCTGATTTTGAACCATTTGGCGGTTGGAGCACACCGACTATTAAGCAGTATGCTGGAGACAAGACTGTGTGTGGTAAGGGAAATGCTTATATTGAAACTGAAAGTGATTTTATTTATTATCCTTAGGTGCTGATGTTGATAAGGACTGGTACTAAGAGAATAACTCTACAATTTGTGCATTACTTGTTTTGTCTTGTCTTTTTTACTTTTTAAATGCATTATTTGTAACATGTAGCAAAGTATACGGAAATTATAGTGTCCGGAAGTATACAAAAACCACGTGGTGCTTGTTACATAGCCACGCCTTTTTGAAGATGGCTGCTGTCAGTGAAGTGGAGAAAAATGAAGAAGAATTACTACTGCACGTGAGCCCAGAGGAGGAGAAAGAGGAGCAGAGAGTTCTAGAGGAACCAAAACTTCCGGAAAGTGAAGAAGAACATACTGATATCAGCACTATCAAATATCCTTCATCAACTGCCAAACTTGAAGACCTCCCTAATAATGTAACACAATTATAATTATTAATTATCCAGTTTTGTTTGTGTGTAGCGTATCAAGAGGTACGTTAATGATAAAGGAAACTTTATAACAGGAATTGACATCAACTCAGAGGTAACACTGCATAATTCATACTCTCAGTTTAACTTGAAAACCAGTAGCGGAATTTCTAGGAATTGATTGTGTGGTTTTTCTAGGAATCAGTTAAGAAGAAAGCTACTAGACATGAACGTTTTGGTACAGAAGTAGTAGAGACTAGCAGAGAAGAAATCAAAATTAACGAGAGAGCGAAAAGATTTGGAATATCCTCAACCAACAATGGAGAGATAATAAGATACACTAGAAAGTAAAAGTATTATTTATTTATTTATTTATTTATTTGTCTGTTTGTTTAGATTACCAGAAGTACCGGAAGGAGGTGTGTCATTAATAACTATTACTAACTATTATGTATATGACTAGGTGAGTCTCGACCTGAAGGTCTGGTAGTGTACGGTACTAATGAGATGAGTACTCAAGACGTCTTTAATGTCTTCACTGAATACGGCCCAAAACATATTGAATGGATTAACGACAAGTCATGTGAGTCAGTATTAATGAGTGGGTGTGGTTATTAATGGGTGTGGCTATTCTTTAGGTGTTGTGGTATGGGAGGATTCTTCTTCAGCCCAACGAGCGTTTCTTGGTAAAGGGGTGTGGCCGGTTTTGGAAGAGGGTGTGTCTGATTCCCCATTGTGGCGTAAGGGACCGGCTGGGCTGTTACTAAGAATAGCAACTAGTGCTGACGTGAAAGAGAAAGGCTCCAGAGCAAAGAGTGACTATTATAAGAAATATGGAGACCCAAATAGTTGGAATAGAGAGAGAAGGAAAAGACCTAGAAATAAGGACCTGAGGTACTTGAACTATAGTATCGTCTCGGCCAAATTTTGCCGAAAATGGAAAGTGGAGAATTCTCCATTTTTATTACATTTCCTGATGCATATACATGTTCTTATGTTGTGTAGAAAGTTTGAGCTGATCCCGATCAAAATTAGATTTTTTACGATTTTTTTTGAAGTTGCTCCAAAATCGGACAAAAGTCCCTGTACTATAGTACATGGTCACGGGCCAAATTTTGCCAAAAATGGAAAGTAGAGAATTCTCCATTTTTATTACATTTCCTGATACATATACATGTTCTTATGTTGTGTAGAAAGTTTGAGCTGATTCCGATCAAAATTAGATTTTTTTACAAATTTTTAAATTGCTCCAAAATCGGACAAAAGTCCCTGTACTATCTCAGAAGCTCGTCTTACCCTAACCTAACCTATTCATTTTATCTTATTATTTTTCTCTCACTTATTTCCGTTATTATTATCTCTTTTTTTAACCTACTATTTATCCCTGTGTTATATCTATTTTGTTTAAAAAAAAATGTTTATTTAAGGGCTCAGTTCCCTCCTACACTGTACTATAGTACATGGTCTCGGGCCAAATTTTGCCGAAAATGGAAAGTAGAGAATTCTCCATTTTTATTACATTTTCTGATACATATACATGTTCTTATGTTGTGTAGAAAGTTTGAGCTGATTCCGATCAAAATTGGATTTTTTATGAATTTTTAAAAGTTCCTCTATTACGTCTCGTCTCCATTTACAGGCAAAGATTAGAAGAAAAGAAACAATGTGAAGATGAAGAAGAAGAGGAAATGGAGACGAATGAAGTGAAGCAAATGAAACTAGAAGAGGAGGAGGAGGAGGAAAGTCTAAATGAGGCAAACAAAATGGAAGTCTCCAGTGATACTTTGATTAGTGATCAGATCATAAAAGAAGGAGGGCCCCATCCTCCTCCTAATGATTTGAGACATAAACTAGGAACTTCTAAGAAGAGACAGCAACTGAAATCACGCCTAGGACCTTTCCCCTCATTGTAATCCTTTCACTTTTTATACTCAAACTCTTTATAATAACATAATTGCTATTTTGTGCGTGGGTGTTGAATAACGAGCCCCTCCCTTGATTTAGCCACGCCTCTAATTAAATATGGCGGCCGTTTTGCAGTTCTTTATGTATTTTGTTCTTTTTTTCTGTCCGCTATGTGTTTGGAGTGGTAAGCCATGACTATTGCTAGTAAATTAGAATATTCTTTATTTAATTATTGTGCTTATTACAGGAGACAGGGAGACATCATTACTGATAATAATGAATTCAATCAGTGAAATTGAAGCAAAGCAAAATGATAATAATATTAATGAATGGAAACAAGAAATGACTCAATTTAATGTAACTAATAATAGATCCATAATTATATATATGAATTATATTTATTTATAGAATATTCAACTACTTGTTCCACTGGAACAGTTCAGTTCAATCCATATTCATTCATTAGCACCTTTAATGGAAAGGTACTGGCAAGACTAGCGTTTATATTATTTTGTTTATTTATTTTAGAATTTATTCAAATTATAAAGATATCGATTGGTTTCTTTTTGTGAGACCAGACGTTAAAATTAACTTTAATAACTTGCAGTCATTTCTATTGAAGCATGAGGTATATTAATGTGACATAAAAGCATTTTATTATTATTAGTATTTTTGTTGGTTAGGGTCCTAAGTCAAAACCTTATTTCATCGGATATGCTCTGAAAGATGATGTGTACAGTATCATTCATCACTTTATTCCAGCTGGTAGTTTAGACTATCCTTCACCTGAAGGTTTTCTAATGAGCAATAGCGCAATGAAGAGGTACTGAGAGAGAGAGAGGGAAAGGACTTTACGATTGAATTATTTTTTAGAGTTTCTAAAAACATAAAATCATTTAAACCATCTTTTACCATAGACCCTAGCTATGAGGTAGACCAATAATTAATAATTTAATATAATATTCTGTTTTAATCTCTTTTCTAGCTATCATTGTTCCTTAAGTACATGAAATCTCCTTCTCTCTCCGACATGTTCCCCACTCCTCCCCCTCCCTCCTCCACTGGGGTCCTCCTCACTCACTCAAAGAGGTTCTGTGTTGCTGGTAACCATGGAAACGACTGTGTCATAGAGTCTCGTGATAGTGGGACATATTGCCTAGTAATAATAATTTCATTTTAAGTTTTAGTTTTTTAATGTATTTTTAGTTGCCTCCGGTTTCCAAAGACAACGTTTTCTTTGCCATCAAAACGTGTGAAAAATATCACAAGGAAAGAAGTGAATAATTAATTAAATAATCGTTGATTAATTATTTAATTTCAGTTCCTATACAGTTGAGAACTTGGACCGCACCCGCTGCTGGTTTAAGATTACAATATTACAGTGACGTTGCTGATTCTAATTATAGGACGGTCTCAATTGGCTTGCCTAATACAGAAAGAGGTGTGGCTTTATTTTATTCTAATTAACAAGCACTCCGTAGGTCACTGTGCGAAACTGCTTGAGATATTTCGTGTGTCTTTTAATGATCATGAATTTGATTGGCTAGTTATTGCCGATGACGACACCTTAATTAGGTATAATATTAATTAATTAATTTTTAATTAATTTTAATGATAGTGTGCCACGACTGCTCTCTTTCCTTGGTTGCTATGACAGCAGTGTTTCCATGGTGATAGGAGAGGTGTATGGTTACCAGCTAGGAGAGGGAGGTTACCTCTACCCCACAGCAGGATCAGGGTACAGCATCTTTAACTAGCAGTAGTTTATTAATCAGTAATTTTCGAATAACTCTCTCTCTCTAGTGTTGTATTAAGTAGACCTGCTGTTCACACTCTCCTCCAGTCTAACATTAAGTGTCCTTCTCCTGATTATCCTGATGACATGTTTCTTGGTGCAATGATTCGCTCATTAAGGATTCCGCTACTGCACACGCCTCTTTTGCATCAAGTAACCACACCCATTAATTAATATAGTGCTAATTTGTTATTTCTGTCTATTTTAGAATCAGCCTGGTAGTTATAATAAGTTATTAATTAACGAAAGAGCATTGTCATTCCATCGCTTTAAACCAGAGGATCCAATGATGATATACAAGGAATACCTAACTAATAATAATAATAATAATAATAATAATAATAATAATAATAATAATAATAATAATAATGATAATGGTAGAACTGAGCTTTAGCCATGCAATCTTCATTAATCATTCATCGATCATTAACTTTCTGTAATAATTGATTAATTTTTGTTGATATAATTGTAATATTAGAAAGAGAGAATAGATAATAATAACAATAATAATAATAATAATAATAATAATAATAATAGTAATAATGATGACAACAGTGCTGTACATGTATATATCAAGGTGTAGAAGTAGAAATTGAATTCAAAAGTTATAATCAAAAGAGATCGAGAGAGAAGTGTAGGTGCATGTCCAAACATAGTCCGTTATACAAAACAAGAAATCGTTATAAAGTGGGCGTGACTTTTAATGAACTGGGTGTGGTTATGTCAGTACCTAGCAGTGGGCTAGTACCGGCAGATAACAAACTGACGAGCGATTGATTCGAGTCATCATTTTTATTTAAAATCAACTCAGATTCCTCGTCATTCTTTTTTAGCAGTTCAAGTAATGGCAGTGAAGCCACACCCTCTACATCTTTACCTCCTATTGGCATTTCTTCCTCACTTCGTTCATTATTATTATTATTATTAGTGGTAGGTGTGACTTTTTTTATTGGTAAGCCCCTTGTTGCCGACTCACACCAAGTAGCGAAACCTTGATTAACGAGCTCTCTATTAATAAAAGCCTGGCCCTAGGTACAATAACTATTAATAACTACACTGTTACTATGAATAGACTGTACCGTTACTAATAATAGTAACGTGATGCTTACCCCTGATCCATAGTGTGACGGTATATACAGCTCAACCAGAGGGTCACTGTTAGCTACATTAACTATCACGTGTACCTCAAGTACAGTCCCTTCAACCAGAGCTTGCAACACTAGCATACCATCATCAGCATTACCTAGGGACATCAGTAGTCATTAAAATAAAGTTAGGGAGAGCGATCTAACTAATAATGGTAGACTTAAGGAGACCCAGGGCTAAATATGAGAGAAAAAGCTGAGAATGGGATATTTCAGGAGACTAAAGTCTCTCTAGATCTAACAGTGTCAACAGACATGCAGACAATGCTCACTTGTGTTTGGTTCAATGTTTGACAGAAGACATGAAAAGGCTTGTACTTTTAGTAAAGTGTGCTCCCTCCTAGTGTAATAGTAAAATGAACAATAACAATTATCACTGATTGTTCCTTCTCTCACTTAAGTGGCTTTATGGAGGTGCCTGGTACAATAACTGAGCTACCATAATCAGTTAATTGAACTTCAAAACTTTTCTCGTCTGTCGCCTTGGCAACACGCCCTCGCAGCCAATAATCATCACTCACTCGTACTGCACAGTGCTTCCCTAGAGTAGGTGTGGTCTTTGCCGCTCCTGTTTCTTCGACAGCGTAGCTTCTTGACATGCTCTGGTGGAGTGTCTCCAATAGCTGGGTGCTAGTGTATGGAACTAACCACAGACGATTGAGTCTCTCAATATAAGTCACAATACCAAGGAATACATCAGAAGGGCACTGTGAAGGCTCTATAGTGTAATCCCAATTAGGTTCGCTATGTTGTATGTCGTTGACTTTACCCACGGTATTGACAGGCGGTAGAGAAGGAGGGAGAACTGGAGGGAGGGAGAATGAGACCTCGGGGTGTCTCGTGAGAATGAGATCAATTGCCGAGTTTATCTGGGACTGGGTACCCTGTACAATGCATGGGACAAAGAGAGAGTCTTTAGTGAGGCTCTTTTGCTGTACGTGAATTTGAGCGCCTGATTCGGACATCAAGGTCTTGATGTTCCGTCCCTGTCGACCGATGAACCTTCCAATGACGTCAACCGGTAGCTGGAGGGTAGCACGTACACGCCCACCTCTTATCGCCGTTGTATCAACGGAATGTCTTCCCTTTTCAGCTGATGACGGGGGAAGAGGAGGAGAAGGAGGTGGGTGGTAGGAGGGCAGGCTGGTTGACTGTGGGGTAGAGTCTGTCTCATTATCTCTTGTTGTTTGTAGGCGTAATGGAGTGGACTGATCCGTGAAACCAGAATCAGAAGGACTGCTAACGAGCGGTACTGCAGCTGAGCTCTTACCCTGAGGAGAGTTTAAAGTTTTATCCTCGGTTTTATCTTCATTGTTGGGTTTATTTTGGCTACTGCTGGTGTTTGGGGTGTCTGGTTGGACCTCTAATGGCTGCCGCCTCTTTCCCTTCCAATATCTGTAGCTGATAATGGCCACAACCGCGAGAGAGGGAAGACACAGAGCGAGTACCTTTAGAGGAATCATCTTCTTTGAGACTGAATGACCACTCCCTAGCTCGAGCGATCTTAAACACGTGAAAGCACGTGGAATATCACGTGATCTTTAAAATTATTAAGGATTTAAAATTTTGAAAAAAATAATGATAATGATCTATTCTTGCTTGATTGAGCACCATTCTAAACAACAACAACAACAGTAAACAATAAATAAATAAATAAACTGATCTTACTTCTCCATAATAAATCCACACATCTTTTATGATAATCTTCAATTTGAATTGGACTGTTGCTATAAGACATTTTCTTTTTCTTTCCATTATAAGATGCAGGAGGATTCTTGGGCTTCTTCATCTTAACAAGGTCTCCGTTATTATAAACATGTACTCCAGCTACTACAGGCTGGACATCAGATTTATGCAGAACAGTTTTCTCTGTTGTAGTCTCCTTGATGTCATAGTTATGGTTTGTAGTTTTAACTTCACTAAAATCATGATCTGAAGACACTCCTGAGTCAGTAAATAGCTTGCTTGATAGGTATTCTAATAATTTATTAAGTAATGTCTCCACACAGTTGCTATTTTTATCATTTTTTTCATCATGGCTGAATGATATCAGTAGTCCTTCTAAATGGCCTTCTTCAAGGAGGCTGTAAGAATGAACTGGCAACTCTGATATAACTCTTGACATCTCTTTGATGTCTTCAAGCTACAAATAAATAAATAAATAAATAATAAGGTAGATATTTCAAATATTACTTTGCAATCTTCTCTAGTTTCAGAGGCATAGTGATCATCATCAAGTTTCTCCAATATTCTATCATATTCAAGAAGAAAGACCTCAGTATCTCCTGCCCGCAGTGCTCGTCCCAGTATAAAGGACTCAGGTGTATAGAACTGAAAGGAACATGTTTATTGTATCCTTCTAATAATCACATATAATACTCACCTGCAGTGTTTTGTTTGCCATTTTTCTGGTTACCAAGCAACACACGTGTTTAACGTGCACGGAATTCCGTATTCTTGATAGATAGGTGTGGCTTAGAAAAAAGAAGGCGGAGCTTAAGTAAAGATGGTGGATAACGTGTATCTTTTTATTCCAAACATAATAGGTGCTTCTCAGTGACTAATAATAATTATTACATTAATTATAGGATATGGCAGGATCATTTTACTCCTGGTCTCATTTTACTTCATGCCATACAACCCAGAGATTGCCATGGCAACGTACATGCTGAGTCAGCTCCTTGACGCCTTCGATGGCTACACTGCAAGACTCTTCAAACAAAGTGTCCTACTTTATTTATTAATTTATTTTTATTTTTAAACAGCAACGATGTTTGGAGCCGTACTAGATATGGTCACAGACAGGTGAGACGACTTTATAAAGCATATTTTATGAAGAGACGTATAACCCCAGGGTATCCACAATGTGTCTATCCATTGTATTAGCTATGTTTTATGTTCGATACACTTTCCTAATACAATTTGTGGTAATGTTGGACATCAGCAGTCACTGGTTACAGATGTACTGGTATGTACGGAAAATGACTCTTTGTATTTTAATATTTACCCCCTGGGGGCCCCCTTTAGCTCACTGGTGTGCGGAGAGAAAAGTCATAAGGATACTGATAATGTGTTCTTGAAGCTCTACTACAATAATAGAGTAAGAAATAGCTCATAATGGAGTTAATACTTTTGTCAAAATGTGATAAAATTGGGGGTGATTTTGGAGCCATTTTGGAAAAAACCATGGGCTATAGTACAGGGATTTTTTCCGAAATTTGGAGTTTTTAAAAAGTAGTCATAGCTCGAAAAATTGAAGTCGGAATTGGCTCAAACTTTCTACGTAGCAAAAGTACATCAATATGTATCAGAAAATGTAATAAAAATTGGGGGTGATTTCGGAGCCATTTTTTGGAAAAAACCATGGGCTATAGTACAGGGATTTTTCCCGAAATTTAGAGTTTTTAAAAAGTGGTCATAGCTCGAAAAATTGAAGTCGGAATTGGCTCAAACTTTTTACGTAGCATAAGTACATCAATATGTATCAGAAAATGTAATAAAAATTGGGGGTGATTTCAGAGCCATTTTTTGGAAAAAAACATAGGCTATAGTACAGGGGATTTTTCAGAAATTGGCTTATTTTGAAAATGGTCATAACTCTTGAAGTTACCTCAAGACTTCTTGTATGGACAATGTCTATAATATTATGTATTTTCCTCTTATTTTAGACGGTTTTATTTTTAATGTGTGCTGGCAATGAACTGTTCCATCTAATGGCATACATGATGTATTTCTCCAATGGTCCTTTAGGTAACCATAAAGCAATATATCACCTTCCTTCCTCTTCCTCTCTCTCTCTCTCCCCCTCTCTCTCTCCTTTCCCCCCTCCCTCTCTCATCATTTCTTCTTTTACAGTTGCTTTCCATTTAGGACTCTGGCAGATACTATTCTTCGTCACTGCTCCAGTCTGTGCTTTGAAGCAGTTGATTAGTGTCGTTCAATTAATAGCAGCTGTGCAGCGTCTCGTGGAGATTGACACTGATAACAGACTCAAATCAAGCCAGCAACAATAAATAATCATAAAAACATGAACTATGTAATATCTTCTAGATATCAGTATTTTTTTTGCCTTTTGATATAAATTTAATTTTAGTAGTTTTAGTGATAATTTTATAATTATGCATGTTAATGTGGGCGTGGCTGAGAACCAGCAACATGGAGACTGCAAAGAAGTGGGGAAAGAGGATAATTATAATAACTGCAGTCACTGGAGGCAAGCTGCATCATTTATTATATGATGATGGTTATTATTATTATTATTGTTACCGTAGGAATCACTTATGGAGTAGTCAGTGTATATAACAAAGTGAAGAGAGAGAAAGAATTAAAGACAGAGGAACAGAAAAAATTGAAGTTGTTTTTGCAATTTATTATTATTCTTATATGCTTTGTAAATTTCAGGAATTCATTTGACATTTATACAGAGATTCAAAGAAACTGCTACACTACTGGTAAATCAATTAATTAATCAATTTATTATTATTAAATGAATAGTGTCGGATTTATTATGTCGCATTAATGACATAATTAAAAATGAATTAAAAACCGAATCAATTACTGCACAACTAAAGGAAAAGTAAATAATTAATAATAATAATAATAATAATAATAATAAATTCTACTTACAGCCCTACTAATAAGATAGCTCTATGGGAATCACTAAAGATAGCGAGTATGTAGCAGCTGCTATTAGTCATTATTTCCCTCTCTTTCATTAGGTTTCTCCTCCAGTGTACTCTCAGTCTGTGTGAGTTCAATGATCATCATTTTAATAAGATACCAGCTCAGCATAATATCAGCCGCTCTCTGTTGCCTTGGAAACAGAATGGTACTCCTAATGCATTGTTCTTGTTATTCATTAATTTAATGTTGTTTGTTTGTTGTTTAGACTAAAGAGCAAGAGAAGTTATATTTATTAATGATGTGTCAAATGTTTGAAGAAGGTAGCTACACTGCACTTTATTGCATGCCAAAATTTTGTTGAAGAGCAATTTTATCATACATTATGTTTCTTGTGCATGCATGTCTTTTAAAAATATTGTATGTCATTCTTTAAAGGACTTGTTGATCTGATAAGTGAAGTGAAGAGAACCACGGAAACTGTCATGATGTCCTACTCCCTCAAACACTCCCTCACCATCAACCTAATAACTGCAATAATCAACAACATCATCACTCAGTCGTCGAGCAGGTGTAGTCTGTTGTCATGACAATATGTGTAACCATGACAACAAGTACTTCCCTCCTTTTAGATCACTGACCGATTACTGGTTGCTGAGGTACATGAAGAGAAATGAAGGGACAGGAACCGTAAGAGAAAAGAGAGAATGAGAGCTGATTATTATTGATGGACGTGTTTAGGCCCCAGGAGAGATTACTGATCTTATACTGGCCACTGAAGACGCCATTGATATGTGAATTAAATAATTATAATATAATGATTATTATTGATTGATTTTTAGAGGTGATACTCAGACAATATTAACGGAATTAATCAACAGCTCGTTAAGTTATTACAGTTTATTAATCAATGACTCGTTTCACTCTGCTGCTCAAAGGTATTGTAGTATGTAATGGAGTAACTTCAAAAATTTGTTTTAAAAAATTTAATTTTAAGAAACCTTTTCTTTCTTTTAGCTCTGGAGCGCTACCACTGGCTAGAGTCATTCCTTTACTGTGTGATCACTCGGTTTTATTTCTTGACTCTCAGCACAACAAATATTTAAAAGTAACTTTTAAAATTATAATTATATCGAACCAAACATCTCTCTTTCCTCCAGGAGATGGTTGATGACTTTAATCTCATGTCTTGTTCAAGAAACATTTTTGAGGCATTTAGCAAAGGATTGAACTGAAATACTAACGATGAACGATGATGATGGTTTTTTAATGTTGAAAAAAAAGGAATTTACGCCAAAAAATAATAAATCAATTAATTAATTAATGAATCTTAAATGAGTTCTGAGAGGGTAACTGGAGGTTGTGCCACTTCTGCCGATGATGAAAGTGGGCGTGGAGTGTACGATGCTCCTAATAAAAAGTCCGCCACTTTTCCGGCCTCTCTCAACCCACTCAACAAAGCACCATGAACTGTAGCAGGATAATTCCTTATCGTGTGTTCACCAGCAAAAAATAATCTGGGTCTATAAATAGCAACAATGATGTCATAGTACGTTACTAAAAATAGATACCTTGGCACAGTGCTCCCTGCTCTGGTGGGGCTCACTGAGGCAGCGAGGAAATCATAATCGTTGCCACTGGAACCGGAGGCTATGTATGAATAGGAACCCCTGGCGTATTCATCCCCTCGCCATCTTGTTACAAATGTTTCCTTGGGCTAAAAATAAATAATAAAAATTAATAATTAATGTATCTATTTTTAGTAACATTTTCTATTATTACCTCAGGTACTGAATTATCTCCAAATATGGACCGGAGTACGGCCATTGCTTTAGCGGTAACAACATCGTCAGGAAGTGACTCGTACTTAACAGCATCCTCACCTAATTAATAATAAGTGGGTGTGGTTATTAGTAGGTGTGGTTTACCGGCTAATAAAGCGATGAGTACAGGCGTGAAACTTAAATGCCAAAACATGAAAAGCTCTCCTCTTGAGGTAGTGCTGGAGGCAACGTGACCAAACAAATGAACGTTTGCATCCCAAAACCTCTGTTCAAAACACAATATCACCTAAAAATATAATAAATAAAAATAAATAATAAACAATAATTATACTTTATTTAAAAGCCCAAATCCAAGGTCGTTAATGGCCTGTTGCTTCCACTCTGGTAGAGGAGGTTGGAAGGTGATGGCACCTGCTTTAAGAACCCCAAGAGGAACAGTAACAACAACAGCATCAGCTTTGAACGTGTTGGTACAACCTGACTCGGTTGAAGTTGCTATCACCTCAGTACCTGAAAGAAGAGAGACATACAAGTTATAATAATAATAATAATAATAATAATAATAATAATAATAATAATAATAATAATAATAATAATAATAATAATAATAATAATAATAATAATAATAATAATAATAATAATAATAATAATAATAATAATAATAATAATAATAATAATAATAATAATAATAATAATAATAATAATAATAATAATAATAATAATAATAATAATAATAATACATGTACATTATTCTCTTACCGTCAGCGGAATAGTTGATAGCAGTTACAGCTGTCTTTAATCTGATGTCCAGTCCTTTGGATAGAGACTTGGGTAGAGCGTCGTAACCATCTCGTAAACACAAGTGAGCACCTGTGAATTCAAAATCATCATCTTGATCCCAGTGACGGAGGGACAACACGTTTAAAGGGCTCGCGTTAGCAAACTCAAGATTAGCGAAATGCCAGTCCAAGATTTGTCTGTCCCGTGGTGAGAGGTAGACAGCTGGTATGTCAGTGTCTTCAGCTTCATCAAGACGGTTCTCTATATCTTGTCTTTGCTCGTGTAAAGTGTCGTACTGTTGAAACAGCTGGTATAAGTCCTGCTCCGTTGAACGTTTTATGAAATCAATATCATTCGGACTAAATAAATAAATAAATAAATATTTATTATCCTCCTCCTCCTCTTACTTGTTTCCGTGAGCTTCTAAAAGTTGTCTCTGTCTCTCTTGCCCCTCCTTCAACTTCATTTGTATTTCTTTTATTTGAGTGTAGATCCCTTTCAGCTCCAGTTGTAATGATGACATTATCGTTAGGTGTTCTTTAAGCTTCTCCCGAGAGTGCTTCTCCTGCAGTCTGACAAGAAATGACAATAAAATGACCAAAACTAATGGGTTTTTGCTTTTGTCACGGATTTCGTGACAATGGAACTAATGGGTTTTTGTTTGTCACGGATTTCGTGACAATGGAACTAATGGGTTTTTGTTTGTCACGGATTTCGTGACAATGGAACTAATGGGTTTTTGCTTGTCATGGATTTCGTGACAATGGAAGTAATGGGTTTTTGCTTGTCACAGATTTCGTGACAATGGAACTAATGGGTTTTTGCTAATCTGTGATCCTCTCTCTTACTCAATGAGCAGTTCCAGTGCTTCTCCTAGAGACAGTGAATGTCCATTGAGTTGGTCCACCTGGAGGTGGTGTGAGAGGTAAGACACAGTGTCCAGTAGCCTGTTAAACTCCAGTTCTACTGTCCTGTCCCTCTCCCTCGGTACCATTTCCCCTGTGGTGTAGTACAGCGGGCACCTCCTCCTTATCTTTGACATCTGGAGCCCGACCTGTTTCCTTATCACAGATAATGGGTTACCACCTGGGGGTGTGGTCAATTAATCAATTAGTGGGTGTGGCTATATTTTACGAACCTAATCCAGTTACAACCATTGCTCCTAAATCTGCCGAGTAAGCACCTTTTCTGAATGTATTGACACGCCCACCAATACGATCCTATATAAAATACATGTAAGGCCACACCTACTGCCCCGCCTACTCTTGCTTCAAGGATAGAAACGTCAAGCCCAAAGTATTGCAGCTGTCTTGCTGTCATTAGTCCACTGATACCACCTCCTATTACTAGGACTTTGAAAGGCATCTTACCTAACATAAGAACACGCGGACATGTTATAAGATGTACATGTGCTAGGTGTACTACTGTCAGTTATAAGTACCTTCCAGTGGGTTTTGCTGTTTAAAGACTCCAAAATTGATGAACCCGTATCTTGAGAGGTACCCATGTATCCTCAAAACCAAATTACTCTTCCCTGAAACTAAATAAAAATAAAATATAAATAAAACACACTAAATTAATTATAACTAGCACACATACACACACTTTACAAAAGATAATGAAGACAGTACATGCACATGGATCATAACCTGAGTGAGGTATGTTAGCAATCGATTGTGCCTTATCAGCAGTTAGTTCGTTCAAAGGATCGTGAAGCCAGGCCTGGAGCAGTTTATTTCTGATCCTCAGAAACTCCATAATGGCTGACTGGGACCCGCTGGCAATGTCTGGAAAGAAATCAATTTCCTGTCTTGTTAGTTTATTAGCTGGGAGACGACTTTGAAAAGCAGCACCGTCCAGACCTATGAATAAATAATAAGGATGGGTGTGGTCAAATACCAAGTATGTGGTTAGTAAATCTCAGTATATTTGGTGGGCGTGGTCGTTACCTGGCGGAAGATCTGGTTCTATGTCAGAGTCCGAATCACTTGAGAACTCATCGTCCATTAGTACCGGAACCTGCTCACTGGAAACCCTCTCGTCATCCTCTGGGGCATACAATAACTGATTATAAATAGTTAATAACTAGCCCCGCCCACAACCTCACCCTTTGGTGTAGAATCGCTTGTTCTTGTGTGGAGACAATAACTTCGTCTGTTTCAGCTTCAATGTTGTCTACTGGAGATTAAATATTGTTTATTTGTGTTTATTGTTGTTGTTTACTGTTTGTTTGTTGCAGTTCAGGAGCTCCCGCCACGAGCTGAGACTGAATGCATTCCATGACTGGATCTCCCTCCATTTTGAGTCAGTTCACCTCCGCACACTCCAGTAATCCCATAATTATTGGATAAACTCCGCCCACAACATAAGCAAAATTATTTATAACGAATTTTTTCAATGACAATAATAACATTGTTTTAGTGAAAATGAAAGTTTTTAAAATTTAGAATCTTTTCTTTCGTAAAATTTGCGGCTTCCATTCAACAGGATGTGTCTCTTCAGTCTATAAATAAAAAAATAGAAAAAATTTGCATCCCACATCTTTCGCTCTCTTTCTTACAGCTGTCTCATCTTCTTTGTATATTTTGATTGTCTTGTCAGCTTCTCCAGTGATCAATCTGCAGCCGCTCATGTCAAAAGACGAAGCAAATATCCCAGTCTCGCTGTCCAGGGATCCAGGCTGGGCCAGAGACTGGAGCTTCTGGAAACAATAACCACTTCTCCAGTCCCAGAACTGCATAGTACCGTTATCAGCTGTAAATAATAACAACAACAACAATAATAATAATAATAATAATAATAAGCACTAAAAATAATAAATAAATAAAATAAATAAATAATAGTAATAATAAATATAAATAATAAAAATAATGATAATAATAATATTACCTCCAGACATTAACACATTGTCGGAGTTAGCTGATAAAGTATTAATTATTGATTGATGGCCGGAGAGATTCTGTAGGAAAGTCCCATCAGGGAACTTCCACTGTTTAATGTTATCAGGAGAGGCAGAGGCAAAAGTGAACCTGTTGAGAATATATGTATCAGAAAATGTAAAAAAATTGGGGGTGATTTCAGAGCCATTTTTTGGAAAAAACCATGGGCTATAGTACAGGGATTTTTCCGAAATTTGACACTTTCTTAAAATGGCTGTAACTTGAAAAATTGAAGTCGGAATCAGCTCAAACTTTCTACATAGCATAAGTACATCAATATGTATCAGAAAATGTAATAAAAATTGGGGGTGATTCCGGAGCCATTTTTTGGAAAAAACCATGGACTATAGCCTTGGGTATTTTTCAGATTTTGGGCGTTTTCTTAAAATGGCCGTAACTTGAAAAATTGAAGTCGGAATTACCTCAAACTTTCTACACAGCATAAGTACATCAATATGTATCAGAAAATGTAATAAAAATTGGGGGTGATTCCGGAGCCATTTTTTGGAAAAAACCATGGACTATAGCCTTGGGTATTTTTCAGATTTTGGGCGTTTTCTTAAAATGGGCGTAACTTGAAAAATTGAAGTCGGAATCACCTCAAACTTTCTACGTAGCATAAGGGCATCAATATGTATCAGAAAATGTAATAAAAATTGGGGGTGATTCCGGAGCCATTTTTTGGAAAAAACCATGGGCTATAGTACAGGGATTTTTTCAGAATTTTGGCATTTTCTTAAAATGGCTGTAATTTGAAAAATTGAAGTCGGAATTAGCTCAAACTTTCTACATAGCATAAGTACATCAATATGTATCAGAAAATGTAATAAAAATTGGGGGTGATTTCGGAGTCATTTTTTTGGAAAAAGCCATGGGCTATAGTACATGAGATCATTACTTACTCTTCTGGATGGTTGACCATAGCTCTAACTGATTTCTTATGATGCGTCAATATGCAGGTCGTCTTTCCAGCTGCTAAATCCCAAAATCTTATGGTAGAGTCATGGCTCCCTGTCACAATCTATTAATAAACTATTATTAATAAAATATAACCAGTTATTAATTAACCTGAGGCTCCACCCCCTGAGTGAATAAAGATGCTATTGTGTTGGTATGACCACTCAATGTATGAATGCAAGCTTTGGTCCTCATGTCCCAAACCTATGAATAATTAATTAATTAATAACTACCAATTAATTATTAATTAGTAGGGGCTTACCCTAGCTGAAGCGTCTCTCCCAGCTGTCACTAGTACATCAATTGTTGGATGTAACGAGATACAATATACTCCACTCAAATGACCATGATAATGTCTAATCACCTAACAACAACAATAACAATAACAACAACAACAATAATAATAATGATAATAGTGAAATAGCTACTTTGTTTTGTTCAAGGTCCCAGCACTTGACTAGTTTATCCTCGCCACAGCTGAAGAGGTAAGGTTGTCGTGGTGACACTGCAAGACCTCGCACTGAGCTAATGTGACCAGTTAGGGTGAGCTTTAAACGACCACTGGACAACTCCCACAGCTAATGATAATAATAATAATAATAACAATAATAATAAAGACACCTTGATAGTTCTATCTCCACTCCCAGTAGCAAACCATTCATTACTTGGATCAACAGATATTGATCTGACCCAACCTAGGTGACCACTGATAACCTGAGGAGAGAGAGAGAGGGGGGGGGGAGAGAGAGAAGGAGAGAGAGAGAGGGAGGGAGGAGAGAGAGAAGGAGAGAGAGAGAGGGAGGGAGGAGAGAGAGAGAAAGTAAAGTATTACTCCATTGTCCCTTACTCTCATTAGTTTCCATGGTGGGTGCCACTGTGGCTTTATGGAGACTGGAGCTTTACGAGGCACCAGCTGTTTAGTACCAGCACTTAATACAACCGCCTATTAGTGTTAATTATAATAAATAAATAAATAAATCAATAAATTAATTACTTGTGAATCTGATCTACCAGTATGTATGTCAGCCAGTGAAGCACCAGTCGGACTAATAAATAAATTAATAACTATATTATTAATTAATTAATTAATCGTACGTATCTCTCTTTTGATTGGTCACTTCTTCAATCACATTATGTATCCCTTCCTTACTCAGTGGTCTGTGAGTTGCAGCTGTACCTGAACTCAATTCAACGCCTAGTGGTGTGTTCTAATTAAAGAGCACCTGACGAGACTTACCGGGAGCTGATGGGTAGGCGTGGCCAGTCAACACTTTAACTTGTTCTTGAGGCAATGCTAAAATAATAATAATAATAAATTCAAAATGGCTGACAGTACTGGTTTTTCCTGGCAGGATTTTAGCAGTCGCTTTACTAACTGCTTCAGTAGGCGGAGGCATATCTTTAACAATTTTGTGTTCGTCTTCAATTTTAGAAGCAATCTTAATCCTCAGCCTGGCAGAAATAACAAAAAATTAAAATTAAATTATAATTATTTATTTTAACGAGAAGGCCTCTCACGCCTTAGGATCTTCTTGCATCGGATGTCCTTCCTCAGAAAGGAACATGTCGTGTGTCCTTTTCAAGGAGCGGAATATCAAAGTGTGGACAGAATGCTTCACTACAGGTATATCCTCCACGCCAGCCGCCATTTTGTCTTCAGTTAATTAATTTTATTAATAACTTAACCATTAATGATTATTAATAGTTATTAAAATCATAATTGCTTAAAAAGTTCATTTAGTTCTTTGCTAATGGCACAGTCTCTCAGCCTCCAATCCAGAGCTTCAAAATCAACTATTTCTATTATTTCTTTATAATGATAAGTCCTATAATAAATAATAATAATAATAATAATAATAATAATAATAATAATAATAATAATAAAAACTTGCAAGATTGATTTGTAATATCGCTCAGTTAAGACGCACAGAGCTCCAAATAATTGAAAATCAATTAGTTGTTCTTGTGAAATATCTGCAATCTATTGCAATACAGTTATTGCTGGTTAATTAATAGTTATTATATTAGTTATTACTTCTAAAATCTTCTCTACTTGGTCTCTGTTAATAAAATTAAAATGCACATCAATTATCCCATCAACAAGAGTCTCCTACAGTTTAGTAAACAATAAACAACAACAAACAACAATTATACTTTATTTTTATTGATGCCAGCTGGTAAACGATTGAGTTTGTTGAAGGTTTTCATGAAATGAGCTTTATGCCTTGGACTATGTGATGACATTAATATCCATTGATATGTATTAACTATTATTATTATTACTGTATGATGCAAAATCGAGAGAGATACTCTGATGGTGTCATCTCTAGCAATAAATAAATAAATAAAATAAATAAATAAATAAATAATCACAATTTATGTCTCACTCTCTAGTATTTTCAGGTCCATTGGTAATTCAAATCTTGTTGAGGATGAAGGAGGGCCTCCGGCAGATCCATCACAAATCAGCCATTTTGATTTACCTTTCTTCTTACCTTTCATCTAATGCAAAAGACAATTGCATGCACGTCAAACATAGTTAAACATATTTATTGTACAATGACACAGTACAATGATGATATTGTATTGGTCCATTCACACTATACTATGCCCAATGTAACTCATTTTGACTGCACAGTAAGCATAATGTGATTGGTTTATATACTTTTAAGAAATAGTCATCTTCATCAGCTTCATTGTCTTTATCATTTTGAGTATCAAGAGTTCTGAACTATATATATGGCAACATGTAAATGTGTGAGTTTTCTCTACTGCTTTACTTTATCCCTTCCATCTTCATCTCCTGATTGATATCCAGTCTTCCAATTCTTTAACCTGCAAAGAGCACATGATGCTACACATTTCTATGCTAATATCACTACAACACCTGTTTGGATCATCATAATCACCACCAGAGTAATTATTCCCCAATCCTGTGTCATCACCTCCTAACCTTTCTTTATCATTATCAGTATCTTCAATATCAGTAATGAGGATGTCACCAGTTTCATTTTCATTACTAGTCATTCCACCTGCTCCAGCATCACTATCATCATCATCATCAAGCCCATTACCTTTTCCTTTCCTTCCTCCTTTATCACCTTTACCAAAATTATCATTATCATCATCATCATCATTATTGTTGGTAGTATCTTCATAAAGTGTCCCCAATCCTTCACCACCTGCCATATTATGTCTATCATGTTCACTTAGCCGCTTCCTGTTTAAACCAGAAAACCTGTTACCATAGTCACTCTTTGGTCTACGTCTGGACTTCCGTTGGTGCATGGTCACGTCCCATTCTCTCGGACGTATTGGTTTCTCATTCCAGAAATTAAAGTATTGCGGGACGCTCGAGAGAGAGACTGGAGTAGATATCTCTTTAATTCGTGGAGCAGCTGGGGCCTCTGCTGACAGACCATGAGAAGACTCTGAAGTGTTATTTAGCAACAGATGACCACCTTGTGCTGAGCTTATCCGCCTCAGTCTGCTCTGGCTTCTCTGCAGAGAGGAAATAAACAGTGATATATTTGATACTAGATAGAACTTTGAAGTGATTCTGCTAATCATATGCTATTGAGTTACGAACTTTAATTTAATCTTAAACCATCAATTAGCACATGGCTATTGTGGAGCAAAAAATGGCTCTAAAAACTCTCACACTGACATACATGACATTTATCATTATAATTATACCATTATATATGCCATTATATTTAGCTTATTAGCTCACAATTGGTTGTGCTGTACTGGGTCTTGCTATTCTTCTATTGCTGGGTCCATTAACATTAGCAAAATGAGCTGCTGCAGTTGACGGACGCGCTATTCTCCTTTGCATTGGATTACCATCTCCTGCTCCAACTGAACCTATCACTGATATTCTTCTAGTTGCTGTAGGTGGCCTTGGTCTAGCTGAAGAAACTCCTATAATACAGTAAGTGATCATAATGATAGTTGCTTCAATTAATGTTTAATGCCTGCATACTTTGAGTTCTCTTTAATTTGCTTGCAGGAGCTGATTTTGGTCTGCAGAGCAATGAAGAGTTACTAGTGGACTTGTAATACCAGTCCTCATCATCACTGCTTAAAGGTAGCTGTGAAACCTGCAAACAATAAACAACAACAATAAACAACAAATGTGAGCTCCACCCAGTTCACAAATAGCAAGTTTAAGTTTAAAGTGCAAGTTTATGGCTGTTATCTCTACTGATAAAGACTTACCTGTGATCCATATATAGAGTGGAGTGTAGTACTAGAAATGGCGTCAATATCAGTCCGGCTGCTACCAGAAGCTAGCCAAGGCAGCTTGCTCAAGTCTGCCATTCTTCCTTCTCGAGCTAACGCCCACGCTCCTGCACTAAAATTCAATTATTTTTGCTCTCCCACGCGGTTGCTAATTGAAATCATAGTCCTTCAATTGAAGTCATGGACCTTTCAATGTTTATATATAACAATATTTACAAAAATAATTGTATTTATTCACAAAATATACAGTTGGAATCTGCCACACACGTAATGAAGCTGCTATGAATATTATCATTATTATTATTATTATTATTAATTATTTGCTTTTGCTTGATAGCTCCTTCTGCAAAACAAAATGCTCCTAAAATGAACATTAAAACAGACTTTATCGCTCTCTCTCTCTCTCTTACTTTGTGCAATACTTTCAATTGTCCTTTCAACTCAGCTATTTCATCATCTTTCCATTGCAATTCTCTCTCTAATCTCTCTATCTGATATTGCTGCCTCTGCAAGAAAGAGAGAGAGAGAGAGTGAGAGAGAGAGAGAGAGTGAGAGTGAGAAAGATAAGAGAGAGTTACTATAATACTTTATTGGTTTCTTGTTTCCCAGCTGGTGAATAACTTGATGTGCGCAACAAAACAGAGCGACCACTAGATTTTGTCTGCTATTGTCATCAAAATTAATAAAAATTGATAATAATTACTTCTTTATCGGTGAACTGATGAACAGCCTGTCGAACGGAAGACAATTCGTTTTGATGTATCTGAACAATAAAACCAATAAAAAACAACAATTGAAGATTTGTACATGCATTACATACCTTTGTTAAAAATTCTTTTTGATTCTTCAATGCTTCTTCCTTTTCTAGTTGAGCCTTTGTTCTTAACTGCTTCAGTTCCATAGCCTAAAACACAATCACATGATAGTCACATGATAATCACATGATCTAACCTTTTCTTTACTGGCACTGGCTGTGATTTGCTTTTCTTGTCGCAGCTGCTCTTTCAAACGAGTGATTTCTCTTTGAAGCTCTTCATTCTCAATTTTATAGTTTTGCTGTAACATGCAGTTAATGATATGCATTCATGCAGGCAGACATGCAGTGTTGTTCCATTACCTGGTTAGCTTTCTTAAGGAGCTGATTCTCTTTTGATCTCAAATGACGACATTCGTCTTCTAATTTGGACGCTTTACCTCGAAACTCTTGAGTTTTCTGTGGAAAAAAATGACAAAAATACAAATAATGAAGAATGTCCACTATACGTATACATATGCCATTATTAAATATTATTATTATTATTATTATTATTATTATTATTATTATTATTATTATTATTGTTAGTAAATATTATTATTGCTGTTGTTGTTGTTAAAATGAACTAAAGAACAAATATGCCAAAGAGAGGACAATTCCAAGTAATTCGTACTATAACAATAAAATAATGTCACTAGCGACCACAATACCTTATATGGCAAATAAAATAAAAACAGAAGCCTCACAAAATCTACTGGCTAGTCACTAAATATAATAATAATAATCAATTGACAGGGAATGCTGGCCACCTGCTCCAGTTGGTACACGTACATGGGCAGGTATACTTAACAGTGAGAAGGCTCTGCCACAATGACACAGCAGTCATATCTGATGTGGTGTAGTGTAGGTGCATGTATCCTAGCAGCTGCACTGGCTTTCAGTTTACCTCTTCTAGCTTATGTTTCAATTCTGATATTTCTCTATCTTTAATGTCCTTAATCTCCTCTTTACCTCTGGCAATGCTTATCAGCTGATTCTGCTTGAGTATTTTGTAATTTCTCTGTAACGCTTCTAACGTCTAAAGTATAACACATACAGGAATATAACTTTAACGCTCAAGAATATTAATATTATTATTATTATTTAAACAATTTCATTGTCATTTATTTTATTAATGATTGACTGGTATAGCAATGAATGGAATGGATGAATGAATGCATGTATAATAATAAAAAGAATAAGACTGGACGACAAGGAGGAGGAAAAGCAAATAGAAAATATATAACATTATCATCATTATCATTATAATTATTATTTAACATCATCAACAGTGGTGGTTTGTGTGGTCATGACCTCTTCTAGTTCACGACATTTTCTTTCTTTATTCCAAAGTTCTGACCGAAGCCACTCCTCATTATCCGCTATGTGTTTTAGGTGATCTTCTCCCTCCAGAACTCTCACTCTCTCAGCATCTCTCAACTTCTGCTTAGTAATATCAAGCTCCTTCTTCAGTACATTGGCTTCTCTTTTCAACTCTCGTACCTAAAAAGAGGAGGAGAGAGGAGAGAGAGAGATAGGTAGTTGATTCTTATTAAATGTACAATTAATTGAATGAGGACCAATAAACAATGCATGCTATTTGCTAATCAGCCAAATATTTGATTAAAGTATTTATACATACAGACTCTTTGCCAAATAGAATAATATCATGCCAATATTGAGACTACAAAATATTTTGGTGAATCTGCGGCCATATGTGTACAAATGGGCTATCAAAATGTCAAAATTGCCAATAAAAGCTACCAGCTGTAAACATTACATGTATTGCTAATGTAAATACGTACATCAGCTCTTGTCATTCCAGGAGGTAATCTTGTTGAGTATTGATACTGATCAGTATCAGTGTTAGTGTGTTGATTCTGATCAGAATCAGTGTTAGTTTCAGTGCTAAGATCAGTGCTTGATTTGACTTGATGCTCCGAATCGTCGTCACCAAATTCAGGACCACTAAAGAAGAAAAACAACTCATTAAACATTCATGACTATAAAAGATAACTAATATTCACAAGTGGGCGGAACATACCTCATATTTCCTGTCTCTTCGTCTATGGTCTGCTCTAAAGCTGTGCCTTTGGAAGGAGGGTGCTGACTCAGCATAGAGGATCTATAATGACCATATTTGGAAGGAAGCGAAAGTCTACGCGAGTCCTCTAAACTATCGAGTTTAGGCGCTAGCAACGGGCCGTTAATACTAAACCGCCTTTGGAACACACCTTGGAGAGGGTCCTCGCACTCGACAGGAGAGAGGGACCGATCCTCTAACGTCATGCTGCTTCCTTGAGACAGTCTTTGTTTGAACTGATACTCCGTTAGGCTACGCCTGATATGAGCCTGTTCATTAAAAGGCCAGGGTATATCATCATCGTAGTCATCATTAACGCAATGGCTCTGATCCTTTAACCAGCTTAGTAGTTCGGGTGGAGCTCCATGGACTCCTTTACGTCTCCGTCTGCCCTGAGAGGATTCGTCAACCGGTAAAAGAAGTCTGGCAGCTTCCTCTCGTTCCCTTTCCTCTCTAGCAATGTCATCATCGTAAGACGTGATTGAGAAATAGACCGTTGATTCCTGCTCACTTAAGATACTATCCACTGACATACGGTATCCATCTCTATTTGGCAGTGACCTCTTTCTGTTCACGTTGAGACTAGACCCCAGTAACTGGCCCATACTCACGTCATAGGTCGAATGGTCCAGGGACACACGAGGTGAGAGCCACCGTGGCGATGGTGAGAGGTCGCTGGCGGTTTCTTCAGGGACTGTCTCCAGTTTCCTGTTGTAGCTGTGCAGTAATAAATCAGGAGAGGCTTGGGAGTATAAGAGGGTGTGGTTTAGTTCAGTAGGGGAGGAAGGAGGTGATGGCGAAACAGGTGGAGTTGTGACACGTTTAGTTGATATGAAGTTATCAGCAGTAGCACCTAAAGGAAGGTCTACTTCTCTCAGTGAGTCTCCGCCCACTAATGCGCTCTGTTGTTCTATAAATTCTTTTTGCGGTTCGTTACTAGTTACTGAACATGCTACCTCTTCTAAAGCCCCGCCCCTTGGTGCACCCCCTGATGAATAAATACCCAATAAAGTCTGTTCGTACATTTTAGAAGGTTTTGCTGATTCAGCGTTATGCGGGATGAAGCGATCAGGAATCAACTGTGGTGAATCGAAATCACCGAAACCAAGAGAAGAGAGAAGTTCTGAAGCCATTGAGTAAGAAGATGATTGATCAAAGAGAGAGCTAATGGTACAGTCGCTGGACCCTCCCATGCTGGATAGACTCAAGTGTTTGGTCAGTTTACCTCTTCTGCCTTTGGTATTACTTGTCTCTTTCGATTTACTGAAATAAGTGAGAGCCCCCTCATCTAAACTAGCTGTTCTAGTCATTCCATTGGAGTGGGGATTACTTTTCGAAGAACGGGCGTGGTCTAATGATGAGCGGCTGTGAGTGTGGCTTGAAATGGACTGGGTATGGCTTGACTGGGTGCGGCTTGGTGATAAGAGAACATTATCTGAAGTACTTGCTAAAGATGAATGACTATATCTATTTCTTGTTTCGTTTAACACTTCGTTACCATGACAACTCGACGTACATTCAACAATCCCCGAATCTCCGCCCACAGCAGACGAATTGTCGTCCGTTAGGGTACTCCTGTTGGTTGCCGTGACAATGACGAGGGGACTCACCCCCGTACAGTCGGAGTGACACCTTTGCTTGTCAAGGACATTGTTTCTGTTCTCATTGCTTCTTCTAGCCAGTAATGGATCGCTGGTCTTCCTCTTATTATCTTCAGTGATGCCATTAAGGAGAACTGTGGCTGCTCTAAACACATCGCAATAGGAAGTGTCCCTCTCTCCTGCCGACACTATAGCACCCTGGTTGCCATGACAACTACAAGATAAAGAGAGAGAGAGAGTTCATCACTCAAGATCACAATGGCTACCACATGTTAGTTACATGTACAAGTACATGTACATCACCTCTTTCTCTCTCTCACACACACACACACGCAGAGCTAGAACACATGATGTGGTAGCCATTGTGATGCATGGTGTGACTCTCTCCCTCCCTCTCTCTCCTTTAAAAGGTGTGTTCCAATTTATCAAGAGACATTCCATCACTTAAACGTTTGCCAATAAATATACGTGGAAAGAGAATCAATAATATTACATCACGAGTGAAGCACATGCAGCAGGTGCTCGCGTAAACAGAATGTACCACTACAATGTACACTATCACTGCACATGTACAGTACAAATATGGGTTCACATTCATTACATACATGTACATACATGTATGTACATGTATGTACATGTATGTACACATGTGCACTATATACATGTACATGTGGTAATGATTGATAGTGTTGTGCTTATGAAATTTCCCAATAAAGCTGATAGTAATGGTTTCATTGCCAATTTATAACCTCTCAATTTCTCATTTCACTTACGTGTAGGCTTCTTTTTGCTGTTTAATAATTTCCTCTTGGAGGTGATCGTCTGAAAGGAGAAAGGGAGAGAGAGAGGGGGAGCATTAATTAAACTTATTATATACATTACCATGTACATAATCTAATGACGTAATTATAACTCATAATAATTAATTCAAATATTTGGCAGGTGTAATTTTTAGAATCATGTGATGGGAACTAACCTACTGAGCTTACAGCTGATGGCTTTCTACTGCTGTACAGACTATCATAATCTTCATCTGAGGAAGAGAGAGAGAGAGAGAGAAAAAGAGTAAAGGGGGTACACAAGGAGTGGTTCATGATTATTGGTATAAGATTACACAAGAAGTTGAACCCTTTGCTTTGATGATAAAGGTTAATATTTAAATTACTAGCTTTCAAGATGGCACTAACACCATTGTGGCAGACACCATAATCTAATTAATACTCACCCATAGCTGTGTCTATAGTATGACCAGTCCAGACGCTTAAAACCTGATCATTAGTGCTGCCTCTTATCTGTAGGGAGAGAGAGGTGGGAGACAAAAAGAGGGGGAGGGAGAGAGAGGGGGGGAGAGACAGAAACAAAAGAGCAAATTGAGAGATATTCAGGGAAACAGAGAGGGAAGGGAGTGTAAAACTAGCCCTTGAGGGCATGCTAAAATAACAAGGACTCATTAAAAATGTAATTTTAAGTTACTGTATTACAACATAATATTCAACACTTTATACAGAGGCTGATAATAATTCATTAACACCTTGCTGCAATGACTCACCTTTTCCATTGTCCCTTCTTGGAGTTGCTGCTCGGTCTCAGCTAGTGTTATATTCACTGGATCTTGTTGTCCAGCAGAAGGGTTTGCGGCGGTGGGGACTGTGTTATTAAAGAAAGAGCAAAATTGATATCGTATCAAATTTTAACAATTAAATACATGTAAATAAATATAGCAAGATATTGGGAGACGGATTTTACTTACTGACTACGTCCACCGACATTATGGCGTTCTTTCTTTCCCTCCAAATTCCTCTATACTGATTTTTATCTCTGGTCTAGTGCTCTTAGTCATGCAGTGAAGCAATATGGAATATGTGGCGGCGAGGGGTGAAATGGGTGGGGCTAGAATAGGCGGGGTTAATACAGGAAGTGACTTTGCGTGGGCGTTAGAGTCAGGTAAATAGGTGTGGTTTGGGTGTGGTTTTAAAATCAGGTGAGAAGTTTTTGGCTTTTTGCATGTGTTGCTGGTTGCTGTGGTGAGAGTGGATCATAGATAGAGAGGCTGATGATGGAGACTGGAGATGTAAAGACTAAAGTGTTCACAAAGTACAACTTGGCGAAGTTCTGGACTGTCTGTGTCATGTTTTTTGTTAATTTGTTGAACTACATGGATAGGTATACCATTGCTGGTAAGGAGGGAGAGATATCGTGTGTTCCTTTTACATGCAGCTGTATCCTTACTTCATCTAACGGCTGCCTTTCAAAAAATTAAAAATACCAGGCTTCGTAATTGATTATTAAGACACACCCGCTAATAATAACAATACTATTATTATTATTGATTTAATTATTATTATTAATTAAGGTATAATGACTGAACTACAGAACGTCACAAGGAATGGTTTCAATGAGACGATTGATGACACAGAGGGCGGTCTCTTACAGACAACATTCATCATTTCTTTTATGCTGTTGAGTCCGATATTCGGTTACCTTGGCGACCGCTTTACAAGAAAGTACATCATGGCTGTTGGAATATTCGTCTGGTCTGGTTTTGTTTTTGCTGGATCCTTCTCTATAGTAAGATAATAATAATTAACTATATTATTATTATTATTATTATTATTATTAGAATTATCCAATGCTGTTAGCTACCAGAAGTCTTGTAGGAGTAGGTGAAGCCAGTTATGCTACGATAGCTCCAACCATCATTGCTGATCTCTTCACTACCAAGAAAAGACTAAGAGTCCTATCATTGTTTTACATGGCCATACCAATTGGAAGGTAGACCAAAGAAGATGAGTTTTTATTGTAATTAAATGTACTGTAGTGCGATAGGTTATGGGGCGGGGTCTTTTGTTTCGTCACAAGTTTATCATCATTATCATGTGGATGACAGCTGGAGATGGGCTTTAAGAGTCAGTTATTAATTTATTATTATTATTATTATTATTATTATTGTTATTGTTACTTTTATTTCATCACTTGCAGTTGTCGCCCGGCCTTGGTTTAATATCAGTATTTTTAATATTATTTACGATACATGAACCTCCAAGAGGTCACAGTGAAGACCCACGGAATCATGGTGGGGTCAAAGCAGGCAATGGATTTCAACATTACTTTAACGACCTCCTAGCGCTAATGAGAAAGTAATAATAACAAGACTATTTATAATATTTTTTATTTAATTTCTTTTAGTCGGACGTTCTTGTTGTCTTCTTTTGGTTTTGCTGCTCTTACTTTTTCTGTTGGGGCCTTGGCTCAGTGGGCACCAACCTATGTATTGAGAATGTCAAGACTTATTTTTGCTGATGATCCATCAAAAGCATACACGTAAGTGGAATAGGAGGAAGTGGGCAGGGAGAATGAGAGCTAGGTGCTTCAATGTAGCCTCTCTTAATGGACACTCTCTATAGCATACACCTCCATTTAACGGACAGCACCTAGTGTACCAATTACATTCCTTACTGTATAAAATAACCTCCACATAAAGGACACTTCTGTATAACAGCAGTTTTCTTTTCCCAAAGTATCAATTACTGTAGAGGCTAGCCTGATATTCCCTGTTGGTATGCAGGAACAATAAAGTTGAAAATAACACAGTTGTTATAAAAAGATCTAATCATTAAAAATGACGGAAAGCGTCCAGTGAGTAGTTGATTTAGACTTTGGCTGATTTACTCTATGTGATTAATTAATAGTTATTATTACTACAATAATTAAAAGCGAGAAATAGATTATTAAGATAATTACTCAGAATACGTAATACAACTACATGTACCTCGAAGAGTTTACATTCTTAACGAATTAGCATTTCGTAACTTCCGTCTCATTTTCCTCCCCCCCTCTCTCTCCTTCCTCTCTCATTCTTTAAATTTATTGTACATTAATGCACCAGTATTATGTGTATTATTATTATTATTTTACTTTTTGCTAGTGAGAGTCAAGCTTCTTTAGGATTTGGTATAGTGACAGTTATTGCTGGACTAGTTGGTACTGTTTCAGGATCAGAACTAAGCAAGTTCATATCACGCTGGACTGACCAAGCAGACTGTATTGTGTGTGCTCTTGGGCTATTGGTGGGATCTCCATTGATGTATTGCGCCATAACCTTTGGGGCTGTCAATATATATCTTGGATGGGTAAGACAGATGTGTCTTTCTGATAACGTGTGTACATGTACATGCACCTATGTACTTGACATGTGCATAGGAATTTGTACACTACTAACCTTGTTGTTGTTGTTGTTGTTCTTATTGTTGTTGTTGTTGTTATTGTTGTTGTTCTTGTTGTTGTTCTTATTGTTGTTGTTGTTGTTATTGTTGTTGTTGTTTTTAGGTGCTGGTATTTATCGCTGAATTCTTTTTCTGTATCATTTGGGCGCCAGTTGGAGCTATATTATTAGTAAGTTTAATCAAAATAAATAAATAAATAAATATTTATTTATTTCTAGTATGTAGTCATACCAGAGTGTAGATCAACAGCTGAAGCTATTCAAATATTAATGATACACCTGCTCGGTGACGCTTCAAGCCCATTTATTATCGGAGCTGTAAGCCACACCCAATTATTCTAATTAATGCCCATTAAATAGGTGTCGGATGCTTTGGTAAAACATTTTCGTAACAGTCATGATGAGGTGTATAGCCAAGCCACTGGGATGCAGTACTCACTGTATATAACAGTGATAGTGGCGGCCATTGGAGGAGGGACCTTCTTGATATCAACATTAACTGTCATTGATGATAGAAAAGTAATTTTTATGATAACTTTAAAATTCGTAAAAAATCCAATTTGGATCAGAATCAGCCCAAACTTTCTACACAACATAAGAACATGTATATGCATCAGGAAATATTATAAAAATGGAGAATTCTCATCTTTTCATTTTTGGCAAAATTTGGCCCGAGACCATGTACTATAGTACAGGGACTTTGGCCTGCTTTTGGAGAAACTTTAAAATTTTGTAAATTATTATTTTCTGCCTCTCCTAGGCTGTCATTGTTCATGTAAAGAACAAACACACTCGGAATCCATCAGATACCAGCCACCAGTCCTTAAGGAGTGACGTTGATATCAAGTGTACAAATAATGGTGATGGTGATGATGATGATAATGATGATAATTTAAGTGATGAGAAGTCTCCGTTGGTTTCCAATGGACTGCATGTGTCAATTAACTCTTGAACATTATTTTCTAGCTACAATTTATACCTTTATTGAATAATCTCTTTCATCTTCCTCCTCTCTCTTTTCTTTCTGCTATTTTTGTGTTTTATAATAACTATGTAATACTTTTGATATGCAGCAACCATTAATGAATATTAATTAAGGTTGATAAGGTTAATGAATATTAACTAAGATTCATAAGGTTGATGAATATTGATGAGTTTTCTGCGCATGCGCAGTAGCTGCAAAGAGAAGCAAGATGTCCCGCTCTGATAGCAATGACTGCAAAGTGTATGTTGGTAATCTTCCCGGGGACATAAGGAAGAGAGACCTGGAGGACATCTTCTACAAATATGGCAAACTCGTTGATGTTGACCTCCACGATAGGAGGGAGACCCCATTCGCCTTCATAGAGTTTGAGGATCCCAGGTGAGGGATCACGTGATTTGTATTATTCTAATTAGTGCCCACAGAGATGCAGATGATGCCATTAGAGGTCGGGATGGGTACATGTTTGACGGGTACAAGCTACGGGTCGAGTTACCTCGCTCGTCACCTCGTTACGTTGGTGGGCGTGGTGGTGGGGGAAGGGGCTACTATGGCGGAGGGAGGCGTGACGGGTATGGGCGTGGTGGGGGACGCCAGTCAGGACACAAACTAATGATCACTGGACTACCGCCCACGGGATCTTGGCAAGATATCAAGGTTAATTAATCAGTGGGTGTGGTCTTTATTTATTAATACACTTTAGGATCACTTCAGACAGGCTGGTGACGTCATATATGCTAACGTTGAGAGAGACGGAACCGGAGTCGTTGAATTTGCAAGATATGAACATGCAAAGAGAGCAGTGAGAGACCTTGATGACAGCAAATTCCGCTCTCACGAAGTAAGAAACATCAATCTGTTATTATCATTATTATTATTATTTTAGGGTGAGTCGGCTTATATAAGAGTATCGGAGCCGTCCTCTGGTGGGTCTCCTTACAGACGCAACAGTCGTTCCCCCAGCCCGTCCCCTCGTCACTCACCACGGTACCACGACTCACCGAGACACCGTGACGGGTCTCCCAGACGCAGCCGCAGTCCAAGATACAGGCGCTCTAGGAGCCGCTCTAATTAAAGCACAAGGTATGTATGTACACACACTAGTTGATATGGTTTATGTACAGGGATTGGTTGAGGGATTTTTAATTGGTTTTTATTTTAAGAACCTTATTATTATTCATTAGTTATTGTCATGGAAATGGATTAATTACTTTCATAAAATGGCCACACCCCCTTTTGAAAAATTAATGGATGTGGCACATAGTGTCTGTCTGCTAAGCATATCAGATCAGGAATCAAAATCATGTTAAGAGATCAATTAGGATCAATGTGGCATTAGGAATTGGGATCCAATGTCATGTTAAGGGATCAGATCAGGAATCAATCCATGTGTTAGGATCAATGTGGCATTGGGAATTGGGAATCAATTTCACATTAAGGGATCAAATGGTGTTAAAACGTGACGAGGATACCACACACATGTAATGAGGACACGTTTGAGAGAGAGAGAGAAAGGGAGGAGAGAAGAATTTCAAAGACAATAATTTGTTTTATATTTTTAGGAAGTTAATTCTGTTAAGAAAAGAGGAAAGAGACTCTCTGTATTATTAATAATAATAATAATAATAGTTGATGTTATTTTGATTTGAATAAAGAGATCAAATTGAAACACAGTTGAAAGCAACATGCTTCTCAATTCTCATTTACTGTCAACATTTCATTAGAAATCCTTTTAACACAGTACCAGTTGTCATCAGTGGTTGGTATGTGCCAGCAGTCATCATCAGTCCATTGTGTTGTAAGCTCATAGGGACGTGGTATCTAAGAATTATAATAAGAATATGATTTATTATCGTGAGTCTGAACAAATTGCTGTTTTATTATCCCGTACCTCTAACCCTCTCCAGTATGGTTTTTTGCCATGAGTGTGTCCCACACGAGTTGATCTTAGCCATTTTTGAAAAACTGGTACTAAAGATTTATCAATCTTTTCAACATGATCTCCAAGTTTATCATTAGTTATGAATAAGGTATCCCGTCCACTTGAGAGTGACCCATGGATGAAATAATGATCATCAGCAACCCTAACCGTCAGGGATATTATACAAACATTAACAAGCATATGTTCTACCTGTTGCTGGTATAAAACAAATGCACATTCAGTGGAAGCTTTGTTGTTATAGTTCCAACTACTGATTTCATGTGAGCTCTTCCAATCACCATAACTGGCAAAGGTTGGTAACTAGTAGCCCAGTTACACAAGGAAATAAGCTAAAGATAATAGACATTCAGTAATAAGATGTGCATACATGTAGTTACTTTTCCATAGCTTTTATTGCCCCCTCCCGGTATATCTGCATGTTCCAATAGAATATTCAGACCATCTATTATGACACCGAATGGACCATATATTTTACAAAGTTTCAAAAAATTTTTAATTTCTCTTTCCTCTAATTTTCCATTTTCATATGAATAAGGCTCCTTGAGTAGCATCTCTTGTGCCTATTAATAGTAACAGAATGTAATAAATTGTGCCTATAAATAGTAACACAATGAAACCTCACATGTTGTAGCAGTAAAGAGTGTTCACTTTTTGTTAATTTATTCTCTTTGATTTTACGCTTGCAATTGCTACAAATCCCATTGCTATAGAACAGCAAATTGATCAAGTTAATAACCACGCTATATTCTTACTCATAAATTAAAGTTTCAGTAACAGAAATGTGCTCATCTCCGCCCCACATACTGAGAAAATATCATCAACATTATTATCATTATTATATATACCTTGTCAACCACTTTACAATGCACATTGCTGTGCTCTTATTAATTAATATTCGATTACTGGATACTTTTTCCATCAAATTGTAACCGATTTTTCTCCAATCTTGGTCTCCTTTTCTCTCTTTCTCTGCAGCTAGTTCCATTAATGGCTGGATCAGATCATCATCAATATTGCTATGATTATGTTTCTCTAATATTTCCTTCACTCTCTCTTTATTTTTATCATCAATTGCAAATTGTAGCAGATTTAAAGAAACTTTCTCTCTTAGTGGAGTATTCTTCATATGGCGATCGTACCAAGCCCACAGCCTTTCTCTGTCTTTTGTTGTTAATAAATAATGAGTTGCAGCTGTTACTAATGGAGCACCTTCAAAAATACAATAAATAATAGTACTAATAATTAATACTGTACTTGGCTCTGGACAATATTTGTCAATCATTCTCATCACTTCTTCTCCTCCTACTTGATCATTTTCTCTCTAAAATAATTCCAGTATATAGTCATGTCCTGTTATTATTATTATTATTATCGAACCTCACAGAAGTGAATTAGAGTGCTGAGTGTTGAGTGTATAGCTTCTTCCTTGTTGCTTTCTTTACTCACCAATTCTTCAAAAAGGCTCAATGCTGAAGATAGGCTACTCTCTTTCTTCCTTTTTATTACTTGACGTCTCAGCAATGAGTCCCTAGTTGAAAATACTCTTCTCGTTACTAATCTACTTCTAATGGCTCCAGAATTAGTTGAAAAATACAAGAATCGAGAAAGAGACATTTCTAAAATCTTCACGTGGCCAGCCACACCTTTCACCACCCACGCATCCTCATTACTGTTCAGTGTTCACACCTCAACAAATGGAGTGTTTCTTTATCTTTGCAATAGGGACGTTCTCACTCTGTTTCTTCTTACTTTGCATACTAGGAAGGAGGAGGCCTAAAGAGCTAACCATTGGTTTATTCCACCCGTACGCTGACGCAGGAGGAGGCGGTGAACGAGTACTGTGGCACTCAGTAGCGGCCATACTGAGGGAATGGCCACTAGTGAGAATAATAATATACACAGGAGACCCCGTACTGAGCAAACCATCTTATAAGATAATAGAGAAAGCTGTCAATAGGTTTGGTATAAATTTCCCTCAAGAGAGGGTAGAGTTTGTTCGTCTTAGACTAAGGACTTTGATTGAAGCGACCACCTGGCCTCGATTCACTCTATTGGGGCAATGCCTTGGGTCCCTGTTGCTAGGGGCAGAGGCGTTACTAAGGGCACGCCCCCACATACTGTTTGATACGATGGGATATGCTTTTATATATCCATTGTTCCGGTTGATGGCCGGTTGTCCAGTGATAGCCTACGTCCATTATCCAATTGTTAGTACGGACATGTTAAAACTAGTCCGATCTTCTATAACCAACTTTAATAATAATCAATCAATTAGTAGATCAAAGACGCTGACTAATATTAAGATACTTTATTATCGAGTTTTAGCTTATTTATACGGTGTTGTTGGACGTCGTGCTAACGTTACCATGGTGAATAGTACGTGGACGTATGGACACATAAGCAGCTTGTGGAGGAAAGAAGGTGTGGTCATAGTTTACCCTCCTTGTGACGTTGAGACATTTTCAAATATTAAAAGCAAAAAGGAGGAGGAGGAGGAGTTTCGTATTGTGACAATCGGACAATATCGACCGGAAAAAAACCATCAGCAGCAACTTGAGATATTGCGTACTCTTTTAGACAAACCACGCCCACAAGACAAGAAACCTGTTCTGGTGATGATCGGAAGCTGTCGTGACGAAGGAGACCATACCCGCGTGGAGTCACTGAGAAAGAAAGCAGTTGAATTAGGAGTGATTGATAACGTTCAATTATTAGTTAATGTCTCATTTCAGAGACTGCTAACAGAAATAGGTAGTGGAGATGTAGCTATTCATACTATGATCAACGAACATTTTGGGATATCACTAGTGGAGTGTATTGCAGCTGGGTGCATTATGATAGCCCACAGGTCAGGGGGTCCTAAACACGATATTGTTATTGAGGGGGACATTGGATATTTGGCAGAATCCACTGAGGAATTTACTGAGTACATACTTGATGTAATGAGATTGAGTGATGAAGAGAAAGAGGGGATGAGGAAGAGGGGGGTTACCCACGTCAAGGAACAATTCTCCGTTTCATGTTTTGAGTCCAACATTGTAAAGCATTTGGGACCAATTGTTAGATCAATTAATGTTAATTAAGTTAATTTATTAATTAAATTAATTGTTTCATTATTGATAGGCTTTGTTGCTCGTAGCTACTTCCGAAATGATTCCTAAAAGTTAATTATTATTTAATAATTAAATTATTGTTTGATACCAGTGGTTGAGGTAGTGAAACAATTGATATAGTTTCAATCTGGTATCAAATCCTGGAGATATGGGTATGAGTTTGTGATATGCTTCATAGAAACTTGAACTGAATCCACTAAACATTTTGGAAATTGACAAATCAAATTCATGATGACCATACAGCACAGCTGGATCAAACATAACTAGAGAAATGGCAGTATTAATTCTAATATGTATCAATATATAAGTTGATTGTACCTGGTCCATTGGCAGTTTCTGCAGTGTTCCCAGCCCACAGGTCTCCATGCAACAGTGATGGAAATATTTGCTCTGTATCTTTGAAATACTGAGACATCTTTAACTGTAAATTGGACCATAGTTCCACCAATTTCCTATTGTTGTACTGAATGTGGTGGACCAGTGGTATATAATTCACTAATGTTATTCATTATTTCTTACATTTTTTATTATTCTGTCAATTTGCGGTTGCAACCTATGCCTGGCATAAAATTCCTAAAAATTCCAAAAAATCAAAATTATATTAAATTGATACAAAGCTCACAATCCAGTCAGTTTCCCAGTCGTTGGGCATGGGAATGAGTCCACAAGACGTTGGAATGGAAAATCCAAATTTATCAACAAGCTCAGATTGGGCGGAGTCACTTGACTGTACCCTCCCTGAGGTCTTAATCGATGTTTTTATTTTATTAATATTATGAAGATGTAGTCTATTAAATTACTTATTAATAAAATCATTATTATTAGTTTATTCTTACTGAGCCAGTTTTGTTCCTAATTCCTCGTTATATTTATGCAACGGTAACATCTCCACATGTTCCATTATGATAACATACAAACCACCTCCACTATCAAATACCTGTCATATCAATCATTAATATTAATTATCATTCTCTCTCTTTTTCACTTGCCTTTATTGGTTGAGGTACACGTACAGTATCAGTCAATGAAATACTCTTCAGTCCTTCCATTTCACCAGTGAACATTGCTCTAGCCTGCAATTGTTAAAATCAGAATGTTAAACTATTAAAGTTGTACATCAATTCTCATAATTTTTAATTACATCTTCATTATTGTTCTTTTTGACAAACACAGTTCTCTTTTCATCCAGCACATAGCTCTGTCCTTCACTGATACACCCTCCTCCTCCTCTCCCTCCCATCTTCCTCACTCTATCACACCCTAAAGCTTCTTTCAAGATACCCTCCATTGATGCTGCAGCAACTAATTACAACACCCACGCAAATAGATAATGAGAGGGCGTAGCTGACGACTCAAATCACGTGTATCATTTTGACTCGAGTCAGGAGATTATGTGCTGAAATGGCCTCTTTCTCTACTCCTCCTCCTTGCTCTTCACCATCTCCTCCACCTCCTTCTCTACCTCTTGCCAAAGGTCAGGATCAGCCCGTGAGAGGAGTTAAGATCAGTTTCAGCGTGATGGAGGGAAGCGGCCAAACCAGCAAAGATGAGATAAGTATTGATGGCCTCCCTCAAGACGAGGGGGTTCCTCTCCTTCAGAAGAAAGTGACTCAAAAATATGAAGGTACGAGCATCAAATTTTGATTGTTTTCCTAATTGTTACTTTTAACGAGTTCATTTTGTTTACATAGCTGATACATTTATGAATACTAAAAATAGTAATAATGATAATAATATCTTTCTTTTTCTTTCTCCCTCAGCTCGTAAGAAGAAGCTTGGTATGATATTTGGTGTTACAATTCCCTGCATATTGTCCATCTTTAGTGTGGTCCTGTTCCTTCGTCTTGGTATGGTCGTAGGACAGGTAACCTCATCACTAGTCTTGCCCCGCCCCTTCACTACCTGTCCGCAGGTAGCGAAGGGGCGGGGCGAGACTACCTCATCACATGATAGTCACATGATGTCTCCCTTCTCTCCCTTAGGCCGGGTTTCTTGAGACCATTGTCATGCTCTTGATTGGTTATTCTGTTGTTGTTTTGACTGTCCTCTCAATATCTGCCATAGCAACCAATGGGAACGTTGAAGGAGGTGGAGTATACTGTATCCTACTAGTATATTATTAGTATATTACCAGTATATTAACCAGTATATTAACCAGTATATGCACCCTCCAGTTAATTACAATGTTGTTACATAGCAGTAACAGTATGTGTATTGTTAGTTGACAGTTGTTTTGGCACTTGTCATCAGACCAGGCCAGCTGCTGTTTTGACCTTTTGAACACTTTAAGTTTATTTTTAGAAAAAGAAAACATGATTAATTGTACTGGTACGTGTTACTAATTATAGTCTTTCCTCCCTCCTCTCTCTCTCTCTCTCTATTGTTGTTTTTTGTTGTTTTTGTTTATTGTTGTTCTTTGTTTGTGTTTGTGACTCCTGCTGGCCGGTGGTATTAATATCATTGGTCATTCCATTATCCTCTTCTCCTTGTCTGGTTTTGTTTGGTTCCTTTTCCATGTTAGGGGGTGTGGCTTCACCACACGGGGTTAAAAAGGGCCGAGGATTTAACTCTGCCATGAAAACACACACTCTCTTCTTCTCTCTTTCCTTCTCTTCTCTTTTATACTCCAGACCTCTCTTGAATTATCCTCCTCCTTTCAAAACACTTTTTCACACACACACACACACACTCTCTCTCTCTCTCTCTTTTTTTCTCTCTTTCTCTCACTTTCTGTCATATTCTCTCTCTCCTTCTCTCTTTTATACTACTCTGTTATTGTTATTGTTATTGCTTTTGGGGACTTTATTCTTGCTGAGTTCATCTTTTGTGGTATGTCATGTGAAGGAAGCCAGTAATGATGATAATGTGTCATGTTACTATAAACAGTAGCAGCAGGAGACTGTATAACCAGGATATTAGTATACATATACCTGTATGTACACAGTATGTGTGTATAAGGTGCTGTGTGTGTGGTTGTAGCAGCTGTTTGTGATGGTGCCAATTGCTATGACTAGTCATTATGTAGTAGTGTGTCATAATTACCTCATCATCATCATCATTATTATTATTATTATTATTATTGTTGTTATTGGTCCTTAATTAATTATTATTAATTAGTCATGATCAGTAGGGCTCTTGGTCCAGAGTTCGGTGGTTCCATTGGAGCTATATTTGTCATTGCTAATATATTTGGATCAGCTACTTATATAATTGGTAGTTATTAATAGTTATTAATTGTTTATATGTAGTTATAAGTGGTAATTAATAGTTATTAATGGTTATTAATACAGGATTTGTTGAAGCCCTGGTCAGTAATTTTGGCGATGGTTCCTTGTTTTATCCTGAGAATTATACACTTACACATCCTGTTCTGCCAGAATCTTATGGTTATAAGTTGCTCTATGGAAGTATCATACTGCTCTTCTGTCTAATCGTCTGTCTTGTTGGAGCAGGTGAAGAGAAAAAGGATAAATGGTGTCCATTTACTAATTGTATTTTAGGTTTATTTGCTAAGACAACCTTTATCATATTTATACTCGTGATGACCTCAATCATATCTTGCCTGGTAAAGACTCCTCCATCATGTGACTATACATCATGTGACTTTCTATCCGTTAGGTTAGTTTTGGGTATATGATGGGTCCTTTTCCTGTTCCAATTGCTCCAGACAATACACTCAAGGTTAGCACCGCTCACTCTCTCATTTAATTCTATTATTATTTTGATAGGATAGTGACGTGAGTTTTAATTACACTGGATTTAGCTTCGGCACCTTCACTGATAATTTTTTTGTAAGTACATGTAAATATACTTTGTACATGTACTTACATACTTTAATCATTAACTTACAGTCGCACTATGAGAAAGATTATACTCAAATGAAGAAGCTCTCATTTCAATTAGTATTTGCTATCTTGTTCAATGGCTGTACAGGAATAATGGGTATATACTATTATTAATAATACTCACCAGCTCCTCCTCCTCCTGGTTTGCAGCTGGTGCTAATATCTCAGGAGAACTGAAGAGCCCAAGTACCGCCATACCCCAGGGGACCCTACTAGCCTGCGGCATAACATTCTGTATTTATGTTGTATTATGTAAGTCTATTTTTAGTAACATGAGTCATGTGATATCTTCTATTTATAGTTACACTGACTGCTTTCACCTGTGAATATGAGATGCTTATTAATAATTATAACTACCTCCAGGTACATGTATTTAATTAATTATTTATTTATTTCTTTATTTATTAGTATATTAATATACGTCCCTGGTTAATTACAGTTGGCGTATTTGCAGCAACACTATCAGCTGCTCTGTCCAACCTCATTGGAGCCTCAAGAGTTTTATATGCACTAGCTAAAGACAGGCTGTTCAGTAAGATATGATATACTGATAATATACTAATAATATACTGATAATAAACTGATAGTATACTAATAGTATACTGATAGCATACTAATAATATACTGATAATATTTAGGTGGTATACTGCATCCGTTTACGTGGACTGTTGGTAAGAAGAAAGAGCCGATTGTCTCAGTACTCCTTTGTTGGTTCTTAGTACAGGTATTATTGTTAATTAACTACCTAATAACTAGCTCCTCCCCTCCTCTAGTGTACCCTTTTTATCGGTAAATTGAATGCCATAGCTCCAATAGTGACCATGTTCTTCCTCTTATCTTATGGAGTCGTCAACTTGGCCTGTTTAGCACTAAAGTTTGCATCTGCTCCTAATTTCAGGTAATTATTAATAGTTATAAGTAGTTATTAATAGTTATTATATTATTATTATTGGTATAGGCCGACGTTCCAGTTCTATTCCCGCTACACCTCCTTCCTTGGTGCTCTCAGTTGTTTTGTGTTGATGTTTGTGATCCAGCCATTGTACGCTGCCATCACACTAGGTATTACCAATGACCTCATTATGACATAATCATTCCGTTCTATATTTAGTAATCATGATACTCCTCTTTGTTATATTGTTGTTACGATCCCCTGCTACCCCATGGGGTGACGTATCACAAGCACTCATCTATCATCAGGTAAAACAGAAGCCACACCTACTATTGACCACACCCATTTTTATTAGGTTCGTAAGTACCTCCTGAGGTTGGATATCAGGAAGAGTCACGTGAAGTTTTGGAGGCCAGAGATACTTCTAATGGTCACCAACCCACGGTCATCTTTTAGGATGATCAAGTTCTGCAATGATTTAAAGAAGGTGTGGCTAATTAACAAGACCACACTTCCTCATTAATATTCATTATAGGGCGGTCTATATGTCCTTGGTCATGTTGTAGTCCAGCCCTTCAATCCTGAGGTTGCTGACTATTACAATAAACAGCTGAAGACCTGGCTGGACTTTGTTGAGATCTCAAAGTTTAAAGCATTTGTTGAATTAACCGTATCTGATACCTTCAGAGCTGGGACTAGGAGTTTATTAACAGTTAGTTAATTAACTATTAGTTTATTAACTATTATTAATAACCAGGCAGCTGGTCTGGGTGGCATGAAGCCCAATATCCTCGGGCTGGGTTTCTACTCTAAGGAGGTCCCTCAGTCTTGTTTGACTGATCTGAAGGAGCAGGTGGAAAAACGCTCGAAATTTGTTCGAGTGATGATCAGGGATACAACATGTATGAGCTTTGTTGTTGTTATTGTCATTTGTTTGTTTGTTTGTTTGTTGTTTAGTGAATAAATATGACGACATCAATAGAGACTTACCTCCTCTACGTCAAACAGTGAGAGAACATTAATGATATCCTACAGCTGCTCTTCATTGATCCTTTCTCTCTCTCCCTCCAGGAAGATGATCAGATTTTGTCACAGATGGAATATGTTGGTGTAGTACAGGTAAGAGAGAAAACATAATATTATCATTATTTATTTTATCTATCATTTATTCATTTTTATGTTAGGATGCCATGACCATGGGAAAGAACATTTGCATTTTGAGACAGTAAATTAATGAATAAACTTACAATACAACTCTCTCCCTCTCTCTCTCTTCTTTCTAGTTTTGAGCAGTTTGATAATAAACCAAAGGCTCACCCGTACATTGACGTCTGGCCGTTGTGCGTTCGGTTCAATGAGGAGTTTGAAAACACGTTCACTTTAATGATGCAGCTGGCCTGTGTCCTCCACATGAAGGACTCGTGGAAATCATCAACTAAAATAAGAATATTTGTTGTCACGGAAACAAGCAGTAAGATAGTGGGCGTGGCACATTAATTAATTAATTATTATTATTAGGTGATGGTGTAATGGAAAGGACTGTAATGTATGATTTCCTTAAAGACGCTAGGATTGATGCTGAAGTAATCATTATATCTCAACCAGTCGGTATCTCAATGTCCGACTCCATCAACACTTTCACTGAGAGCTTTACCTCAGCAGCAAGACTTGTACGTAGTAGTTAATTAACCAATAGTTAATTAACAAGTGATTAATGAATTGCTGGTTAATTAACTAGTAGTTAATCAGCTGCTAATTAATATATTAACTGCTAGTTCATTGACTGTTTCATTACAGGGTAGAGGTGTTGCTTATTACAGGAATATCAATGGACTGATGATGGAAAACTCTCTCAACGCTAGTAAGAGAACTCATTAATATTCATTGATTAATTAATTAATTCATTGTTAATTAATTAGGTGTAATTTTTACTGCATTACCCGTACCTCCAGAAGATATTAATAAAGCTAAAGATTATATTAACGAGCTGTCTGTATTATCAAGTAAGAGATTTTATTTATTATTATTTTATTTTATTTATTATTAATTTATTTTATTTTATTTTATTTTTTAGATAATTTGCCTCCTACAGTGATGGTGCATGGTTCGATGCCTGTCATTACTAACTCGATTTAATTAATTAATTAATTAATAATGGACCAATAATTATATTTGTTGTTGTGGCCAGTTTATAATTGTTGTCACTTAATTTTAGTTTTCTTACTTTATTAAAAGTTTTAGGAGATATTGTAAACTTCTCTAAACCTTTTCTCAACTGCAAAGCTCTTTTAGCATTCAGCCACGCCCATATTATTTTAACACCCACGCAGGAGGTGTGGCTGGTATAAAATGGCGTCGAAAGAGCAGGTAAAATAAAGAGTCTATTTTGTTAATTTTTACTTCTTCCATCAGTCTACAGACACTGATGAGCTGGCAGAGTTTAGAGAACAATGGAGGGCAGAGATTAAAGAGAAGACACTGGCGGATACACACACTGATCACCTACCACAAGTAATTAGTGTTTTTAAAATGATTGTAACTTGAAAAATTGAAGTTGGAATCAGCTCAAACTTTCTACACAGCATAAGTACATCAATATGTATCAGAAAATGTAATAAAAATTGGGGGTGATTTTGGAGCCATTTTTTGGAAAAAACCATGGACTATAGCCTTGGGTATTTTTTAGATTTTGGGCGTTTTCTTAAAATGGTCGTAACTCTAAAAATTGAAGTCGGAATCACCTCAAACTTGCTACACAGCATAAGTACATCAATATGCATCAGAAAATGTAATAAAAATTGGGGGTGATTCCAGAGCCATTTTTTGGAAAAAACCATGGGCTATATACAGGGATTTTTCCCAAAATTTGGCATTTTCTTGAAATGGCCGTAACTTGAAAAATTGAAGTCGGAATCAGCTGAAACTTTCTACGTAGCATAAGTACATCAATATGTATTAGAAAATGTAATAAAAATTGGGGGTGATTTCGGAGCCATTTTTTGGAAAAAACCATGGGCTACAGTACAGGGAAATTTTCCAAAATTTAGAGTTTTTAAAAAGTGGTCGTAACTTGAAAAATTGAAGTCGGAATTCACTCAAACTTTCTACACAGCATAAGTACATCAATATGTATCAGAAAATGTAATAAAAACTGGGGGTGATTTCGGAGCCATTTTTTGGAAAAAACCATGGACTATAGCCTTGGGTATTTTTCAGATTTCGGGCGTTTTCTTAAAATGACCGTAACTTGAAAAATTGAAGTTGGAATCAGCTCAAACTTTCTACATAGCATAAGTACATCAATATGTATCAGAAAATGTAATAAAAATTGGGGGTGATTTCGGAACCATTTTTTGGAAAAAACCATGGACTATTATTATAGCCTTGGGTATTTTTCAGATTTCGGGCGTTTTCTTAAAATGACCGTAACTTGAAAAATTGAAGTTGGAATCAGCTCAAACTTTCTACATAGCATAAGTACATCAATATGTATCAGAAAATGTAATAAAAATTGGGGGTGATTTTGGAGCCATTTTTTGGAAAAAACCATGGGCTATAGTACAGGGAAATTTTCCGAAATTTAGAGTTTTTAAAAAGTGGTCATAACTTGAAAAATTGAAGTCGGAATTCACTCAAACTTTCTACATAGCATAAGTACATCAATATGTATCAGAAAATGTAATAAAAATTGGGGGTGATTTCGGAGCCATTTTTTGGAAAAAACCATGGACTATAGCCTTGGGTATTTTTCAGATTTCGGGCGTTTTCTTAAAATGACCGTAACTTGAAAAATTGAAGTTGGAATCAGCTCAAACTTTCTACATAGCATAAGTACATCAATATGTATCAGAAAATGTAATAAAAATTGGGGGTGATTTCGGAGCCATTTTTTGGAAAAAACCATGGACTATAGCCTTGGGTATTTTTCAGATTTCGGGCGTTTTCTTAAAATGACCGTAACTTGAAAAATTGAAGTTGGAATCAGCTCAAACTTTCTACATAGCATAAGTACATCAATATGTATCAGAAAATGTAATAAAAATTGGGGGTGATTTCGGAGCCATTTTTTGGAAAAAACCATGGACTATAGCCTTGGGTACTTTTCAGATTTTAGGTCATTTTTATAATTCTTTATTAATTATTAGGCTGAAGAATTATATTGGATGGGTGTGGCTGCTGAAGAAAATAAGGACATGTCAGCAGGTAAATATATCATTGATTAATTATTAAAATTAGTTTCTCATTTTTAGCAATTTTATACTATCGTCAAGCAATACAGCTGGTCCCTGACATTGAGAGAAGAGCTACAAAGAAGGAGCGAGACAAAGACCGAGAGAAAGAGGAGGAGGAGGAACAAGAAGAAGATGAAGAATCCAAAGATTTGTCTGTCATATCTCATTCACTGTCTACCTTATCAATTGATGATGTCACATGCTGTCATAATGACTCACCAACAACGGTTTGTATCTATTTTTAGAATAGAAATGATGTCATTTTTAGGTCACTCATATTTCTGCTCTACCCGTCGAGATAATTCGTTATATTTTATTATTAATTGTTATCAACGACCTGGATCTTAGGTCTTTGGAGCAATTTGGAATGGTAAGATTATTATAATTATTAATAATAATTTTATTATTATTTTATTATTTTCAGGTTTGCAAAAGGTTCTACTTATTTTCAAGAGAACAATTAATTTGGAGAAAAGCATGCGTAAAGTAATAATAAAGAATAATTGATATTTATAATTAATAATAGATTGTGGGGGAGTGGTCACTCTATGTTAGCCACACCCACCAGTAACTGGCGGCATATATTCATCACTCAACCTCACGTTCATTTCAACGGTTAGTAAACCGGTTCATAAACCAGTCAGTCCAGTTCTCATTAGGTGTCTATATCAGTCGGTCATTGTACGTCAGAACTGGGGAAAGGTCTTTAGACAGACTTTACAAACCTTTTCATACCGTCGTCTACTATAGATACATAAGGTTTTTTACTGATGGTAAGTTGTTGTTATTTATCATTGTTGTTTATTGTTGTTGTCAGGTAGTGTATTGTACATGACCAGTCCTGATAGTCCGTCAATGGTCGTTAATAAATTGAATAAAATTAATGAAGTGGGCGGAGCTTTATTATCTGGTTACTATACGCAATCGAATGATACAGTAAGAGAGAGGGAGGGGCTAAGAGATGATTATTGATTGTACATGTGTAGATATCAATAGTTGTGAAACGTTATGATCCTTCACACGAACAATCCCCTCGAAGCTATAAAAGGAGAGGCACTCCAATTAATGCCCCTACCTCCCATCAACGCTTTCATATGGTAATTGATAACTAGTTAATGTGGTTGCTATGGTAACGATTGCAGGAGCTGGTTCTCAAGAACAGCTGCAGGAAACTGTCAAGTGCTTTGAAATGGAAGAAATTCACTTGCCACAACATACAGAAGTGAGATATGAAGTGGTTTATTGTCACAATTTTAATGTGCAACATAAATTAAAATGACAGCTGGCCTTGTCTAAACTGCATATGCTTACGTCTAATTAAAAACTAGAATTAGTATAATTAAAAAGGAAAATAAAATTTAACAATGCAATCTTGTTCACACCTTGAGGTGCTAACAAGCATCTTGTCACCGCCTTTAGGTGCTAACAAGGTGTCAAAATGAAGAAGTTATAAATTGGAGCCTTTTTGAAAATAAAGATTTCAAAGTGTCTTTTTCTCCTTTAGTTCCACAGGCAGGATCCAGACTTCAGAATATCACATTGATCACAATTATACTCCATTTTACTTTTCACGGGTCAAGAGTTATTCAATTATTAACAGATAATAATAATGATAATAATAACAACATGTATTTATATGAACTGTTATTTATTTGATTTTATTTTGGTTTAAAACCCGAGTGTATTGCGACCACACCTCCAAGAAGAGACTCGTAATTTACATTAACGAATCCAACACCTTCGATCATATTTGAAAAACTTTCCTAAAAAAAGACAAAGACAATAGTACAGACTAGCCTCTATATAATGGACACTTCAAAGGTTGCTCTGTTATACAGAGGTGTCCTTTATGTGGAGGTTATTTTATACAGTAAGGAATGTAATTGGTACACTAGGTGCTGTCCGTTAAATGGAGGTGTACGCTATAGAGAGTGTCCATTAAGAGAGGCTACACTGTACATTCCAAATATGGTCCTACCTGGTCAGGGAATTCTCTGATGCTCTCCACGAGGTACTGGTAGGCTGGTCTGTCTTGAGCAATCAACTCACCAAAGACTGGTATCAGCTGGAACGAGTAAGCATCGTAAAAACTGAAATAAAGTATAAGTTAATTCCAAGTAAATTGGATTTTAAAAATAAATTTTAAAAGTTGCTCCTACGCTACAGTACGTGGTCTCTTACCTCTTCAGTGCTATATTGTCCACTTGACTGAACTCCATACACAAATACCTGCCCCCTTCTTTAATGACACGATAAGCTTCAGATAAAGCCTGAGAAGAGAGAGAATATGCTATTAATATTATATTATATTTTTTGATTTACTTGTTCAAAATTTGACACGTTCCTGATCCCAAAGGCGATAGTATAAGCATCAAAATGATTTGAGGGGAAAGGGAGGGAGAGGGCGTCGCCATGAACCCACTTAATATCTAAAAAACAATTACAACAATGAGTGGATAATACTATTAATTACTTTCGTTATTTTTAAATCTCTTTTCTCCTTCCGTAAGCATCTCCTTGTTAATATCAACGACAGTAACTTGTAACTCTTCATCACTGCTTTCAGCTCCGCCCACTCTCCGGTCACTATACTGCACAATACGACTAGCAATATCACCTAATTAATAATAATATTGACCACACCCCCTAGTAAAATAATTACCTGTTCCACCAGCAACGTCTATTATCTTTGATCCTGTGGGCGGAGCTAGTTTCGTTACAAAGTAATCTTTCCAAAGGCGATGAAGACCAAGGGACATTACATCATTCATCAAATCATAATTAGCAGCAACACTGCTAAACACCTCTTGGACTATGTGGGTGGAGCTAGGTAAAGTAACCACGCCCATTATAATTAAACTTCACCTTTTGTGGCTTTAGTTTTTTCTGAGACCTGTTGAAATCCGAATGACGTCATTTTTTCAGTGTTACTATTATTAGCTCCAGCAGTGAAGGCTCTGTTTATTACACTGGCCGCATTATTCAACAAATAATTTACTCTTCTGGACAAAGCAGACATTGTAGTAGGCGGGGCTGAACCTGCAATATAACGAGCCACACCCAAACCTAATTAATAATTATTGTAATATTACACAATGAATAACAATTCTAATACAACAATAAAATAATAACAATGCTACAACAATAATAATAATAAATGACTTTCAATAAAATAAGAGGGATCGAGACACTAATAAGTTAATTTGCTGATGCCATTTTTATGCTGTATCACAGGATAATTATTATTAATTAATTATTATTAATTAATTATTTTAATTCGTCTTTATTTATTTTGAAGCTTTTTTCTCAGCTCCTGTATGTATTGAAATTGAGGAGTTAGTTCACCGTTATATGCTATGATAGCCTAAAAAAAGACAAAACATTCAATAATATCTATCAGAAAATGTAATAAAAATTGGGGGAGCCATTTTTTAGAAAAAGCCATGGGCTGCCATTTTTTAGAAAAAACCATGGGCTATAGTACAGGGTATTTTTCCAAAAATTGGAGTTTTTTAAAATGGCCATAACTTGAAAAATTAAAGTCAGAATCAGCTCAAACTTTCTACACAGCATAAGTACATCAATATGTATCAGAAAATGTAATAAAAATTGGGGGTGATTTCGGAGCCATTTTTTAGAAAAAACCATGGACTATAGCCTTGGGTATTTTTCAGATTTTTAATGTTTTCTTAAAATGGCCGTAACTTGAAAAATTGAAGTCGGAATCACCTCAAACTTTCTACACAGCATAAGTACATCAATATGTATCAGAAAATGTAATAAAAATTGGGGATGATTGCGGAGCCATTTTTTTGAAAAAACCATGGGCTATATACAGGGATTGTTTCCAAAATTTGGAGTTTTTAAAAAGTGGTCATAAATTGAAAAATTGAAGTCGGAATCACCTCAAACTTTCTACACAGCATAAGTACATGTACATCAATATTTATAACTTACTCCTTTTATTGCATTTGAAAGAGAAGTCTGTTCCTCCAGCGACTTGGAACCATCCAGATGTAACTAATTAGTATATTATTAGTATATTATCAATATATTATTAGTATACTCACTAGTTCATGAACAAAAGGGAAGAGTCTTGACCCAAAATAATCAGTAGCTTCACGAGGTAACTGAGCAGGTAAATTATCAATACTAGTCATAACTATACCATTACCAGACAAACTGGAGAAAAGAATATTAATTAATTAATTATTAATAACTATTAATAACCTGCTCCATTGGTTATCTTGTGTGTGGGCGTTATACAAAGCAAAAGGAAAATCAATAGTTGTATAGGACTGCATGAACTGTATTGAACCCTGTGGAGATTAATAACCATTAATAACTGCTATTAATTACCACTAACAACTATTAATAACCATTAATAACTATTAATAACCATTAATAACTGCTATTAATAACTATTAATAACTAACGTTGGGATCTGCTGATATGTCACATATCGCTAAGAGCCTTTGTGGCAGGTCGGGTACTCCAGAATAAGTATCAACCTCAAACTCTTTAGGCTGGAGTTTCTTACAGTCTTCTAGCGTTATCAGTCTCGGAGTGTTGGGGGCCCAGTAGACGCCATTGATGAGGACTGTAGTGTATGGAGCAATCTAATGATAATAATAATAATAATAATAATAATAATAATAATGATAATAATGATGATCATGATGATGATGATGATGAAGAACTATATTATTACTTTCTCTGCAAAGTTGGATGCATAGAGCTCCGGATTGGCCACATAATCTGGTTTGGAGTAGGTCCCGTCGGATACTCTGTACAAGTGGTCTCTCCTCCTCACCTCCGTACCATAAACCTTTCTAGTGTCTACAAGAAAAGAGGGAGGGGCAATCGTATAATAATAAAATAATGCTCATTATTTAAAAACACTCATCAGAATTGGCCAAATTTTGCAATGAATACAGTGCCAATTTATAATTATTATTATTTTATAATTATTATTAGCACTAACTAACCTCCATTCATTAGTACATCCTGAAGTTCATTTGGTGACACGTACTCGTGTGGCAAGACTTTAAAAACGTCCTGAGCCCCCTGGGAGACATTACCAGACCCCGTAAATGTGAATATTATAGGACCCAGCATCTCCGGTATGAGCCCATACTGTATTTCTCTCCCAACACTGGCAATGGCCGCTTTAGCAGCTGAACTTGAAGGATAATTGTGAGCACAGGCGACATGCTAAAATAGATAAGATACGTATGCACTGTTTCTCTGATCATTAATGATTTAGTTATTAGCCTTCTAAAAATTCCTCAATAAAAATCAGCTAAAATTAGTACAATAATCATGATACTACGGACACAATTATTTAAAGTATTCCATATATTTACTACTATCACTACTGTTATTATTATTAATATTATTATTATTACTGTACTCGCCCCATCTAAAGCACCTCTTGATAAATAATTACAAGTCTCAGGTGGTGCATTGTTCGATAGGAACAATTATGAAATGCTCAGGAGGTCCTTGTTTAAAGAGGTACGTGGAAGCCATGTAGGAGAGGAGAGGTGTAATAATGAGGAAGGTCCGTTAATTGGGGCGAGTATGGTATTACTATTATTGTATTTACCATAAAAGGAGTGTGATGTCCTAATGCTAGTAGTCTCAATCCCAGGCCATGTAGAATATTAATAAAACCTGTAATTAATAACTAACCACACCCACCAATTAATAATCCTAACCAGCAATCCCAGCGTACTGTCCAAAAGCGACTAATCTTTGTCCGTTTTCGTTTACAATTTTCTCGTAGTCGACAAGTCTTATCCTCTTGGCTAAGATGGCGTCGAGGAGCGGCATGTTCTCTTCTTGTGCTTTGATGGTGTGAGAAAAGAACACGTAGGTCTTATCTGGTATGAGTCTGTCTATGGGACACTGTTTCACACCTGTAAAATACGATAAATTATTTATCGTAAATTAGCTGGTTTTGAAGTCTCACCGATGATGAGTTGTGCATCCTCAATGTGATCTGTTAGAATGGCTCCAGCTCTCTCGTACTCTGGCATCGAGTAAGCTCTTCTTGTTGATGGTTGTACTAGGACAGTAACTCCTTTCTTTACAAGAGACTGAACGTGTCCAGGGTTAAGAGGAGCCCTTCTCTCCCAGACTGAACTCTCTTCCCTTCTTAGAGCTACCACAGGAGAAGAAGATGAAGAGAGGAATCTGCTTAAAGACAGTCTCAGCGTCTTTCTGTTTCTGAGATAGTGACGCATCGCCATGATAATATAGGTGTGGCCTTATGAGGAACGCCCATTTTCCTGATTATATTTATAAATACAATGTCCAAATTCTGCGCAGTAACAGCAGCCCGGCTAGCTCAGTCGGTAGAGCATGAGACTCTTAATCTCAGGGTCGTGGGTTCGAGCCCCACGTTGGGCGCTCTTTTTTTTCTTTTTTTTATCTCACAAAAAGTCATTTTTTTACAAAATGCAATTTTTTCAATCAATTCAAGTTATTTCAGGTGACACAGAGCAGCCCCTGGACCAGGCCTTGTTGCAAAAAGCTTGGTCTTCAATTCTTCGTCAGTTTTTCCTTTGAAAAACGCTCCACGTAATCCTTCCAGAAACTTCTCTAAAGAACTATCGGAGACAATAGATACCGAACAGCCGCCCCAACCAGCTCCGGTGAGCCGTGATCCTGACGCACCTGAAGCCACACAATTGCTAACAAGAGTGTCAAGGGCAGGACAGGAGCACTCGTAAAGCTTAGAGCAGCTGGAATGACTCGCATTCATTAATTCTCCAAGACTAGCACCAACATCTTCAACAGCTTCTTCTCCATTTGCGATCATCTTGAACTGCTCAACGCGATCGGCTTCAGCAAACACATGCAGTGCTCTCTGGTAGAGCTTATAACGGCTCAATTCTGCAGCTGCTTTTTGAGCCTGAGGACTCATGCTGCTCAAAACCTCTCCAACCAATTCATCCCCCTTGATCTTTAGTCCTAGTATCCCACAGATTTCATCTTTGGTATAAGAATCTTCATGAAGCTTATCTTGTACCAAAGATACCATCTGCTTAAGGGTGTAGCCCAGCGCATTTTGAAGATCAGCAAATTTAGAAATATTCCTCCATTCTATTCCTTGCAAAGAAGCCAATGCTTTAGCAGCCAGTCTGCACTCAACTACTCTTTCATTAAAAGAAAAAGTAGCAGCTTTATTCATTGACTCTCCGCAATGAGAGACAACAAAAGAATAGCCAGCTGGTAGGGTGACTGGAGATGAGGTCAATGGATTGAAATCAATTTTCAAAGCACGTCCAGGTTGGGCAAGGAACGAGACGGCTTGATCCATCCCTCCTCCTTGAGTTCCAATGTATCGCTCGGACGAAGCACATATATCAGCTAACCTGGTCTTTGATGGTAGGGGGACAGAGTTAGAGACTAGAGTAACTATTGAGGAACAGCAGACGAGGGCAGAAGAACTCGAGAGACCTGAACTAGGCGGTATAGATCCATCCATCATTACTTGAATACCGACTGGAGACAAAATTGAGAATTCTTCAATGATACCTCTAAACCCACAGAGGAAATAGTTGTACCATGGCACGGCCCCATTTGAAGAGAAATTGCGCCAATCGGAAGAAAGATCTATATCTTTAGCTGCATACTTATCTTCTTCGATATCAGCTATGCTTATGGTGTTTGAATCAGTTGCAGCAAACGCCATTACAATATCTTGCTCAATGGCCATGGGTAGCACCCCATAACCACAGTAATCAATGTGTTCTCCAATCAGGTTGACTCGTCCTGGTGATCTGGCTAAATGGGTTGGAGGTCGGCCATATTTATCGGTAAATTTGCTCACTAGAGTCTCGTAGCGTCCCTCGTTTGTGGAGCTGCCCTGTGCAAGGTCAGTCAGAGTTGTAAAGGTTGGAGAAACGTCCATGATTGCTCAAAGCCCAGCCACACCCTTTTTTGCTGAAAGATAATTGATTCATTAGCAAACTGCTGCACATGCGCAGACGGTAAGTCTTAATTGTCTTCTACAGAATGGATAAAAATCACAAACAATGACAATAATTATAAACAAATATGCAATATATTTAATAAACAATCAGTTAATTAACCCTTAATAACTGCAATCGGTTTCAATTTGAATGCTTTGTTACTTATTCCAGCAGAATGACCTATTAATGAACCACACCCACCACATTAATTATACTATTATTATTATCATTACGTACATGTTTCAACAACATCAGTCACATTCTTGTACGACTGAGGCGCTTCTTCCATTACCAGTTTTGGTGATGCTACTCTTATCGCTATCCCTTGTTTAGCTAGCGACTCAAGCACCTCCTCGTAACCAAGGGTTCTCCTACACGCGTACACATTCACATAAAACTAATAATAATAATTATAATAATAAACCTTGATTTCGCTCTGGAGAGGGCACGACCCTGCAACAAAAAGAGAAAAAGATGCAACCATCAATGAATGCGACATGCACACCAAATGACATGGTATTGTCATGAAATGCAAAGTTTCCTCAATTTCACTTTTGGCGAAATTTGGACCCACAACCATGTACTACTTTACAAGGACTTTGGCCCAATTTTGAAAAAAATTAAAAAAATTTTTACATTTAATTTTGTACATGTACTTAAGTACTAACGGCTCCGTGGCACGTAGATCCAAAGGTCTCAGTAAATCCTTTATCAGTTCCAGTCAAAACGTAACTAATAAACACAACACAGTAACAGTAACAGCACAGGCTTACATGTAGCAATAACCAACGTACCTACATGTACCCATTGTCCCTCCGATGAGTACTGGCTGTCCAGTTAACTAGAGAAGAATAGAAAAGATTGGTTTAGAATTTACAGTATGAATTGCTTTAGTGAGTTCTTTTGCTGCAAATATCTTCATTTGCTGCATTTTTGGTAGCCATTACTTGATAGTCGACCGGTATCAGTGGGTGATGGGGAGGGAATGCTCTTGTAGATCCTTTACGATGAACCAGGAGGGTCTTCTCACGCCCACTCACTATGTGCTGCTCCACCTTTAAAAAACAACAATAAAATAAAAGTTAAATTGAATATCTAACCTTTGCAATGTTATGAGAAACGTCGTATATTATGTGCATGTCAAGATCATCAGGAGTACTTTTAAACATCTTAGCAAAGGCCTAAAACACACGTCATCAATTCTCACTGTCTCTCTCTTTTCCCTTCTCTCTCTCACTTGTCTTGTCAAGAAGGTCATACTGGATCTGTTGACCCAGGCATAGTTGGCAGCAGCTGCCATTCCTTTTAAATAATTCTCTCCTTCCTTTGACTTTATCTTAGCACAAGCTAGCTGCAGGAGTACACAAAAAATGGAGGCATGAAATGGATCCTTCTCTACTCACCTGTCGGTCATTAACTTCAATGTTGTCTCTCTTCATCGCCTTCTCCATTTCAACAAGAGCATCAGTCGCCACCTGATGCCCTAACCCACGGCTACCACTGTGGATCATAACACACACCTATTAATAATGATAAATAAATGAACAAATAAATAATAATAATGGTTAATTAATTACTTGTTCCTTTTCTTCAATACCCATTTTAGCTGCTGCATGTTTATCAAATATTTCCTCTACCACCTGTATCTCAGCATAATGGTTCCCTGCCCCTAGGGTACCCAGTTGGGGCAGTCCCCTCTTCTTCGCTCTCTGGGATACTTTGGAAGGGTCAGCCTGGAGCATTCGACCGTATTCTTCACAGTGTTCCTTGTCTTCAGCCCAGCCATAACCTTCCCTTAAAGTCCAGTCCATTCCCATCTCTAGAGCTGATTCAAGATCTCTAATATTAATAACCAGCACTTAATAACCACTATTTAATAACCAGCACTTAATAACTAGTAGTTAATAGCCAATATTTAATAAACAGTAGATAATAACTAACACTTACTTGATAACTTAAGTGGATACTATTAGTAGTACATTATAGTATTCCTGGTATTGTTATTATTATTACATTTAAATGTACCATTTCCTCTACACATCCAACACATACTTTACTATAATATGTACATGTACATGTACTGCATGTACATGTACATATGTACATATGTACATGTACATATGTACATATGTACATGTACATATGTACATATGTACATGTACATATGTACATGTACATATGTGTATGTACATATGTAGATGTAGATAGAGGCATTCATGTACATGTACAGATACAAAGGTGTACATACCTTGCTGTCATTGGAATAACTCCTTTAGATCCAACCCCCACTGGTATGTGATCAAACAAAGACTGGGAGAGAAAAGAAACACATATTTATACATGTACATATCATTATTATCACATGTGTATATCTATATTTAATACTTATCTATTCTTTATTTATTTATTATTATCATCATTGCCAATTACTTGTGCCAGCTGTTCTTTGACTGGCTCTATGTCTTTTTTAAACAAGTTAGTCCTCAGTAGTCTCACTCCACAGTTGATATCAAACCCCACCCCTCCTGGTGACACTACCGCCTCTGGGTCAGACATATCAAAGGCAGCCATGTTACCAATGGCAAACCCGTAGCCAGAATGAACATCAGGAAGACCTATTGACTTCTGTGAGCATTGATATAGAAAGAAATGTTATCAAAATAGATAATAAGTTTAAAAACACAATGGCACTAATAAATACACCTAACAGGTTTATAAATACATGTATATGTACAAATAGCTGTGAGCCTAGTGTACATAGTGGGACAGATGTTATCAATAAACAGATTATGTGCTTGAGAGTATACTAGACATACCCCAACAATACCAGGAAGAGCTGCTACATTACCGATCTGCTTCACAGCTGGCAAAAACCCGCCCACACCTAATTAGAGATGGAGAAGATTTCGAGTAATGACCACACCCATTTTAATATTGTACATGTACATGTACCTCCGCTAGAGCAATGGTGACGTAACTCGTCAAACATGAGGTCCTTCAAATGATCGTTTACATAAAACAAACCTTCAACCTTTAGCAGTCACGTGATCAGGAGAAGATGTGGGTCAGAGGAGATATTCATAAAATGATAAAATTAAATAGAAATGTTATAAAAATAGCTTAAATAAATCGACAAAAAACCTTCATGTTAGGCACAAAGCCTTTCTTGATCCTGTAGGAGCAATTTGATATTTTCTCGAGATACGAGCACTCTTCATCGTATGTCCTCACAGCAGACGCCATCTTGAAATGGGTGGTACTTTGAGTATACGGAGTTATTGCCAAGATATACGGAGGTAGACGGTGACATCCTTCTCTGACGTGAAAGAAAGTGTAGATTCTCGGACGTACAGCAAGTCGAGAAGTGAGAGTTGAGAGCCAGTGGTTGAGGAACAGGACGTGTTTATCCTCTTCGTTTTGTTCCTCCTTGAATTCCTCCACCTGTTAACTAGGTACAGCATCAGGAACCCTTTGCTGAAGGAAAGAACTTGAGAGAAAAGTAAGTTAAAATACAGCAACCACAAATAAATAAATACAATCGAGAATAAAGTGCTTTGGTATAGATATAATACTAAATTATGTATATGTGAATATTTAAATGCTACGATTATTAGCTATTTGGGAATATAATATTAATTTTTTGTTTGTCATTTTTCTCTAAAGGAAGCTACTTGATTATGCCACTTTTCGGTAAGAAGTATGCAGCTGACGTCACTGCGAAATACAACACTAAAGAATTGCTTGGGAAGTAAGAGAGGGTGGGGTGGGGAGGGCTTATTACCGCCCACTCAATAGGGGAGCATTTTCGGAGGTTATTAAAGCTGAGGAAAAGGAAACCAAGAGAGGAGTGGCCATCAAAATAATCGACAAGAAGTCATTAAAAGGGAAAGAGGATGCTCTCCAGAATGAGATAGACGTTTTGAAAAAGTAATAATAATAATAATAATAATAATAATAATAATAACGATGATGATGAATTGATGATGTTGTCTTTCTCTAGAGTGAAGCACCCTAATATAGTTCAATTGTATGAAATATTTGATGACAAGTCACGTCTTTACCTGGTCATGGAACTGTAAGATAAAATCTTGTGCCCTCCTAATATCCCCCCTCCCTCTCTCTCCCTTCCTCTTCTCAGTGTCACAGGTGGTGAATTATTCGATCGCATCATTTCGAAAGGTTCTTACACAGAGAAGGACGCCACTGAGTTGATACGGCAGGTCCTTGACGCTCTTGAGTACCTTCATGAACTGGGTATCATACACAGAGATCTTAAGGTACGTAACAAGTAATTAATAGTTATTATTATTATTATTATGATATTATTGTTATATTGCAGCCTGAGAACTTGCTATATTACAGGTATTACGTGATAATTAATGTGCAATTTTACAAAATGTGATTTCCTTTGTAGTCCTGCCGATGATTCTAAAATCATGATCAGTGATTTCGGATTGAGTAAAACAATTGAGGAAGGTCAAATGGATCAACTTGGAACTGCCTGTGGTACTCCAGGCTACGTAGGTAAGCCCCGCCTACTTTTAAGAACTATTCTACGTCTTTTGTTTTAAGCCCCCGAAGTATTGAGGAGGAAACCTTATGGCAAGGCAGTGGATGTGTGGAGTATTGGTGTCATATCTTATATTCTGTAAGGACCCGTTGTTGTTTATTGTTTGTTGTTTATTGTTTGTTGTTGTTGTTGATGTAGGTTGTGCGGTTACCCACCATTTTATCATGAAAATGACTCTGAATTATTCAAACAGATAATGCGTGGAGACTACGAGTTTGACTCACCATACTGGTAACCACATCTATCAATGGCCCCGCCCGCACTATGTTGAATCATTATCATACTCTAATTATAGGGATACTATTTCCGAACAAGCTAAGGACTTCATTCGTCACTTGATGGAACTGGACGCCAGGAAACGCTACACTTGCAGACAAGCTTTAGAACATCCCTGGTAAGGACATCATGTGATTATCATGTGACTATCATGTGATGTAGGATTGCCTCGGGTCAGGCCAGCGAGGTGAACATACATGAATCTGTCAGTGCCCAGATGAGAAAGAGTGCTGCTAGAATGAAATGGAAGGTATTTTAAAATAATCTACATGTACATGTATTTAAATAATTATTATTATTAGAAAGCGGCTCTTGTAGCAGCTGCTATTAATATGATGAAGATTGGAACCCAGGAACATCATTCTTCTGGAGCCAGTGAAGAAGCAACTCCGCCCACTGAGAAATCCTAACACTTAACCGTAGCCACACCCACACACACTCCTAGATTGGCTCAACTTAAGTTTAAACTTAATTTAAATTTTATCAACACAAAACGAACTTTTAGTTTCTTTATTATTATTATTGCTACATGTATTTTTAGTTTACTGGGTTCACAATTTTTTTGCTCTCTATTTTTGTCGAAATAATCATTATTTTTGTCGAAATAATCATTATTTTGAAATTATTCTTAATTGTTGTTAATGCCACTCAACATTTTTAAAAAGAAAACTTGTTAAAGAACAAGAATCAGAGAGAGAGAGAGAGAGAGGAGGGGAAAAGAGCAGGTGGATTATTTCATTAATTAATCTTATAAATAACAATAACGAATAATAATAATAATAATAATAACAATAACGAATAATAATAATAATAATAATAATAATAATAATAATAATAATAATAATAATAATAATAACAGGTTAAGTGTATGCACAGTTCAATTACTGAAACCTATGATAGAAGAGATGGGCTCTAATTAGAAATCTCAGATTTTGATTTGTAATGAGATACAAGGAGAGAGAGAGAGAGAGAGAGGGGAGGGAGAAAGTTACTAAAAGAAATAAGCAAAAGCAGTTGATATGAGAGCTACAGCTATTGACACTAGTGTTATAATTGATAATATTTTGATACGAGTATCGGGAGAGGGCGGGGCCTCGAGTAATGAAACCTCCGAAGACGAAGCAAGATTAGGAGAAAGACTCTCAGACAAGGTTTCTTGAAGGAGCTGCAACTGAGACGTAAGTGACTTGGCCTGTGGTTACATCATGAATAAATTAATTTAATTAATACATGTACATGTACATTACCTCTGATTGAGCTTCATTTAGTTCCAACTGCAACTGAGCCTAGTAATAATTATTATTATTAATTAAAATAATACTTAACCCTTTGCTAACCTCGTTCCGTCTGCTCTCCTCCAGTACGTTGGTGTGATTTTGTTTCAAGGATGAGAGTCGATCCTCCAAACTGTTCTTCTCTTGTATAATGAAGCTAATCTCAGTCTCCTTCTCCCTCAGTCTCTCTTCAGTGAGTTCAGAGTGTCGTCTCATCTCAAGTAACTGACCTAATGATGGAGTTTCATTAAAAATTGATCATTAACTACTAAAATATAGATGTACATGTACATGTAAGTCAGAATCACCTCTCTGTGCTACACTCAAAAATCAGGCCAAAAGTCCCATGGTCTCGGGCCAAATTTTGCCAAAAATGGAAAGTAGAGAATTCTCCATTTTTATTACATTTTCTGATACATATACATGTTCTTATGTTGTGTAGAAAGTTTGAACTAATTCCGATTAAAATTGGATTTTTTACGAATTTTTTAAAGTTGCTCCAAAATCGGACAAAAGTCCCTGTACTATAGTACATGGTCTCGGGCCAAATTTTGCCAAAAACGGAAAGTAGAGACTTCTCCGTTTTTATTACATTTTCTGATACATATACATGTTCTTATGTTGTGTAGAAAGTTTGAACTAATTCCGATTAAAATTGGATTTTTTACGAATTTTTTAAAGTTGCTCCAAAATCGGACAAAAGTCCCTGTACTATAGTACATGGTCTCGGGCCAAATTTTGCCAAAAACGGAAAGTAGAGAATTCTCCGTTTTTATTACATTTTCTAAAACATATTGATGTACTTATGCTGTGTATATAGTTTGAGCTCATTCAACTATTATTTATTTATTAATTACCCTGACACTGCTCCAGTTCGGACGGTAAATCTGTTACATCAGACAGCGGAACCTCCTTTGCCTTTAGCTGATCTACAAAGCAATAAAACAATAATTATCAATTTAGTATTCACAATTAATTTAGCTAGTGCTAATACTTTTCAGTTTTTCAATCTCGTTCTTCTGATATTCTATTGTCATTTTAAGATCACGAGCAGCTGCAGCTTTTCTCTCCTCAAGCAATTCTTTATCATGCAACTGAACTATAAAATATCAATAATAATAATAATAATAATAATAATAATAATAATAATAATAATTATTATTATTATTATTATTATTATTATTATTATTAATTATTAATTATGTACCTTTTAGCTCTTCCACTTGAGACTGAAGAATGAGGTGGGCTTTATTTAGAGTACCTAGTTCCTCCGTGAGATGAGATACTTTGCTTTGTGCGATTTTCAAGTCACTTTTAGTGGTAACGTCGTGAACTGGAAAATAATTCAAAATAAAATAAAGAAAAATTTAAAATAAAATACTAACTTGTAGCATCAGCTTCTTCTTTAATATCTAAAATAAATAAATAAATAAATAAATAAATAAATAAATAAATAAATAAATAATAATTACCATTTGACGCTAATAAATTTGTTGAAATATTGACGTCCATTAAAGCTACTTCATTAACTCTTTCTTGTACATTAGAATCCTCAGTAACTACACAATAGAAGAATTAATTAATTGACTAATTAATTAATTGATTAATTACCCTCATGATTAATGATATTCATTGATTGCTTATCAATATTCTCTAACTTTTCTTTCACTTCTAATAATTCATCAGCTGTTTCCTTTAAACGTACTAAAAGGGGAGGGGCCAGGTAAAAAAGTGTGTGGAGCCAAAAAGGAAGTAGGCGGAGCCAGACACTTACGTCTAGTTAATTCCAGTTCATTCCTAACGGTTTCAATTTCAATTTGCAGCAAGTCCCTTTCCTCTTTGCTCTGAAAATAACAAACTAAAACAATAACAACAAAAACAAGAATCACTTTATTGTCATCCTCCAACTTCTGCTTTTCAGCTGCTTTGATGGCGTCATTAAGTTTAGTAACTTGTTGAGAATGCTAATAATAATAATAATAATAATAATAATAATAATAATAATAATGTCACATGATAGTCACATGACCTCACCTCGTGTTTCAGACTATCATAGAGTGTTCTGTATCTCTGACACTCCTCCTCCGCCTTGTCATAGTCACGCTGTTGCCACGGTAACAATAAATAAATAAATAAATAATTAATAAACAATTACTTGGAGTTGAGATAGTTTAGATGTAGTACTGATCTTCTCTTGAAGCATTGTCTGTATCGTTTCCTAAAAAAGAATAAAAATGAAAATGAAAATATGATATACGGACTGTGTATATATTCACTTTAGCTATTATCTCTTTTTTGTGCTTCTCTTCAAAGGACGCCACCAGCTGCTTCCTCAGCTCATCCTCGGTAATATTTTTAGAATATACCTGGAGCTGGTTCTCTAACATCTCCAGCCGCGAGAGCAACTCATCCTCTTTTACTATACTCTAAAAAAACAAATAATATACTGAAATATACTATAGTGCACTATAGTATACAGGGATATACTGAAGCTTACAATCATACTATCATTAGCCAAGTTGTGTGTGACTACCAGGACTTCCTGCATACAGGCCAGCTTCGTCTCGATCTCCTGCTCCCGGAGTAAGGCACTCTTAAAAGAGGAAGAGGATAAATATGAACTTTATGATGTAATGTATTGTCATACTTGGATAATACTCATGACTTGCTGTATGTCTGGATCAGGTCTAGAGGGAAGATGGAGGGAGAGGTAGAGATTGGTTTGGTGTAATGGTGGCTTACCCTGGTAACTCCTTATCATCAATGAATAATTTAACAGTGGCAATGATACAGCCATGTGTGACTATAGGAGAGAGAGAGAGGGGGGGGAGAGGGGAGGAGGTAGAGAGAGAGAGGGAGAGGGAGGGGGGAGGTAGAGATGTTGTACATCAATAAAATATTAATCTGTTGCCAAAAGAAAACAATAAAGTAGCCATGTAACAATTATACACAGTACACAAACAGCTCTCTCCCTTACCTTTCTTCTCCACGTTCACATTAACTCCAAACTGAACTATGTCTCTTGTTCTCATTTCAGTCGGTGAGCTCTCCTCTCCAGAAGGAGACAGACGACATTCATTAACAAACGTACCGTTAGAACTTTTAGTGTCTTTGATGAAAAACTATACAAGGAAGTACATGTACATGTAAATAATACATCTTTGATTACTTAACGAAATCACTTTAACATTTTAAAGACTTCTCCCACTAAATTTGCTAAAATTGGTACACATAATTAAAAGTGGAAGTTAGATGAAAAGGCGTGGCTTACAATAATAATATTATGCTTATTAGTATCATTATTAGCTTATATTTAGCATATTTTGTATAATTTAGCTTAAATGGGCCCTCACTTTTCCATTCTCGAACCATATAAGAGCGTGGTTTCTGGACAAAACGCGACAGTCAAAAATGAGGTTGTTCTGAGATATTTTCTTCTTATCCACAGGCCGGCCGACCTTTAGTGGCTCACTAAGGACACATTCTCTCTGAGCAAAAGGATGAGAGCGAGAGTGAGGGATAAGTACAATCTTTGGAACACTCTCTCCATTGGAAGACATTTTGATATCTCCTTTACGAGAATGGGTGGAGACTAGTAGGTGTGGCTAATTACCGGAAGTAATTAAGATAGGCGTGGTTAGCATAATTAATGACAAATTTGACAATGATTAGTTTTTAATGGGATAAATAAACAATAGAAGAAATACTGAGATTAATTATTGTTAATAAACTTTACAAACATCTTCATAAGCAATGTTCTCAACATACCGACCACGAGAAGGACCCTATACATTATAAATAAAATTAAAAAGATCAAATATATTTTAAAATTAATAATCTGACCTGTTCAATGGTAACTGACACACAATACTTGTCAACGTTTACATCCTCAAGTTTAGCTTTATAGCCACGGTAGGCTCCATTCACTATTAGAACAGTCCTACCTATTAATGATTATAGATTATAATTAATATAATTATAATAATAATAAGACTTTATTCGTAAAAGAAGTCTGTTTTTCAAAATAATGATTTTCTATAATAATACCTAATAATTGAGTAGTTATTAAACTGAATAATGAATAATTAATAACTTAATAACTGCTGTATATTATAAACTGTATGCTCTCCCTTTCCTGCTGATTATCAACAATCAATTCATCAATTCATTATTAATAATACATACTCATTAACGGTCCATACTTCCTGTAGGTGTGTCAATGGGTGTGGCTAAGCTCTAATATCTCATCTCACACATTAATAATAACTAAGAGTGATAATAATAACTTTGTGGTCATTCTCTCGCTCTCTCTCCCTCTCTCTCCCCCTCCCTCACCGATAGCTGGTATAACAGTCTCCAGATAGGACTGATCAACTTTTACTTTCTCTTTGCTGTCAAGCATTCTAATGGACGCTGTGTATTGATCATGAAGCTCTTCAATGAGTCCTTTCTTCTTGTAAATGTCCTCTCCAAGTCTCTTGTTCAATACTTTCACTATGATTCCCTTTTAACGAGTGGGTTCGGTTATTGGGTGTGGTTTTGAGGGGGTATACTTACCACATGTAGCCAGTAATCCTTTCGGTTCATTTTCTCTTTTCTTTCCTCCTCCAACTGCCAATAAATAAATTAATTATTGATTAATAATAGTCTGATTTACTTTAAAAACAGTATCCAGGGACGACAGCGACTTCTTCTTCCTATAAAGAAGTAACTACAATGTCTCTCCTTATATTCACTTACTTTTCTTCTTGTGATGGTTTTTTGACAGCCTTTGCTGTCTTCTTAGCTTTTGCTTCTAATTCCGCTAACTTCAGAGGATTCATAGGTCTGCAGGTACAATAATAACAAAATAATTGACTCCACCCACTTACACTGACGGCTTCACCACAGCAACAGGAGGAGGAGGAGGAGGAGGGGGAGGGGGTAGTTTCGGTTCTTGGAAATCATTTGATTCAATCTTCATAATCTTTGCTGGTCTTGCCTCCTCCAGCAGTTCATCAGTGTCATTGCTAATTTCCATTGGGAGGTGTTCCTTTACTGCCGAGGGATAGGGTAGAGGAGGAGGAGGAGGAGGGAGGGAGGGAGGGGGAGGGGGAATAGTCTTGGAACCAAATAACGACAGTGTGACTATAAAAGAGAAAGTTAATGTATAAATTAACTAAGAATTGTACAAACTTTTCTCATTCTCATCTTTTCTAATAAGTTCGGTATAGTTCCCGCCTTCTTCGTCAGACTCATTATCGCCGTTCACCTTAATTAACAATAAACTCCACCCACCAATTAATTAATACCTTTTTAAGAGCCGTAGCTCTAACTATTTGATCTTCAATCATTTTCTGAGTTCTCTCTTCATCGTCTCGATCCATCTTTACCTTCTTTGCATCCGCCTAACACAGGAAAAGAGAAAGATAATTACTATTGACAAAGAGAGAGAGAGAGAGAAAGAGGAGTGTGTGTCTACTCACAGCTTGTCTGGCCAGTGCCTCAGGACTCCTGTCAATGTAAGTGATGTACCATCCTTTAGGAGTCGGTTCCACTTCACATAAACCCTGACGACCCAAATACATCACAAAACCAGTTAGTGTAGACCACTACAAAATAAATACAATTATTATTATTATTATTATCATATACATGTATATGTACATGTACATGTACATACCCTGGTAGCATTCATGTGATAATGGTCCTTGTCCCTGATGTATTCCTGATACACAACATTGCAATGGACACGTCTAGTCCCATACTGTCGTCTCAATATATCCATAAACCCTTTCAAAAACTCTCTACGATTAATTAATTATTAGCTCCACCCACTCATAATTAGCTCTTAGACTTACTCAGAAAAACTCCCCACAAAGCGACCAGGATTATCCGCTACTAGTAGGAGCTGCCTTTGATGGGACTCTGACATGATGTGACACTTGAATCCATTCTTAATAACAAGAAATAATGTATAACCACATTATTTATTTTACATACTTCGTCTCTACACTGCTTTTGGCACATTTGACAGTACCAGCGGAGCTTCTGTAATCCTTTGGACTTTATCTTGTTAGCGATAGCTTTAGGAGTCATTGCCTCGTGTTTAGGCATCTTTAAAAGCAAAGAAAACACAGGCTTCGACAAAAAAGTTGAAAACCTTGCCTATTTCTTGACCACACCCAACTAAGGACACACCTACCTACTAGCTACTGCGCAATTTTCAAATTTCAATGTACTGAGTGCTGAGTGCAATGGATTATTTACAAAAAATTAATCTTTACGCAGAAACAATTGTTTTAATTTATTTATTATTCTAACAAGCACTCCTTTCTTCTCTTCCTCCTCCTCATTGACTGGTAGCAGTTCTCGTGTCGTTAAATTGAATAGAGACCCAAAGCCAATGGCAATGACAGTACTGACAAAACATATCACATTGTAAGGCATACTGAAATCAGGGATAGGAAGGGATACTAATAATGGATCTGAATGTATCCTTAATAGAAAAGAACTCCTACACAAAAAATTAAATAATAAATAATAAATAATAATAATAATAATTACCTGTTTTCCATTGTTGATACAGTGCAGTTTGCACATTTATAAACATTTGACGTTAGAACTGCTGAACTAGTAAAGAATAAGCCACACCCATTCAATTAACAACACTTACTTGATAAAAAACCCAAGACTAGCGTCCGGAGGATACTCATTCCATTTTAAGAAACCTCTTAAGAACTCAACGTACAAACTAATGCTTGAATGAGGCGGAATGAAAAATATGTACTCCATTTTGTAAGGAAGGACTCTATCCTTTGCAGGAGAAAACTCTTTAAATAAAACTAAGAAAGAGATAAAATTAGAATCAAATTGTTTGTAATGTTACTTGTGTTATTAGTTTCTTCACAATTGATCTTATTATTATTATTATTATTAATCGTTAATTCACAGGTTAGCGTGTGGTACAGTATTCTGAAGAACCAAGGGACCATGTCCAGGAATGAGACTTTCAATGACTCATCATCATTGTTACTAATTATAGTAACAATACCTCCCCTGCCATGACCGGAGCCTAATAAATATAATTAATGGGTGTGGCAATTTCAAATTAACCCCACCCACCCAATAATACCTGTTAAGTATCTTTGAATTGAGAGTGGAGAGGGAGGGTGTGGCATAACTATAATATAATAATAATAATAATGAATGAATAATTGATAATCACCTTGACTATAATTCTTATTTTTTAACGAGACTTTAATGTCACCTAAAAAATAATTAAAATAAACTAACGATAAATGAATTGGTTACTTTTTAAATTGTTTAATTCGTAGACTGAGAGTTCAACATTAGAAGATAAAAATTGTTTATTTTCAATGAAATGTGGTTCTGGGTATAAGTTGATGTCTTTGTGCAAATATTTATCAAAATAAATGAAAGATGAAGAAGATAAAGGGCACTTCTTTTCAATATGTCTGCCAAACAATGAAGAAAGAGACCAAGTCTTTCCTGACGGTAGTTTAAAGACCACAGAGAGAGAGAGGGTCACAGCAGTACCAACTGAACTACAGCTATCATCCTATGGAATACAACATGTACAATGAAGTAGCTTCTTGTCAGTGGATTGGATTATTAAATTACATAAAAATCAGGCAAAAGTCCCTGTACTATAGTACATGGTCTCGAACAAAATTTTGCAAAAAAAAAAAAAACGAAAAGTAGATAATAGATGTACTTACTTGACATGAGGGTACTATCTTTAATGAAATCGAGTGATAGTTAGTATCGTACAGTTTCAGTGCGTAATAGAGACTACCAAGTCCAACCTATTAACATCAATAACTATTAATAACCATTAATAACTAGCCACACCTTCTGTCCACAGGGCAGTAGTTTGCTCCAGGGGGTCAAATTTTCAGTACAGACTGGCTCCCGTGGCAACGCAGTATATCTTAAACGACTGGAGGAAATATTACCTAAAAATAAAACAATTGCGTTAAATAAATGAATAAATAAATAAATAAATAAATATACCAATAAAAGCTCCGGTAGGTTTAAAAGAAGTTTTTGGTATGAAAGTGGTTGTTGAGTCGATGGCATCAAAAGAGGAACAAAGTAAACCCGAAAGAGCATGCAACAGTCCCCTCCAATCCTCGTCTACACTAATAATTGATTATTAATTTATGGCCGCTATATAGTATTACTAACTCGCTAGCTTGAGGTAGGAACCACGCCCATAGCTCCGCCCCTGGAGGTGAATCAATAGGAGGATAGCCCCACAATCGATCCTTCCATTTCCCACGGGTCAATGATAAATAAAGCTCCTCTACGTTGTACAGGGAAATCATCTCTGAGACTGGCCTTGGGAAAATACCGTAATGTCTGACTATAATAAAATAATAATATTTCAAAATTAATTCCAAAATCTACAACAATCAGTAATTAATTGTATCGTATTTTTATTATAATTAATATTTAAAATTTAATTATTATATCTAACCATTTGAGAATGCTGTCATATCTAAAGGTGAGATGTGATTCCATGTGATCACGTGATCAAAATGTGCCAATACTTTACCATCAGGCAATAACTTTAGCAACAACGATTCCTTATAGTCCTGATTGGTACCTACTGAAGAATTAAATAATAATATGATTAATATGATTATAAAAGAGGTTTCCAGTTGGGTTTTCATCATAAAAACCCAGTGACTAAGGGGTTAAAAATACCAAACAATTAACTAGGTAGGTGTGGTCTAAATAAAATGGCGGATGACAAGGAGGGATTCTTTGACGATGAAGCCGAAGAATCTGAAGCCGAAGAGGAAGAGGAAGGCGGGAAAGGAAGGAGAGGAGGCCTCCTCAGTAGTGAAGACTCGGAGGAAGAAGAAGATGATGATGATGGTACGTTAATAACATCATGTGAATGTATTAAACATGTGTCCATGTGAATGTAATAGGGCAAGATCTTGAAGACTTGATTGATGATAATGTGGTAGAGGAGGAGGAGGGGGAGGGGGACGAGGGGAGGGAGAGGAAGAAACGTCGGAAGAGAAGTAATAATAATAATTAATATTAATTTATTAATTGATTTATTAATTAATTAGGTATTGACGACCAATTAGATGATGAAGATTATGACGTCATTTTAGAAAACACAGGAATCAGTGTACACAAGGTGTGGTGTTATTTTATTTATTTATTTATTTATTTATTTATTTTAGAAATTCAAACGTGTACAAATGTTTGATAGTGACGATGAAGAAGAGGGCGTGGTCAATGACGAGGGTGTGGAGCCAGGTCCATCAGATAACGAGGAAGAATTGGCTCTAGATCAATCATTTGATTCAAATCAGGTAGCTAGTTATTAATAGTTATTAATAGTTATTAATGGTTATTAGTCTCGGCAAAAGGGTGCCAGTAGGGTTGAAGAGGAAGATGATGATGAATTTGGTATGTAGTATATCTCAGTATATTCCAGTATATTATGTAAACAGGTGATTTCATTGTTGGGGATGATGGGAGACCAGTCGGCTACAAGAAAACTGATTTATTTTCAGAACCGTAAGTTAATTAATTAACCAGTATTTAATAATCGTCTTATTCTAATTAAAGAGCACTACTAGAGGCCCAGGAGATATTTGGCGTCGATTTTAAACCGTCGGATTTTGGACTGGGATCAGACGAGGAGGGAGAGGAGGAGGAGGTAGGAGAGGAGGAGGAGAGAGAAGACGATGATGATGAAGTAAGTACCAGCTGTAGTTCAAATGATCTGATTGTGTCACTTTATTTAACATGTACAAATATATTTTTAAAAAACTAAATTGACAATTTATTATTATTTTTTATAGATGGATGGTGAAGTGGGTGTGAGAGTTAAAAAGAGAAAGAAGAAATCAAAGAACAGGAGTATCTATGACGTTTATGAGCCGAGTGAGCTGGAGAGAAGCCACCTAACTGACCAGGACAAGATAATACGAATAACTGACGTACCAGAACGATACCAAGTAAGAGGTTTTGAATTAGTTTTATTTTGGCGGGTTTGAGGCCATGATAAAAAATTTTACTCAATATTTCTGTTACTATATTTAGACTAGAGCTATACCAGTTCGTAGCAGTGACGAGGGAGAGTTGCAGCTGGAGTCAGACTGGGTCTACCATCAAGCGTTCTGCTCCCCTCCTGTCTCCAACCAGCCTTACTCCCAGCACACACAGCAACAGAGAGCAGGTGCCGTGTCTAATGCCAAATCACCCTCAGCCATTCCTAAAATAAAGGAAGCTTTGAACTTTATGCGAAATTATTTCTTTGAAGTTCCTTTTATTGGAACATATCGTAGAGAATACGTAGAGCCTGAACTGAACATGGAGGACTTGTGGAAGATTTATTACTGGGACGAGAAGGTATTGTTATTATTATTGTTATTGTTGTTGTTGTTGTTATTGTTGATGTTTTGTTGTTATAGTGGATGCAGCTGCAACAGAGAAAGAAAGATTTAAAGAAGTTGTTCAAGAGGATCCAGGACTGGCAGTTTAACAAAGTGAAGGAGGAGCCCGAGAGAGCTCTGAATGAAGACTATCGGACACTTGACACTGACGATATACTTAGGTAATGGACCTCAGGGTTTTGAGTTATACGTGTTCTTTAAAATGAGCCAATTTCTGAAAAATACCCAAGGCTATAGCCCATGGTTTTTTCCAAAAAATGGCTCCGAAATTACCCCCAATTTTTATTACATTTTCTGATGCATATTGATGTACTTATGCTGTGTAGAAAGTTTGAGGTGATTCCGACTTCAATTTTTCAAGTTACGGCCATTTAAAGAAAACGCTAAAAATCTGAAAAATACCCAAGGCTATAGTCCATAGTTTTTTCCAAAAAATGGCTCCAAAATCACCCCCAATTTTTATTAAATTTTCTGATACATATTGATGTACTTATGCTGTGTAGAAAGTTTGAGGTGATTCCGACTTCAATTTTTCAAGTTACAGCCATTTTAAGAAAGTGTTAAAAATCTGAAAATGGTTTTTTCAAAAAAAATGGCTCCGAAATCACCCCCAATTTTTATTACATTTTCTGATGCATATTGATGTACTTATGCTGTGTAGAAAGTTTGAGGTGATTCCGACTTCAATTTTTCAAGTTACGGCCATTTTAAGAAAGTGTTAAAAATCTGAAAAATACCCAAGGCTATAGTCCATGGTTTTTTCCAAAAAATGGCTCCGAAATCACCCCCAATTTTTATTACATTTTCTGATACATATTGATGTACTTATGCTGTGTAGAAAGTTTGAGGTGATTCTGACTTCAATTTTTCAAGTTACGGCCATTTTAAGAAAATGTATAGCAATATGAATAATTAATGAGTTAATGAATATTAATTAGGTTGGATGCAGTACAGACAGAAGAAGAGCTGTCAGATGTTTACGCCCACTTCATGTTGTATTATGGGCGTGACCTGATAGCAATGAAGAATAAGAGAGAGTCTACTGCTGATACTGATAATGATGATGTGCTAAAGACCACTGTGAAACAATCTAAGAAGTGAGATCTGACAACAATTGATTTTATTAATCTACACATATTTATTGATCTATTTATTTATTTATTTATTTATTTATTTATTTATTTATTTATTTATTTATTTATTTATTTATTTTAGGAAGGACTATTATTCTTTATGTCAAGAGGCTGGTTTGGGTGCTCTGGCTTCAAAGTTTGGTCTAACTCCGGAGCAATTCGGAGAGAACTTGAGAGACAACTACCAAAGACACGAGACAGAGCAGCATCCTTATGAACCAGAAGAAGCAGCTCAGGAATTTATACAAACATCAGGGTAAGTCATTATACTGTACCTACTATTAAAATGGCTCCTTTCTTTCTCTCTCTCTCTCTCTTAGTTTGTTTGTTAACGTCAGAGCTGTGTTGCAGGGGGCATGTCACATGGTTGCTATGCAACTCGCCTCAGAACCTCTGGTACGACAAGCACTGAGACAAGTCTATCAGACTAGGGCAGTCATTAATGTATCACCTACCAAAAAAGGAAGAAAAGTAATTAATATTCATCATCATTAATTTATTAATTAATATTAATTAATTAATAGGAGATAGATGAATCTCATTCAATATTCTCTTATAAGTATATTAAGAATAAACCGGTCCGTGAGATTAAAGGAGATGAGTTTCTGAGGCTCCATCAAGCGGAGACTGATGGATTAATTAATGTTAAGATATCAATAGACATTGAGCAATCATCTTACGATAAGAGGTAATGAATATTAATTAGTCTATGAATATTTAATTAGGTTCTGTAGAGGTCAGTCGTCGACATTCCTTGAAGAAATAAGAATCCTGTTTTATAGAGTAAGGAACGTTGTACATGTACATGTACGGTTGCCGAGAGATTTTGGCTAAATGCTTAATTATTGGCAAGTTTTAATTTGATGGATTTAGGCCCAATAGTTCAAAATGGTGGGATTTTTCTCAGCAAATGAACAGTCTATCAGTTGAATCACCATCTTTCACAATTACCAGCTACTACCTCCTTCCTCTCCCTCTCCCCCCTCCTCCTCCCCCTCTAGGATGAGTTCAGTTTGCTGGTAGAGAAATGGAATGCCCAGCGTGCCCAGTCGGTGGCCCAGTGTCTGATGAAGGTGCTCTATCCTCAAATGGAGAAAGAGTTGAGAGCTAAACTGTTAGCGGAAGCTAAGGAACACGTACTACAGGTATTCCAATTAATGCACATCACTTATTCTATTTAATGCACACCAGTGCTGCGTGTTGAAGTTCAGGAACTGGTTGGACGTGGGTAACTCCCTCACCTCAAGAGATGAGGATGAAGTCATCAACGAGTCTGAGACCAGTCACAGGGTAATGGCCGTGGCTTACTCTGACGACTGGTAGGAGACACCATTAATGCATTATTATTGTAATAATCCCTCGTTTCCAGGAGTGTCCCTAGTTTTGCTTGTTTTTTAAACGGTAACGGCGAGGTACTGGATTACCTGAGACTAGCTTACATTCATAAAAGAGTTAACGTTAACAGTGAAGTGGAGAAGGAGCAGAAGGTACTTGTACAGTATAATAATGGTGGATCATTAGAAATGGACTTTACTGTACATGTACGTGTTGTCTTCTCTCTCTTTCTCTTTATTGTTTTAGGAGGAGGAGACTAGGAAGTTACGGCAGACGATGGAAAAGAGAAAACCTGATGTTGTTGTAGTAGCTGCTTCATCAAGGTACTGCGTTTATTAATTTTATTATTATTATTATTATTATTATTATTATTATTATTATTATTATTATTATTATTATTATTATTATTGTTATTATTTATATTTAAAGGCAAGCTCTAAGTGTCATTGATGAATTAAAGACGTGTCTAGTTGAAGCTGATGGTGTAGCCCCGCCCACTATTGAACTAATGGATCCGAATATATCAGAAATATACTCAAAATCCAACAGAGCTAAAGTAATGAATAATTAATTAGTTAATTTTATTATTTATTAATTACGTAGGAGGAGTTTCCCAGCTACCCCCAGTTATTATTGTGTGCCATTTCTTTGGGTCGACGTGTACAGGAACCCTTGTACGAGTTCACGTCACTTTTGTCCTCACACGATGAAGAATATCTATCATTGATACTCCACCCACTCCAGGTACAAGGGGAGGGGCAGTGGGAGGGGTCTGTTGATTCTCTCCCTCTAGAGGTCTTTATCAGTCGAGGACCTGAAGAAAGGACTGGAGGTGGAGCTAGTTAATAAAGTTAACTCAATTGGTGTTGATATTAACTTCTGTATTGAGCACTCACATGCTGAGCACATGCTACCCTATGTGGCTGGTTTTGGACCGAGGAAATCAACTGGGCTCCTTAAAGTGATTAATATCATCATTAATATTATTATTATTATTATTATTATTATTATTATTATTATTATTATTATTATTATTATTATTATTATCATTATTATTATCATTATTATTATTATTGTTTGTTGCAGCTGTTACGTCAGGAGAACATACAGCTCCAGAACAGGTCTCAGATTGTTACCCAGTGTTCCATTGGTCCTCAGGTATTCATCAACTGTGCTGGATTCATTAAAGTACTGCCGTCTACCTTCACTGTCAGGTACTCATTAATATTCATTGATTATTAATTATTCATTACATTAATTAGTGATTCTGCGTACGTGGAGGTCCTTGACAGCACTAGAGTTCATCCTGAGACCTACGAGTGGGCAAGAAAAATGGCCTTCGATGCTCTTGAGTATTATGACGAGGTACTTCATTAATTATTCATTGATATTGTAATGATATTCATTTATATTGGTTGATTATAATGATATTCATAGGTGGGTGATGAGTCCAATCCCAGTGCAGCTGTTGAGGACGTGATGGACACACCTGAGAAACTAAAGGACCTTGATTTGGACGCCTTCGCTGATGAGCTACGCAGACAAGTGAACCAACAATTAATAATAATAATAATAATAAATAATAATTTTATTATTCTTACAGGAGTATGGTGATAAGGGACTGACATTGTATGATATTCGTGACGAGTTGTTTGCTCCTTTCAGAGACAATAGACAAATGTTTGGTAAAATGTCTGCAGATGAAAGATTCACTTTATTAACTGGTAATTTACCATTAGTTCCATTCTCACGAAATATTAATGTAATTAATATTATTATTATTAATTACACTCCCTCAGGTGAGACTCATGATACTATTCACGAGGGTAAGCTGATCACCTGCACTGTGGTTGGGATAGCCAGGAGACGTCCCAATCAAGAGGCACTGACACAAGCTAATCCAATAAGAGACCAGACCGGCTATTGGCAGTGCCCCTTCTGTTTAGCGTCTGATTTTGCTGACGTCAGCAGAGTGAGTCTGTCAGTACATGTACAAAGTTTGTCACATTCTTTTCATACTTGAAAATTTTAAAATAATCATTTATAAATGTTAATTGGTAGGTGTGGTCTCATGTTGACAGCCACGAGTGTCCTGGTCAGCCAGTCGGAGTAAGAACGAGATTAGAAAACGGGTTAAACGGGTTTATTGCTATCAAGAACATCAGCGACAGTTTGGTACATAATCCTGAGGACAGGGTCAAGGTACTGGTTATATTAATAGTTATTAATAGTTATCAATAGTTATTAGCCTGGTATGACCATACACTGTCGTATATTATCAGTTAATATTGAGAAGTTTTCAGTTGATTTGACTTGCCGTAGCTCAGACCTCATCGACAAGGCAGGGAAATTTAGGTACCGCCCACTCTAATTAGTATTTATTAAGCCACACCCACTCTAGCATAACGAGGGATATCTATTTTGATTATGAAGCAGCTGAAGCTGATAGTAAGAAAGACCGGGCTGCCACTCAACAGAAACCAAAAGATAGTTAGTGATTTATTAAGAAATAAATAATATATAAATAATTGTTTTTTGTTAGGGTACTTGAAGAGGGTTATCGTTCATCCTTCGTTTAAAAATGTGTCATTTTTGGAGGCTCAGAAGTTGCTGATGAACATGGAGCAAGGAGAAGCCATATTTAGACCGAGCAGTCAAGTAAAATGAACTGTACATGTACAGTGTATGGTAACTCTCTCTCCCCCCCCTCTCTCTCTCCCCCCCCTCTCTCTCTCAGGGTGTTGATCAGTTAACTCTAACCTGGAAGGTTACGGACTCCATCATACAACACGTTAACATCAAAGAGGAGGGAAAACCAAACCAGTTTAGCATAGGGAAGTCACTTTTAATTGGAAACGAAGTAATAAATAATAATAATAATAATAATAATAATAATAATAATAATAATAATAATAATAATAATAATAATAATAATGTAGATTTAGATACAATTTTTTATGTAGTTTTTCTATTTTGAAGGAATATGAAGATTTGGATGAAATACTGGCCAGATATGTTCAGCCATTAGCTGGTAACGTCCGAGACATATTGACTTACAAGTATTACAATGAAGCTAATGGCGGAGACAAGAGGATCCTTGAGAAACTCCTCAAAGACGAGAAGACCAAGCACCCTAAGAAGATACCTTATTTCCTGAGCGCCTCCAGGGAGCACCCCGGCAAGTTTATACTATCATACCAGCCGTCAACTAGAGCAAAGTTTGAATACGTTGGTATAAAACCGGAGGGATACTGGTACAGAGGGCAGCTGTTCCGAAGTGTTAATAGTCTCATCAATTGGTTCAAGGAGAACTTTAGAGCCGCACCCGTTATAAGGCACACGCCCACTCCTAGCGTCAGTAGTGCCACGCCCTCTTTTAGGGGTATCCCCTCGTCTGTCAGGGGGGCGACCCCTTACACCCCTGGTCAGTGGGACAAGACACCTGTAATGTAGCTCATGTACTCTCTCATTTCTTATTAATAAATTATGTTCCTTTATTATTATTATTATTATTATTAATTTTTTCTATGATAATTAAGCTTTAGCCCCGCCCCTTATATTTAAAATTTAACGGCCTATCCGTAAAAATTATTAGCCTTTAATTTATAGTAGAGGGCGTGGCTAGGTTTGTCACGTGACTGCAGCCATTTTATCTATTAAGGTGAATCTGCAGAAGAGAAGGAAAAGGCTGCCTATCGCAAAGCAGGTCCTCCCTAGCTACTGCTCCTCTCTCTTTTAGTTAACTCACACTCTCTCCAGTGATGGGGCTCGGCAGGTCAAAGTTCCCCATTTCTCTAGACGAGGCTACAGTCAGAGGTAATAATAATAATAATTATTATTATTATTGAGTGTTCTCTTCCTCCCTCAGCTACTCCTGAGGTGGTACAGCGTCTCAGAGACACTTATGATCGGTTCTCATCAAATACTGGGCTCCTCCCTCAAGTGACCTTCTTACGGGATATATTTGGGGATGGGATGCCGCCAAAACTTGCCGAAGTATTAAAATAAATTAATCGTTACTTGATACTAGTGGGTGTGGTTTAGGAGCTGTACGAAGCCTTCAGAGGGGGCCAAAAAGGGATTAAATTTAACGACTTGTTGAGGGGTCTGGTATTATTAGTGCAAGGGACCAGACAAGAAAAGATATTATGTAAGTATGAATCATGATTTTGATCATAATGTGATTCGTTCCTGATAGTTCTGACTCAGATGCTGACAGATGAAGATCACCTCATCACTAAAGAATCCGTTCAAAAGTTTGTTGCTTTAGTTGACACAGACCCATCCACTGAAGATTTGGATACTCTCTTCCCAGAGGTAAGGGAGAGAGAGAGAGAGAGAGGACATTTTAAAAGCTTTGGTGCAGCTGCTGGCTAAAGAAGGTCTCATTATGAATGGTTTCTTTATTCTATAACACACACCTCATTAGTTTTCATCTTGTACTCCGAACTACTTCAGTAACTGGTTGGAAACTCACCCCAACCTCTGCTCCTTTACACAATGGTTGCTAGGAGACGAAAACACCATGAGTTTAACGGCAGAGCCAGACCCTCCCACCTTCTACCAGACACTGGCTGATAAGAACGGCTGTAAGTTTGACCACGCCCACAATAAGACCCTTTCCTAAACCCCCTGTGTATTAATTTTAATGTGTTCCAGACCCTGTATTACTCCTCCCTCTTTCCTAGTGACTGATAGAGATGTGATGAATATTGAGAAGACGTACTGGGGGCTCAAGGGGGGCAACGCTAAATTTGATAGTTCCGTTTTCTGTAAAATCCTTTTTCCTCCTCTGCCAGCTGGTCTTGTACAAAGTAATTAATAATAATATTAGTTATTACTGTACGTGTGTGTTTGTGTTTTTGTTTATTTTATTAATGTGCGGTATTTATTTTTATTAAATTGAATCACAATGGCTTTGGTGTTGTGAAAGTGAATGTTATCAGTTGACGTGTTTGTGTTTAAACATTTAATCTCTCTCTCTCTGTGCAGTTCTTTATTCGTTATCATCTTTTATCTCTCCCTCTCTCTCTCTCTCCCTCCAGGTATATTCTCTTATCTTGATATTAATAAAGACGGCCATATTGACCTCTCAGAGATGGTGAGGGGTGTGGCTATATTCTGTAGGAAACCTTTGAATGAAACCCTACTAGGTAGGTACATATAATTGCGTATTATTATTATTATTATTTATTTATTTATTTATTCTTTTCTTTTAGTGTTTTTTGAGTTATTTGATGAAGATAAAGATGGCTACCTCAATGAGTATGAGCTGACAGCTGCTCTCCAGATGCTAGCTGAGCTCAAGAGGAACAACACTGTCAAAGAAACTGAAAATGAAGAGACGATCATTGACACCATTTTAACCGAACACCAAGAAAAGTTGCAGGTGCATTTTGTGAAATGTAATATGTTTTAATTGTTGTGGAGGATATCTGTTGCCATGGTAATCATTAATGATTTATAGGACAGTGGGCTGGATAGGGCGGAGTTTGTCTCATGGTGTTCTCAAGATACAGGAAGTGGGTGGAGCCTCGTGTCTGTCCTACTCCAGGTGCTGGTGGAGGTGTGTCATGTTAAGTTGGGACTCCGCCCATCACAACCAATGGAGGAAGCATCAATAATTAGGTAAGTATTAATTATAGATAATTACAGTTATTAATTAATAGTGCAGTAATTAATATTTATGAATAGTTATTAATAGTTCAGTAATTAATAGTTATTAATAGTTTAATTGCGTATAGTGATGGTCTTACTAGGGCGGTGTTGATCATCGTACACAATAGCTAGTGAAGCTATTATGTGGACCTCAGCAACTTTGTCTGAGTAATTGCCCATAATTGTCTTCTTAGCATCAACAATAATCTTTTTAGCAGCAGCTATACCTTTCTCTAGAAATAATAATAATAATAATAATAATTAATTAATAATAATACAGTATAGTCTCTATATAATGGACACTCTCTATAGCGTACACCTCCATTTAACGGACAGCACCTAGTGTACCAATTACATTCCTTACTGTATAAAATAACCTCCACATAAAGGACACCTCTGTATAACAGAGACACAGTGTCCATTATAAAGAGGTTAATAAGTTAATTCTTTACCTCTTGTTTCTTTGATGTAAGCCACATAAGTTTGTGGTGTGAGCGAGTAATCCCTCTCTTCACCTGACTGTATCTTGTAAAGCCCATAATTAGTATAGAGAATGTCAGCAATTGCTTTGTACGGTATTGTCTGCTTCACCTCTTCGCTCAATCCTTTGTTAGACCCAACCGCATTAAACGAGAAGTTGAATATAAATATTTTTGTTTCAAGGAGTTCACGTACGTCCTCCCTTGTTGGCTTTGCTGGCTTTTTTGGGTTTTTTTTTCTAGCGTCATCAAACTCAAGAATACTTTGTCCACGTATGCCTTCATACTCTTGAGGCTCAGCTGCCATTTCAACTGTTGGGATATTCTTGATACAGTTCTCTTGAAACAGCTTTATTTATGAATGCATTGGTCGTGTTCTAAATATAGATATGACCTTATTTGGTATTATAATTTAATTGTTTATTTATTTTTAATTGGTAGCGATGGAAGGTTGCATTAAATATTTATTTTACAGTTAGGGCAGCAATTAATTAATAAGAATTACAGTAATGATAATAAAACAACAACAACAACAAAAAAAAACAACAATATAAAGACTAGAGAGTAGAGTATTTACTCTCTTTCCCAATCCTTTGACCCTACTGTACTATCCAGGGCACTTGTCTGACAAGTATTTTTGTTTTTAAAATGGCTGTAACTTTAAAAATTGAAGTCAGAATCAGCTCAAGCTTTCTACATAGCATAAGTACATCAATATGTATCAGAAAATGTAATAAAAATTGGGGGTGATTTTGGAACCAGTTTTTGGAAAAAACCATGGGCTATAGTACAGGGATTTTTCCGAAATTTAAAGTTTTAAAAAATGGTCATAACTTGAAAAATTGAAGTCAGGATTGGCTCAAACTTTCTACGTAGCATAAGAACGTCAATATCAGCATAATTACTTCAGATTTTTGAGCCATTTTATTGAAAAAGCATTCAAATATTTCTTTAAATGTAATCCTATGTGTTAAATAAAGCACAGTTCCCTGTGTTGTACGGGAAATACAGCACTCAAGTGTGGTCAAGAAAACCATACAGCATGAGGTGAAGCCGAGTGCTGTATGGCTTTCTTGACCACACCTCGAGTGCTGTATTTCCCTTACAGCACAGGGGGAAACGTGCTTTTACTAGTTTATGGTCATAGTGTGTGGGTGCATCAAAGGCACCAGCCCAAGGCCAAGTGAAGAATATCCTAAAGAGAACCAAGAGACTGAAAAGAGACTGCAGTAACTGGACTATCTGCTCGCGCCTCGTGTGGCTCTTAGTTGGGGGCGGTCACAGTTTATTCAACAGGAAACCACAAACTGTGCTGTATGGACTGGAAGTGTGCTGTGTGAGATATACAGTATGGGCGGTGCCTTTGATGCACCCACGCACTATACTATAAATATTCTATAATATGTCCCAACTGAGTTTGGCCCAAAAAAACTGGAATAACTTTTTATAGGAATGAGAGCTATGAATGAATCATTCACAGGTTCTTAGTCGCCCAATGCCACTTCAGGATCTCAGGTCTTGGGTCTCTCAGCCGGTGGGAACCCTGAGAACCGGGTCCTCCCTATAAACTCAATGGCATACCAAAGCTAACTGCAATGACGTTTTATGATGTCATAGTTCACATAAGCACATGTGGTTGAGTGACCAAACTGATAATTCTTATTTTAATAGTGAAACAACACAGCCAAAATATCTGCCAAGTCTCTATGAATATCATTATAATAATTATAATGATATTCATAGAGAAAATACGTCTTTAGTGACGTAGCTACATTTTTCAAATTCCAATACAGCTGCTTCCACTTCCGGTCCAAACTCAGTTGGGACATACAGGTAGTATAAGTACATGTACATGTATATGTATAAAACCATAAATCATTGGTAATAATGATGATAAGTATAAACATTGTCTCTCATTAATCTTCTTCTTAATTTTCTTCCCTTTCCTTTCCTTTCTCTTCTTTCTTTTCTTCTTCTTTCTTTTCTCCTTCCTTTCCTCCTCCATCTTCTTCTTTTTTCTCTTCTCCTTCCTTTCCTCCTCCATCTTCTTCTCCTTTTTCTTCATTTTTTTCCTGGTATGCAATGGCCATTGATGCCAGTACATGTACACCATCAGTGTCAAGAGGAAGGTCTCTATCATCCACTTTCAATTCAAAGATACTCTTTTTCAGCATCTTGACAATAGCTTGTACGAAAACTATCCCAATAGCTAAAATAAATAAATAAATAAATGTACTTGTTAAATCTAGAAATAACTTTTGCATGACCAGCTTAAACTATTTATAAAAATGGTAGATTTAAGGACCCATAGGGCTAAATATGAGAGACCAAAAGCTGAACAATTGTAGATCTAACAGTGGACATAACTCCAGTTATACCTTGCTCATGATTTATGAATGCCACGTATGTTGATCTTGATAGGGTCTGTCCCTCCTTATTCCCTTCACTGTCTATGGTTGATTTCATCTTGTAAAGACGGTATTCCTTATAAAGGTGCTCCTCTATTTCTGCATATTCCTTTTCATCCATTTTCCTTGTGCTGTGGTTGTACGTGATTTTAAAATAGAATACTTTCCCTTCCTCATCCTTCAAGAGATTCCCGACATCTTCTCTCGTTGGTTTCTTACCTCTATCCACGTCATAATCTGCTATATTATTAGCTCTTATAGCACGCAGCATAGCATCACCTTCCTCTTCTTCCATTTTGTTCTTTTTTAATGATATGAAATAAACTTTTTTTTGTTTTATTTTTATGTATGTTGGTCGTGTTCTAAATATAGATATTACCTTATTTGGTATTATTATTTAATTGTTTATTTATTTTTAATTGGTAGCGATGGAAGGTTGCATTAAATATTTATTTTACAGTTAGGGCAGCAATTAATTAATTAATAATTTAAAATAAAAATAAGCAAAAATAGAAGATACATGTACGCAGTACAATTTAAAACTAATACTAATTACAATGTTCATGTGCTTAGTCACTAGAATTGGAGTTAAGTTCCTTTGCAAAAGCTTGTATCCTTTTCAGTGTATCACTGTCACAATCTTTCTCATTCTCTCTTCTCCCCTCCCTCTCTTTCTTTCTCCCCCCCTCACTCTCCCCCTCACTCTCTCCCTCACTCTCTTCTTCAATTTCATAATCATCTTCATTATCCTCATCATATTCCTCTGGCTCACTCTCTTCACTGCTACAGCTGCTGCTGTCTTCTTCTCCAGAACTGCTAACAATACATGTTTCTTTTTCTTCTACATCTATGTCTGTTTCTTCTTCCGAGCTGCTATAATGAATCCAATTTTTGCCTTTTCTGACTCTACTCTCTATCTTTCTCTTCCTTTTCCTTTTTATTTGTAATAAAGGATTCTCAATCTCTTTTGAAACGGCATACACAAACCCAGGCGCTGCTATGATGTGAACCTTGCTAGCTCTGAGATACTTTCGTTTTAAGATAAACTTCTTGACTGATTTAGTGAGACTCAAAACTTGCCTTTGCTTCTTGTTAGAATCTGAGCAATAGGAAAAATAATGATAATAATAATAATAATATTATTATTATTATTACTTACCTTCTATGTCCACCAGTGCTATGTACATTGAGCGGTTCAGAGTGTGTGGTTTTCCTTTGGTTGATCTCAGTTTGTAGAGATGGTACCTCTCCCATAGCAAGTCTGCTATATCTTCTGTTTTAGTTTTAAAGTGTCTGAGTCCTTTATAAACTGGATTGAAGGATATATTGAAGAATATGATATCCCCAGGATACTTTCTCAGTATACGGCGAGTGTCTCTTCTTGTTGGTTTTAGTCCTCTCTTTTTATCAAATTCCGGTATAGATTTGGCAATGAATTTTGATTCCTTTGCTGTCTTCCTGGCTAACTTTTTTCTACTCATTCTTCGTCCTAAACTCCTTCTCTTCCAAGAGTTTCACTTGAATGTAGCGCCTGTGTTTACTGCGTATTTTACCGCCTTTTCTCATTCTGGCAATCTGATTGGCTGGAGATCTATAGCCAAGGGGAATTCCCAGGGAAATAACATATAAAGATCATGATATGATAGAGCTTCATGTTTATAGTTATTGTAAGGATTTTCTTAAACATTAAAATAATCAAAGTAAAACACAGTTCCTAATTATTAAGTTTAATAGCATCTTCTTGGTCTTCATCTTTTTTGGGTCTTTTACTCAGACTTTCTTCATCAGAGGCTTCCACTTCATCAGTCTGACTACCAGTATCCATTGTCTCCTTGTTACTCTCTTCCTCCTCCTCCTCTTCTTCTTTTATGTCGGCATTCTCTTTCATTCCTTTCTCTTCCTCTCCTGTTGGTTCCTCCTCTTCCTCGCCTACATCATATATGATTGCTAGTGTTGCTATCACGTGGACTTTTGCAACGTTCAGCTCCACCCCTTTGTTTAGTATTTCTCTCTTTGCTTCATCAATTAAATCATTAATCTTCCTTTTCTTTTTTGTTAGATCTGCACAATACGGACAATAGAAAAAATTAATTATCATTATTTATTATAATTATTATACTTATTATTACCTCCATCTTTAATCAGTCCCAAGTACATTGAGCGGTTGAGTGAATACTTCTTTCCTTCAGTTGATCTCAGTTTGTAGAGGCGGTACTTCTCCCACAACATGGAAATGATTCTATCATACTTTGGATTCTTTGTTGGGCACTTTGGTTCTGGTGTTGTGAAATTGATGTTTAGAAAAAAGAGGCTATCTTCTTCTTTGTCCAGTAAATTTCTGACTTCCTCTCTTGTTGGCATCCTGTCTCTCTTCAAATTCAGTTTTTCAATATTGTCACAGGCAAATTCCGATAAAACTTTATCTGGTTGCTGGGCCATTTCGTAAAAGTTAAAGGAAGCTTCCGTTGCCTTTCTTATTTGAATTTGAAGATTAATACCTTCTCATTGATATGGCAGTTTTTGATTGGTCAGAAGAGGATTGGGGAAAGCCCTAATAGTTATTCTCTTACTAGACATAATGCAATTCATCTTATTCTTATCATCTTTGGATGCTCTGCCTTAATAAGAATGAAATGCATTTCTACTAGGAAGTTAATATTAATATTAATGATTATAATAACACTAACTGGTAATGGTAGTGATGATGTATATATGGCTGTGTTACTTGAAATACTAATAATAATAATAATGATAGGGAATTACCCTGTTTGGTTTCTTGTGATAATTGATGCATTAACAGCTGTACATTTATATACACGTAGTACTGAGATAGGTGTTAACAATATTTTATTTATTTGTGACCATAATTGACAAAAGGTACCTTATGGCGGGTAGTGAAATTTGTCTTTCTAGCCTATGAAATCCAACTTCCTGAGCCCCATTTATCATAAAATTACTCCACAGGATGCAAAAAGTTACCATGAAACTTTTAGAAACAATGATTGTCTAACAAAGCACTCACAGGTTGATATTTGCCATTATTAAGATCAATTTTAAAATCCGCCATAAGGGCCCTTTTGTCAATTATGGTCACATTTATTAATTGTTTTATATTAGAATAAGAATAGTGTCATTTCAAATTACAATGAATATTAAAAATACATACAATTATTACATATACACAACACAAGTTCATGAGAGTAGTTCAGTTTGAAGTGCTTCTAAACTCTCAAGCAGAGCCTTGTCAATCCAACTATCACTCTCTCTCTCTTCCTTCACCTCGTTAGAAGTTACTGTGAACTTTTTTGCTTGACCATCTTTATCTCTCTCATCATCAGAACTGATGCAAATAACATCATCATCTTCCTCTTCTTCTCTCTCTTCCTCCTCCTCCATCTCCTCCTCCTCTCCTGAGCTGATGATAATGACACTAGCACTTCTCTCCTCTTCTTCTTCCTCCTGTTCCTCTCCCTCCTCTTCTTCATGCTGTTCCTCATTTCCCTCCTCTTCATCTTCCGCCTGCTCTCCCTCCCCACCCTCCTCCTCCTCCACCTCCTCTTGGTGTTCCTCCTCCTCCTCCCCCTGGTGTTCTCCCTCTTCTTCTAAGATGCTGTTCTCTTCCTCCTCCTCTTCATTGTCATAAATAATTGCATGTGATGGCACCACGTGTACTTTTGCCACATTCAGCTCCTCCCCTTTGTCTAATATTTCTCTCTTTGCTTCATCAATTAAATCATTAATCTTCCTTTTCTTTCTATTCAGATCTAAACAAAAATAATAATAAATAAATAAATAAAATTACAATTATTATTAATTGTTAGTACCTCCATCTCTTAACAATCCCAGGTACGTTGATCGGCTGAGGGTGTGTGGTTGTCCTCTTGTTGACTTCAGTTTATAAAGGCGGTATTTCTCCCACAAGAAATTAATAATTTTTTTGGATTTTGGAGAAGGTTTTTTTGGTCTTTGAGTCCCATTAGCATTAGCGTCTGATGGTGCAGCTGGTTCTGGCAGAGCTGCTGGTGGAGGGGCATTGAAACAGAAGTTGAAATAGAAGAGATTTCCCTGGTATTTGTCCAGTAGTATTCGTACGTCTTCTCTTGTTGGCATTCTCCTTCTCTCTGTATCAATCTCTCCAATGACGTCACAGGAAAACTCTGATCTTGTCATATCTCCTTGAACTGCCATTTTCTTTGAAGTCTCTTGTTGTACAATATTATACAGTGTTTTTGAGTTAGAAATAAGGCACCGCCCTCTAGTTGTTTTAGGGTTGGCCCTAGTATTACTATAGTATAATTATTATCAATTATACTTGACAGCTGATACTGTAACGATATTCATTAGTCACACTTTGGAGTCTTTCCTTATATAAGCTTTGCATAGAAGAGTAGAGGTTATTAATAACAAGGAACTTAATATTCACGATAATTATAGCAGAGATTATTAGTAACTATTAATGATTATTATAGTGGCAACCTTAACATGTACATTTAGTAATAATGATGGGGAATACCCAGTTTGGTTTCTTGTAACAATTATTGATATACAATGTTATTGTGTTAGCTTACTTTATTGTTTATTAATTTATTTCTAGTGGCTACATGAACAGATTCAAGAAGAGCGGAAGGTCAAAAGGTCAGTTAGTGTATCTGATGTCAACCCAATGGTTCAACAGCTGGAGGATATACACTCAATTTGAGGTACGTGAATAATTAATAAATTAATGATTAATTAATAATAGATGGATGATTGTCCTCTCTCTTCGTTGATACCACCTGCTGAACAATCTTCAAAGAACACAGACAGAGGAGATAGAGGCACTACTCCTGTAGCTGAACCTGAAAGTAATGAACATAATTCATAACTAACACCCTCCCTCTCTCCCTCCCTCTCTCTCCTCCAGTTGTTGATGTTACAGTTGAAGGTGAAGATGTTGCTGAAGGATATACTCATATTGTTACACCTGAAAGTACATCACTATTTCCCGCCTTTTTAAATTAAAATACATGTACATGTGCCTATGTCCTCTCCCTCACAGACCCTGGTACTATTAATTCATGGCCACTTTCTCTCTGTGCAGCTAGCAGCTCTGGTTCAGCTCAGAAAAGGGGCGGAGTCCAGTCACACCCACAAGAGGACGAGGACCCTTTGAAGCCAATTGGGATAAGCAACTCTCACCTGTGTCTTGAAGAACCTTTCCCTGGCAGCAAGAAGGTAGGGGAATTAAGTTCTTTAAATTATTTATTTATTTATTTATTAGTTGATTTCATTAACTAATGAAGGAGGAGTCTTAAAGCCCTCATTAAAGGAATATGTTGATTATTATTTATTGCCTGAGGACGTCTGGCGGGCACTGGTCACCTGGTATGGGACAGCTGGACTGGGAGGAGGACCACCCCTGCCTAGACCAGTGAGAGATATGGTCATTTATTTATTTATTTATTATTAATTATAGGTTATTAATGAAGAGGGTGTGGTCTCACTCTACCCCACTCTATTAAAGGTTTTCAGACACACGACTCTTCCACCTGCTAAACAGTCAAAGTCCACCGGCCCTTGGAACTCAATGCTTGAAGTGTTTAGCTTCTTTGGGTTTAGGTCAGGGGGTGGGGCTGATAATTCAGCCACGCCTGTTGGAAACACACCATTACCTGGTGATGCTACTCAACCTTTACTGCCGAGAAGAATCCTCTACTATAGTGCAGCCTTTTATGATAATAACACACTGCAGGAGGTTAGTAGGTGTGGCTTGTTGTCATGGTAATACGTACACTTACAGATGGTTGAGGTGATGCAAAAAGTGCTACATGCCAAACCAGACGAAGTACGTATCTACAGTTTAAGTGACGATGAGGAGCAGCTGGAACTACTGGATGAAGAAGAGAAGACAGTAGAGGATCTGGGGTTTAAAAATGGACAGAAAATACTAGTAGAAAGTAATAGAAGACATTGGAAGATGTAGAGAGAGAGTGTGTGTTTCTTTTTTGTAGCTCGTAACAAAGACAACTCGTGGCCTGAAGAGCTAGTGGCGGCCATTAAAGAAGTTCAAGCAAAAGATTCAAACGAAAAACAAGTTGTGAAATCCCAAGGTAAGCCATGATGTCATGTGATGTCATTTTGTGTCACTTCATTAGGGACCAAGGTTCCAGAGGGGGCCACTGGGCTCAGTAACCTTGGCAATACCTGCTTCATGAATTCATCTCTTCAGTGTATCAGTAACTTACAGCCACTGACGACCTATTTTAAAGAGAAGGACTATCTACTGGAAATTAACAAGTAAAATAGATTATTTATTTATTTATTTGTTTGTTTGTTTGTTTATTCACAGGCAGAACCCATTAGGAATGAAAGGTGTGATGGCCAAGAGATACGGAGAGCTTGTCTCTGACCTTTGGACTGGACACAGCAAGAGTATAACGCCATGGAGATTTAGAGTAATTAATAATAATGATGATAATAATAATGATATTAATATTAATAGTTAATAATAATAGTTATTAATAGTTATTAATCTTTTCCAGTACACTATTGCTCAAAACGCTCCTCAATTTAATAACTTCCAGCAACAAGACGCCCAAGAACTTTTATCATTTGTATTAGATGGACTTCACGAGGATCTAAACAGGTAAGCCATGCCCTTTACAAGTCTAAATTACCACGCCCACTGTAGAGTAAAAGTGAAGCCATACAGAGAATTACCGGACAGTGACGACCGACCAATCGCTGAAGTTGCTGATGAAGTAATATTTGATAATTATTATTAACTGACCACACCTCTTATGTAGGCGTGGTCTTATCACAGGGAGAGAAACAATTCAATAATAGTCGATTTATTTCAAGGACAAGTTAGTCGCCATTTTATTACTCCTCTCCTGACCCCTCCCCCTGACCCCTCCCCCTCTTTTTAGCTAAAGTCCCTAGTTGAATGTACAGTCTGTTCTTATAAAAGTATCAAATTTGATCCATTCACTTTCCTGTCCTTGCCACTCCCACTGGAGAGCTCAACTAGTTTAGAAATTATTGGTAAGAATAAAGTACATGTATATGTATCAGAAAATGTAATAAAAATGGAAAATTCTCTACTTTTCATTTTTGGCAAAATTTGCTTTGAGACCATGTACTATAATAGTACAGGGACTTTTGTCCGATTTTGGAGCAATTAAAAAAATTCGTAAAAAATCCAATTTTGATCGGAATTAGCTCAAACTTTTTACACAACATAAGAACATGTATATGTATCAGAAAATGTAATAAAAATGGAAAATTCTCTACTTTTCATTTTTGGCAAAATTTGCTTTGAGACCATGTACTATAGTACAGGGACTTTTGTCCGATTTTGGAGCAATTAAAAAAATTCGTAAAAAATCCAATTTTGATCGGAATTAGCTCAAACTTTTTACACAACATAAGAACATGTATATGTATTAGAAAATGTAATAAAAATGGAGAATTCTCTACTTTTAATTTTTGGCAAAATTTTGCCCGATACCATGTACTATAGTACAGGGACTTTTGTCCGATTTTGGAGCAACTTTAAAAATTCATAAAAAATTCAATTTTGATCAGAATCAGCTCAAACTTTCTACGCAACACAAGTACATGTATATGCATCAGGGAATGTAATAAAAATAGAGAATTTTCTACTTTTCATTTTTGGCTAAACTTGGTCCAAGACCATGTACTATAGTACAGGGACTTTTGTCCGATTTTAATCATTTTTATTATTTTTATATTTTTAGTGATACCCATTGATGGATCCCAGCCAACTCGCTATTGTCTAAAGTTAGAACTTGATGCTAAATATAGATTACTAAAGGAGCAGCTGGTTGAAATGTGTCAAATAAATCGTCTCATTTTGGTTGATGTCTACGGAGGGACAGTCAGGGTAAGAGAAAAATGTACAAAATGACAGTAATGAGCTACTGTTTAGTAGCTAAATATTGAGAGAAATAAATTATAATTTGGTTGCTTTATTTTTAAAATTTGTTTTAGAGTTTTCCGAATGATGATCAGAAGATGAGGACTGTCCTGAGTGGGTCACTGTACGCGTATGAAATACCACCTCACTACAGGAGAATCACACCATCCAGAGAAGAGGAACAACCTCTAGAGAGAACAGAAACCAATGATGAGGGGGAGGAGTCAATTAATAAAGGGGAGGAGTCAACTAGTAAAGAAGAAGCAGAGGCTCCTACTGAAGTAGAGACGACTAAAGAAGAGATTGAACAAGAAACAAAGACTCCTACTGAAGAGGTGGAGTCATCTGCTAAAGGGGCGGAGTCAGACACACCCACTACTAATAAAGTTGAAAATGGTGAGATTGGAGGATCTGTTGGTAATGGAGGGGAACAGAAAGAGGAGGAGAAGGAGGAGGAGGAGAAAGTGAAGGAGGAGGGGGAGGGAGTGAAGGAGGAGGGGGAGGGAGTAAAGGAGAAGGAGGAGGGGGAGGTAAAGACCAACGACACTAAACAATCTTCAGCCCCACCCAGTCAACCCCGCCCATCTTATTGTAATCCTAGAGATCACGGGTTTATATTTGGTATACACAGAAGAACAGTAAGTGATAATAATAGTAATAATAATTATTATTATTACTATTCTTTTTCTAGTTAAGATTAGACAATTATTTTGTATCAACTCAAAAGAATCGTCCGATCCTCTTCAGTTACCCAATGGTACTGCCCTGTGCACCAACGACACCTCACTCCGCCCTCTACAAGGAAATATGGAACCAAGTTCAACGACTAATAATACCAGACCCCCCAAACACTGACGAGTAAATAATACTAATAATAATAATAATAATAATAATAATAATAATAATAATAATAATAATCAATGTATTTCCAGTGAAGAGAGTCTACAGAGACAGTCCTATCCTTACAAACTGAAGAAGGTTAGGAGAGACGGGCTCTTCTGCTGCCATTGTCCGTGGTACAGGTAAGCGTAGTGGGTGTGGCTTCAGCATGATTCCATCACACTTTTTTATTTCATTAGATTCTGTCGCGGTTGCCCTATAGAATGTGACGAGGGTACTTTTGGAGCTGATGATCCTCCACACTATATTGCAATAGACTGGGAAGATGGATTCATTCATCTGAAGTACCAGTCCGGGCTGGAGAGGGTAAGGATATGAGCGCCTTCAATACGCTGGTCTTTCATTTGGGGATTTTCACTTTCTCTTTAGCCCAAGGATCATGAAAGCATGGACATCATGAAGAACACTGACTCGCAGCCAATAGAACTCTCAGAGTGTCTCGCTGCATTCTCTAAACCTGAAGAACTAGGAGAGGACGAGTTATGGTGAGTGTGCTATATTTAACGTCTGATCTATTATCGTGTGTAGGTATTGTAAGAAGTGTGAGACCCATAGGCCGGCTAGGAAGACACTTGAAGTTTGGAAGTTGCCACCTGTTCTGGTAAAGAGGAGGGAAAGAAGTCTATTAGATGTTGTTTTATTTATTTTTAGATAATTCATTTGAAAAGGTTTCATTTTCACAATGGCCGCTGGATTAAGTCCCAACAGAGGGTCAGGTTCCCTATGAGCGGATTAGATCCTTATGCCTACTCAGACTCGGAACTGTTCAACAATAATGAGTTCATACAGACTGGCATTGAGGGGGAGGAGCTTAATGGGGAGGTGGGAGGGGATTCAGTAACCCCGCCCCTTACAGGAGAAGGGGAGGAGTCAGCACCTCTTGGGGTGTCAGTTGAAGTTAATGACGAGAGAAAAGAAGAGGAGGAGGAGGAGGAAGGAGAGGGAGAGAAAAATGACAAAGAATTGTTAGTGGTCGCCAGTGATGAAGATCAGAATGAGAATGAACTCACTGAGAATGAAATACAGGAATCAGATGAGATCAAAGCTGGTGTCCCAAAGTTAAGAGACATTAAGAGAAACTTCTCTCGTACTACGAGTGTCTACATGAGCTCTAGACCTATTTATGATCTCTTTGCTATCACTGTAAGGTCTACTGTACACTCTATCTAAACTCCTCCCCTTTCCCCGCCTACTTTAGGTCCACAGTGGTATTTTAGGTGGTGGACATTACACGTCTTTTGCCAAAAACCCAAACTCAAACTGGTATTATTATAACGACAGCTCATGCAAGGTAACCACACCCATTTTATACTAACCACGCCCACTTTGTATATTAATAGGAAACTACAGAAGACAAGGTTTCGTCTGAGTCTCCTTACATGTTATTTTATGAAGTGAGGGACCTACGGGAACATGTAGACGAGTATAGAGTAGGCGGAGCCAGGAGTCCACCATTGTCCCCGGTTAATGATAATGATGAGGGTATCCTTCAAGGTGAGGGTGGGCGGGGCAAATCTAGTGGTGGGCGTGGAAAGTGTAGACAGCAGTGACATTAATTTATACAACATTAAAATTATTTTCTTTGATGTTTATTGTATATTAATTATGATTGTTTTTAATTTAAATTTACGTTAATTAATTGAATATACTTGTGAGTTGTCTCATTATTATTATTATTGCAATTAAAATTAACAACAAAATAATTGTTGCTGTGATTAAAATTTGATTATTTTAATTTAAAAAACAAACAGTTTTTCAAAAAGGAACGTCACTGCATTACATGTACCAGTAATCATTAATTAATTAATTAATTAATTAATTATTTATTATTGTTATTATATCAATGAGGGGCGTGATCCGGACTTGTACTCAACGTTGTAAAGAGTTTCTTGAATTATTTCTCCTTTTGCGTCTCTCTCAATCCTGGACTGAGAACTCTCTCCACTTTCTCTCATTCTTTTCGCTGCTTCCTTTGCCTTAGCTCTCTTCCTTTCCAAAGAGCTCATTCCGTCATTATCAGGAACAGCTGGAGTTGTTTCTCCCTCCATACGATATTGTGATGACTGTCCTGATTCTCTGAGTCGTCTGGCAGCTTCTCGAGCTTTTGCTCTTTTTCTTTCAAGTGTTCCCATTTCTCCTTCTTGAGTTGTGGAGGGTGTGGCCTCGCTTTTACTGCTATCACGACGAGGTGATCGTGATAATCTCGTTGCATTTTTACGTCTCAGAGATGAAGATGGTTTCTCTTCCAGTTTCTTTTCAAATTCTTCCTCTTCTTTTGCTACTTCATTTTTAGTTTTTTCTGGTGAGGCTGAGGAAGTGGGTGGAGTTTCCAATTCCTTTTGACTTGGAGTTGATTTAACAACAAGTTTCCTTCGATGAGGAGATGGGGATTTTGTAGGTGTGGGCGTGTCTCTTTCCGGTGACTGAGGGGGCAGAGTTTTTATTGGTGACTGAGTCACTAAATCAGCAGTGGGAGGAGTCACTGATTTGCTAATTTGAGGCGATGAGGTAGGAGAGAGAGCAGCTGTCGCTTGCGGTTTATTTGTTGTAATTTTAAATTTTTCTTCTTCTTCATCGTCCGATTTCCTGAAGGAGAAACTTAAATCTGACAAGTCTTCATTCAGTGATGGAGTATTATCATCGACACCAGGTGGAACTATAGCAGCTGTTCCTGTATCATCAGTACTGGGGACACTAGCAGGTGGAGTATCATCAATGATAGGAACTGGAGCAGGTGAAGTATCATCAACTGTAGCAGGTGAAGTATCATCAACTGTAGCAGGTGGAGTATCGCTAACAACAGGAACTGTAGCAGGTGGAGTATCGCTAACAACAGGAACTGGAGCAGGTAGAGTATCGCTAACACTGGGTACTGTAGGAGGTGTGGTTGTATCATCAGTAGTTAGGACACTAGCAGGTGGAGTGATATCCTCCTGGACAGGACTAGGTTCAGGTAGTGATTGGTGTGTTTCCTCCATTTTTGTCTTCTCTTCTTCTTTTTCTGTTTTCATTTCATGATCTCCAGTAGCCGCTGGTATTACAGATGCTGCTGCTTTAGTGATGTCTTCAGACAATTTGCTCTCTTCTCCTTTCTCTTCATTTTCATCACTTTTGTTTTGAGCTGCTGGCTGGCGGAAGTTCAGATCACTCTCCAGTGGTTTGAAGCTCAAGTCTGACTCCAGAGGCTGAAAGCTGAGATCAGACATTCCATCCTGATTGAACATGTCATTCTCAGTCTCTTTCTTTTCTTCTTTCTTCTTCTCCTTCTCTCCCCTCGTCGTAAGACTCCCTGTCCTCCTTCTAGATGCATTCTTCCTCCTCAGCTTAGGCAAACTCCCCTCTTTATTATAAAATGGCAGGTCTGCATCACTGGATATCATAATGTATGGCATTTCTTCATCAGTCGTGCTCCCCATTTGGTGTATCAGTTGCAATTCTTTATTAACCTCTACAGAAGAGTCACTGTCAAATGAGTTAGTAGGTACAGTGAGACTGGGTCTCAGTCCAGCGATGAGGAGGCCACTCCCCTCTTTAGAACTGCCACGCCTCCTCATTCCCGGGCTATCATCTTGAGATCCATCTCGTCTCAGCATTGGAGGAGAGTTACCCTCGGCAGCGTACCCCTGCGGTGAGGGGGTACGTGACAGGACGTTCCTACGTGCTTTTACCAGCGAGGCTCGTTGTTCCTGTCCTATCATAGCTTTAGAGCGTCTGGGAGAGCTAGGTGGGGAAGGTGTGGCTTTAGCATGAGCTGATGCTCGTCGGTGCTCTGATTCCAGTCTCAGATGAGGTGATTCTGATCTCAACTGTTGCGCTAGTAAGAGATCATCAATACCAATCTTTTCTTCCTCTTGCAGTCCCTCCAGTGTGTTCCAGCTGGAGGTGACATTTGTTTTACGAATTGAGCGATTATTGGAGCTAGGTTCGTCTTTGAACTTGACGTCGTAAGAACTGAATCGGTTCTCGTTGAGTATCTCAGTGTCTGAGATACTCTCGAGAAGGTTCTGTGAAGTATCCTGGCGTATTGCTCCTCCCAGTTCTATCCCACTCATGTCTAGAGCTGTTGGAAAATAATAATAATTAGTAGCAGTGGCATTAGCGTATTGTTTTAACTTACATGACTTGTGTCTTTTTAATTCAGAGGTCTAAAGAGAGAGAGAAAGGATTTATCATCATCATCATCATTATTAATACCTTGCTAATCCATTCCGTCAGTTTCTCTTTGTTCTTAATTTGTTTCGGTAAACTGTTTACCATCCAAGCTCCAGTCTTCCCCCATAACTATAATTTAATACATAAAAATACGACAGCAACAAGCTCCGCCCACCTCTTTATGAGAGAAGCACACAGGACAGAGGTACACTTGATGGTTTGACATCACGTCGTCATAGCGACACTCCCTGCATATCATCTATTAGAAAAGGATGTGGTTATTGGGTTGTTAGTCACACCCACTTTACCTTTGCACATATGTGGCATAGATTTGATTTTTCAGCATTTTGTTGCGTGAAATCGTAACCACACAAAAGACAGCTGTACTCTCCGTCACCTATACACTGCTCCTTCAACTTATCATGATCTGACAACAAGGAACTGAAGAAAAAACAATCAATTTTATATAATAATTATTATTACTTACGATATTCTCATTTCGTTCATTTCTTCAATGAGCGATGCTTTCTTGACCACTTCTTCAATAGTCATTAGCTCATCAACTGATAGACCTCTAACCTTCACTCCAACAATTGGATGATACTTGTTAATATTGGCACGACTTGCTATGGTAGAATAACCTGTCCTTATCCTATGAATAATAATAATGATAATCAGATCAAAGTGCAACACAAGTACATGTATATGCATCAGAAAATGTAATAAAAATGGAGAGTTCTCTCCTTTTCATTTTTGCCAAAATTTAGCCCAAGACCATGCACTACAGTGCAGAGACTTTGGCCCGATTTTGGAGTAACTTTAAAATTTTTGGAATCAGTTCAAACATCATGAAAGCAACTTGTACCAGCTCAGTTATGTAAACATCAAAATAAAACCAAATCAGTTTAGGAGGTAATCATGTTTAAATAATTTCATTTAATAGTCAATTATAATATTTATGAGTCTCTGATGTTGCTGTTTTGTAGATTCCTCAAACTATAATTGAAAATGAAACAATGAATTGCTTTCTCTTGATATTTGACCTGTTTGTCATTATAAAGATGTACTACCCAAACAGTGTATGTTTGGTATTCATAATATGCTAGCTGCAAATTGTATAACTGCAAGTTAATTGTCATTCCACTGAGAGATGTTTTTGCAAATTTAAATTTAAACTATAAGTGATCCCATAATGCCAATTTATTCAAAGCAGTGCTTGTTTGTAAAAGGGTTTTATTTGTTTATCACTGCTCTGTTTTCAGTAGCAGTATTGCATGTATAGTGATTCTGATGAAATAATTTGGCTGATGGATTGGTCAATGTTACTCTATATAGTAAAAAGGAGTGCCAGTCCAACAACATGATGAACTACTACTGTTTACTCTCAATGGGGGCAAGTTATAAGGAAATAGGAAGGATTAATGCTCTCATTATACATGAACATGTACAGCATAGTATTAGTTAGTGCAATATTATAAGAGAGGAAGCTTTATCAGTAGGTGCATTTACATGATGGTTAGTTAGTTAGGGAAAGTAAATAATGAAACTATTTCGGTATGATGATTTAGACTAATAATAAAAACGCTACATGGAAAGACAGAGAAGAAGGAGAAAGAGGTGGGAGAGATTTATAATACATTACATGTAAATATTTAAAAATAATGTTCTGTAACGGAAAAGATAACGTGATTTACCTAGTGAACATTCCAAGTACTGCTCTAATTGAATTAACATTAACATGTCACACTTTAGTACTAATCATATGTCACTTTTCATTCACTTACAAGTTCAATGAACTGAAGTTGTGCGCTAACAATCAAACTAGTAGAACTACAACTAAAGCTACGGGCTAACATGCTAAATATAATTTTATTTACTTGCTCCTTAAAGATAGTTCCCTGTCCGGGGGACAGATCCACCATGGCAGTGTCGTTTCGTTTGACAAGAGAGGACTCACCAACATCTTTCTTCAATTCCTGGATCTTTAGTCCTTCTATAATTCTGAGTGCCGGTCTCTGTCTTGTCACAAGCAAACGACCCGTCGGCGATGCTTGCCTCCGGATAAAGGAGGAGCTCGTTTGTAGGTGTGGCTCAAACCCAGCCACGCCCTGTCGGGAGCAACGAGCTCCACCCTCAGTATCTCTTTTTGACTTTCTCCAATTTCTCTCTTTTGGGGTGGGCGCCATCATTGCCATGAGCTTCAGACTGACAGTAGAATATGAGCCAGACAGATCACCGGGTGATGACACAGCCTCATTCATTATGGAGGTATAAAGCTGTACCTTGTAATTTTGTGGTGACTGAAAATGGCAACTCTTTTTCTTCAGATATCCCGGATGAGTAAGCTGTCAGAGATATCTCACAGCATATACAAACACATTGAGTCTAACCTAAGACAACCAGAGGACCAGTATGCCCTCTATTGGACTGAAAACAAAGTGAGGATTACAGTGTAGTTTGCATGAAAGGCTGCATCTTATTGTGTACATGTACATGCACTTGATTCAGTGCTTGATTGACTGTCTATTGTTTAGATGTGGCTGACTGCAGATAGACCAATTGGTCGATTGTTGCGTGGAGTAAGATCAGCTAGTGTGCAATACAGGAGGAGACTAAACCCATACAAACTGAGGTAGAGCTGATTATTGATGTTTGTTGAAGATCATGAATATCATACAGTTTCTTTAATGATAGTCTATTCATGATTTGAGACATGTCTTAGTTGTTAGTCATGTTCACCCTTCTCTCTCTCTCTCTCTCTCTCTCTCTCTCTCTCTCTCTCTCTCTCCTTTTTTATCATCAAAGGTTTCTAGATGCATCTTCAAAGATTGTCATACTTGATGAATCCCAACCAGTAAGTGGCTACATTCTCTTTCACTTGTAAACTATTTGCAATAACACTCCAGGTCAAGGATTTAGTGAACTCAATATGCAAACAACTAACATTGGGACATCCAGTAAATGCATTATTTATAACTTTGATTTATTTATTTGTTAATTTATTCATTTGATAGGAAGAAGTTTCTCTTGTTGTTGCAGTTGACTATGCCATCACCAAACAGTGAGTAGTGAAAAATGCTGTCAAACTACCTGCAGCTATAATTTGTACATTTTTAACAGTCATCCTGCCGTGAAGCAAGATATAGCTAAGTGTAAGTTCATTATACAATTTTATTATCAACATCTTCCTTCTTCTCTGTAGCTCCAATCATTGCTGGTAGAAAGGACCTTACTCTACACACCTCCTTATCTGATACTTCTTCAAGCAGTCTCTCACCCAAAGCAAGAAGAAAGGTAATAAGTGTTACAAGATGTCTTCTTTATGGCTTCTTTCTCTCTTCCAGTTTGTTAGACCTGCTAGTGCTGATGTAACACAACCAGTTAGTGGCTCTGAGAGACCAGGGAGTGGAAAACTTAGAAGAAAGTCGCAAATTGTAGCCATTTCTAAGAAAAAGTACTAAAAAGACCAGCAACAGCAATGTCACGTCCCTTCCCTTTAAATTCCTCCCTCCCTCTCCCTCTCTCTTTATAGACAGCTGTCAAAGAAGTATCAGATTCGTATTGACACCCCATGGCTTGACCCGTCAAAGACTCTAACAGAACAAGAAGTATCACCACAGGATGAACTGATACTGATGTATAGATATTACTATCATATGGACCTGGAGAAGTATGTTAATTGTTATTATTATTAATTGTTATTAATTATTATTATGCAGAGAATCAAAGGAAACTGAAATGCTATACAAGCAAGCAAGGTAATTATATTATTTATTTATTTATTTATTTATTTGTTTGTTTGTTTGTTTGTTTGTTTTTTCTCAGGGCTATGTTCTTAGCTGGTGAAATGATGTCAAGTTCTGAGCTGATTCCTAAGTTCATTGCACTTCTCTGCCAAATAACTAAAGGAGACTTCGTATCAAAAGAGTAACAACTGATAACAAATTTAATGTTAATAATAATAATGATTATTATTAGAGAGACGCAAGATATTCTTACAAAGTTGAAAAGATTACTAGTACCTCCTAAATACAAGCCAAAAGTACGTTAATGTACATAATGTAAAGAGATAGTGTGTGATATGTGAACTGGAGACTGTTCAATGGACTAATGAATGTTGCAATACATGTGTATACGAACAGTGAAAACAGCATTTGATGTATTCTCCCATTACATACATGATAGCTGTCCTTTGTATTTACTTGTTCATCTCTCTTTACTTGTATAGAATATTGCTAAAGATGTGTCCCTGTACTACAAGCTATTGAAGGGACTATCAGGTTAATGATAATAGCACATTCTATAATTACTCTCACCTCTCTCCCTCCCCCTCTCTCTCTCTTCTTCTACAGCTAATGACGGCAAGTGCTGGTTCATTAAGTTGTGGTCCACCTGTCATCTCTTTGGAATGGAGTTCTTCTCTTGCAGCAACACTGAAATAAAAGAGAAAGGGCTAGTTGGAATATCAAAAGAAAAAGTGATTCATTTTATTCATATTTTATTATTTTCATTTTCATTTTAGATATTATTTTTACATTCGAACAATAAGAAGAAGAACAAAGACTGGGATATGTCCTCACTAACGCACTGGGAACAGGTAAGGTCACATGACCATGTGCCCCACCTACACAAGTGGTTACTATCATGCTCTGCCCACCCCTCGTAGGATGAAATTGGTGACATTGTTACTCTATTTTTTGGTGATGAAAGGCTAAAGGTCCAAGTACAAGATTATTCGAGTGTCCTAGTTGACTGCTTGAAAGGTAATGGACCTAATGGTGGATATACCAAATGCATGTTCATTGTGTATGCTGAACTTTAAAAATTCATAAAAAATCCAAATATGATCGGAATCAGTTCAAACTTTCTACGCAACATAAGTACATGTATATGTATCAAAAAATGTAATAAAAAAATGAGAATTCTCTACTTTCCATTTTTGGCAAAATTTGGCCCAAGACCATGTACTATAGTACAGGGACTTTTGTCCGATTTTGGAGCAACTTTAAAAATTCATAAAAAATCCAAATGTGATTGGAATCAGTTCAAACTTTCTACACAACATAAGAACATGTATATGTATCAGAAAACATAATAAAAATGAAGAATTCTCTACTTTCCATTTTTGACAAAATTTGGCCCGAGACCATGTACTATAGTACAGGGACTTTTGTCCGATTTTGGAGCAACTTTTAAAATTCATAAAAAATCCAATTTTGATCGGAATTAGTTCAAACTTTCTACACAACATAAGAACATGTATATGTATCAGAAAATGTAATAAAAATCAAGAATTTTCTACTTTTCAATTTTTGGCAAAATTTGGCTTGAGACCATGTACTATAGTACGGGGACTTTGCAATCAAAACTGATCCAACTATTTAAATTAAGTACATTTTGCTTTTGGTAGGTCACCAGGAGCTGAGAGAGTCATTTCCACCTGCTTTATATCAGCTAGGACAGCAGGAGTATCAGTTTAGTGATGCTGGGGTAAGTCACCAGCAGCTGCTGGTTTTTCAAAATTATTTACACTGTAATCCTTGTTATTAATTTATTAATAATTATATTAGAGTTTGAGCTCTGAGTTTAAAAAGTATTTCAACATTGCTGAGACTAAGAGAGGTCACAAGAGGGCGGGGTCACTCACATACAGCGAAGTGTGCTTTGCAGATAAAATAACTGAGAATCCACTAGTAGGACTTAAAAATATATATTAAATATTATTATAATAAAAATAATTATTATTATTATCATTCAGGTTTCGCCAGAAGAAGAGGAGGTACTTCAAAAAGAAGAGATGTGGGAGAACCCTGCCTTTGAGAACCTTGACCAGCTCATGGAGGAAAGGTACTGTAACTAGAACCTTGCGGTTACTATACTTATCCATGATATCACACTATCTGTATATTATGAATGATCATACAGGTTCAGTTTTCTTGATTTTGATGAAGATGTGACAGAAGAGCAGCCCCCAGGATCTGATTCACCACTGGATGGTATTAAGCTAGAAGTCCCTCCTAAAGTAACCATAAGGACAGCTGGTTCTACAGGAGGTGCCCCCCACCATTATCCCAGCCCTCTACTCCGAGCAAGCACTAGCTCAACCAAGCAACGGACCAGTAGCGGCAGCAGTAGTAGTGATGATTCATAAATATACTAATAGTTTTAAATGCTTTTATATTTGTTGTGTCTGGGATATTTTGGTGATTTCATTTTGGTTTTGTGAATTGAATTATTAATTAGAGTAGGTGTGGTTTCTAACGCCCACGCCCTCCTACCCGCAATCAATCATCTCCTGGAATGCTATTGGTATGAAGAAAGAAGAAGGCCAGTTCCTCTAGCAGCTAACAGAAGGAAAGACAATAGGCTCTAGGATTACAGCTTCTCTCTCCCGCTCCAGAGTATCAGTTCACAGCAATAAAGGTGAGGATTATTGTTCCTTCAATTCGAAATGATTTGCATTCTAATGAACTTGGCAGTGTCATGAAATCCTAGGCTACATCTAAAAATATCAATCTCTTTCTTTAGTAAAATACAGACACATGTACTTACAGTATCTATTAATATATTACTATTATTATAAATGATAAAATAATAATAATAAACTATGAATATTGTTATTAAAACTTTGAAAAATTATGGTATTCAAAATCTGTTTGTACGCAGCAGGTGTCAGTCTCCCTTCCTCCCTCTTTTTTCTACATGTATACATGTACATGTATTTATATGTACCTGCAGCTGTATATAATGGGGCTTGTACTAAAGTATGTCAGGAATTTCTGTCAATATATAAACTCTTATATAATGAAAGAATTCAATTTATGTGTTGTTACTATACTGGCTGATACTCCCTCTTATTCCTGCCATCACACATACACACTCTTGTTTGTCCCTCTCTCTCTCTCTCTCTGTTACTTTAAGGTTATCCCTATTTCACAATACCTTTTATTTAATTTCTATAAATGTATTAACTTTCACGATATTTCCCCTCCAGTTTCATTATGATTTAAGCAGCTGCTGTTTGACTAATGTCCCTCCATGTTGTTGTGTTGTCTTGTTACATTTATTACGTCTTGTTGATAATGTTCACAGCCCACCTTGCCTTCCTTTATTTTACAATAATGGATTCTAATTGTACAAACTAGCCTCTATATAATCGTCAAGAAAGTGTCTCTGTTATACAGAGGTGTCCTTTATGTGGAAGTTATTTTATACAGTAAGGAATGTAATTGGTACAGTAGGTGCGTTCTGTCTGCTATAGAGAGACTATACTTCATTATTAATAGCACATGTACCTATAATTTATATCTAACCAGCATTTATTTATTTATTTATTAATTTTATCACTTACTTTATATGATATTGTTAATGTGTCATTGTGATATGATGACGGGATAAGACAGTCTGTCTCTCTCTCTCTCTCTCATACTCATCCATAACACATTCCAATCACATTTCAACTATCTTACCCATTGGATCATCAGCTAGTACATGTACACACAGTCCAGTGTACGTATCCACACTTCACTCCATTGTATCTACTACAGTATGAGGATTGATGTATGTGTACTGTCTCCCTGTGGAATGAGATGAAAGAGAGAGAAAGAGGAAGAGAGAGAGAGAGGGAAAGGAAGAGAGAGAGAGAGAGAGGGAGAGAGAGAGGGAGGGAAGAGAGAGGGAGAGAGAGAGGGAGAGGGAGAGGTGATTTATGTGTTTGTTTTGGCTAATAATAATTATAATAATTAACAAGATATTGTTAATGATCAACGCTTTGAATAAATTAATAAATAAATAAACAACTTCTCTTTTAGCTCTCCCTGTTAAAGATGGCCGACCTACCTCCCAACATTGGTTTTGATGATGAACCAGTGATACTATTGAACTACATCACACTAGAAGACAAGGCCCCATCGTCATCAAGTAAATTAATGAGTGGGTGTGGTCTTGAGACAGTTAACACTCAATTGATTAAGATCAGAATCATATTAAAAAGATTATTATTTATTTTGGATGTTGTGACAGGAGAGGGTGTGATTTGTAAGAGAAATAAGTGTTTGAATTATAATTTATTTATTTAATTAATGATTCCATATTCAGGACCACTAATCATGTCAAAGTCCCGCAACAGAGTGAAGTCAGATTCATCCCTCGTGTCACCTTCAGGTAAACAACAACAAACAAACAAACAAACAATGCTAATATTTACACTTATTTATATTTAAGGTACAGCTGGTAAGAAGAGAAGCAACAAGTCCTCAGTGTCATCATTATCAGGTAAGTGTACAGTATTTGTAAAGATGTACTGTACAATGTGTATGTGCGTGTTTTAATATTTAGATGGTTCATCTTTTGATCCAAACGAAAGTGATAAAATGACCACACCTCATCACTCAACTCAAAGCCAAGTAATAATAATAATAATAATAATAAGTAATTATTTCTTGTAATGACTATTGATGAATGTACATGCCAATATCAACAGTTACATGTCATTTTAATTATTTAATTATTTGGTCTTGTCTCCCACCTCTTGCCATGTTATATCAATCATCCTCCCCCTCTCTCCTCCCCCTCTCTTTCTCTTCTCCCTCTCTCTCTCTCCCCCCCTCTCTCTCTCTCTCCCTCTTGTAGGAAAGTGATGTGTCTCCTTTTCACGTGGTCCAGTCAAGGTCTTCTCCTCTAAAGAGACTCCAAGAAGAGAATAGAAATTGTCTCAAAAGTCTTGACGAAGCTGACTGCCATCCTGACAATGATAAAGAGAGAGGGAGAAAGAGAAAGGGTTTTTCAGTTGTCGTAGAACCAAAGTAAGTATAGCTCTCATTATTTATTTATTATTATTATTATTAACAGGAGTCCTTCTTCCACTGATGCAATGAGTTCCTTGTTGATAGAAAGAGACAAGGAGATAAGTGACCTCAGACGACAGCTCAAAGAGTTACAAATGGCCACTCACCACTCGTCCGATGTACCACTGATATCGGTGTCCCACCTACCAGTTCATCAACGATGTATCTCTGAGACATCAGAACCACCTTTCATATTAGGAGAGCACTCCCAACGAAGTACTCTAGAGCGTCTCCTTGAGGAACAGCAGGTTTCTTATCGTCTAAAGACTGATAATTCTGAGTTGCGATCTAAAGTCCTGATACTAGAGGGAGAGGTGGACAGCCTCAGACAACAGAACCTGATACAGCTCCAGCAGCTGGAGCAAGCTACCACTAGTCTTGCAGCTGCTTCAAACTCCGCCCACTCTCCCCCTTCCGCCTCACCTCAAAAATCTAAGAAAAAGTCGTTTTTTGGTTTGCGACGCTCATCGGGTCGCAAGCAGAATATGGGTAACAAGAATGGTAGTGGAAGCTCTATTGATCAGAGTCCGAGACTCAAGAGACCGGGTTTTCATTCTGCGTCAAACCTCTCGCTGGAAGGTTCTCTTTCTGAGCATGACATCAGCAGTTTACTCACTCGTAAGTCTGAGGGTCGGACTGATGAGCTCCACCCACTGGGCGGAGCTAACTTTGACTTTGAAAGACTCCAAATGACTCTTAAACTTACAATGGAAGAAAAGTCTGAACTTGGACGCCAGCTGGAGCTGCTACGAGAAGAACTGAGACACCAAGAAGAGAAGAGAGAAGCATTACTGAAGGAGACTATTAACAAAGAGGAGTCCAGCGTTAAACTCCAAGAAACCCTACAAGCACTTCAACTGACAACACGAGAGAAGGAGCTTCTGGAGAGCGAAGGAGAAGGACTCAAGTATGAGCTGGAGACACTCCGGAGCGAGAGGGACAGTCTCACGGCCTCGCTGAAAGGGAAGGAAGTGAAGGCAGTGCTAAAGGAGAAGCAGGAGATGGATTTCCTCAGGTCTGAGAACAAGGCACTCATGAGTGAAGTCCGTACGTTAATAAGTAACAGCGATGGGTTGGAGACGTCTCTTAGTCAATTAAAAAGAGAAATGGTCACTAGAGATGTCCGTGGACATGAGCTGAAGCTGAAAATTAAGAAATTGGAGAAGGAGAATTCTGAATTGAAGGCAATAGTGTCATCGCTTAAGGAAGGCAAAGATGATGATGATAAAAGTAAAGAAAATAAACCAACTCACAATCTTCTCTCAACAAGAAGACATGCTTCTCCTGAGAAACAAACCCTCACCTCATCTTCATCATTCTCTGACCAGCAGAGCCCCAGCACTGGTCAACCGGCCATGAAATCTTACCACAAGAAACCCTCACCATTCCTAACAGCTTCTAACGGAGAATCTCAATTCTCGGGTCATGAGAGAACTCAGAGTGAAGACCTCACGTCCTCTGTAGCCTCAATCCCTCCTCTTCAAATGGTTCGTACCTCCAGTGGAGGCACTAAGTTTGTGGCGGTACAAGTTACTCTACCGACTAAAGAAACTGTAATGAAAGTTAAAGACAAGTCGCTATCAGTTCCCCTCCTTGAA